AAAGTTGGAGAAGTTTAAGGACATTCAAGAACGACTGTTATTTCCAGGCAGAGACCCCAAGGGTACTTTTAAACAGGGCTGCATAAGCCATTAGAGAAATAAGACCGGAGGGCATCCCATCTACTTCTGCCCAGCTTCCTGTCTTCACCAAAGTTCAACAAGCCAAAGCGTCCTCCTGGGCATCCTGACATAAAATACCGCCATTGGAAGGTTGACACAGTAAGTGCAGTTTTTGGTGTTGTAAATGCCATTATTTCTAACGGGATGTGTGGGGCGCCAATCGTTGATTGCAAGACAGGTGGTGTACAGGGTTTTTTTCACTTGTCAGATGGGCTCAACTGCTATGCTGCCCATTTGGATGATTTAGTTGCAGAAGGATGGGAAATTGCTTAGTTAGCAGGGATACTCGTGCGAATGGGTTGAAAGGGGCAGAGCATCACTAAACGTCGTGGAAGAGGTCTCACATAATCGCCGACAGGTCTCTGCATATCCGGGACCTCTATACCATGTGTTAGTATATTGACGAGACTGGATTTTGTCGTCGGTACGTATGCGATGGCCTGGTCAATGGGAGAAAAGGCAAGGTGGCTTTTATCCCGTGCCTCAGAACTCCTACGCATTGGGTTTTAAGCCCAACCCCTTCTGTTACTCGGGGCGTTTGGGTAATAGTTGTAACCAACTTTTCGCTTCGCTCAAGGTTGGAGTAAGCAATGTGAACGCGCCCGAAGCGAGAGGAAGCAATGTGCACACTGTCAAATTGCGACTGTAAGTACCTACACATAGTAATTTATATGTAAAGATACCTAAATAACCTATTCTACGAAATTATCACTTCCTTACTCCCACTCACTCCCACGCTCGCTCCCACGCTTGCTCTCATACTAGCTCTCACACTAGCTCTCATACTGGCTCTCATACTGGCTCTCACACTGGCTTTCATACTCTCTCTCAATTTGGGGGGCTTCTGGGTCAGGAATTGGCTCCTCAAACTCTGGAGGAATTGGGAGCCCCTCTTCGTAGAGCTGGGCAATCATCTTCTTTCAGGCACGCTCTTCCTTCCGTGCCTCAATTCCTGCCCTATGAAGCTGTTTCCGGGCCTGGTTTAAGGCCTGGCGGGCTACCCGGGCTTCTTTAGCTATGAGCTTCTAGGCTTGAAGCTCAGCTTTCTGGGCCCGAAGCTCGTGAGCATGAGCAGCTTGAGCTCACCTCCAAACTGAAGGCGGGCCCGGCTTCGGCTTGCCCGCTTCTTCGACTCCTCAACCTGCCGCCGAGTAGTATATAGGTCAAGCTCTATAAGCTGGCCTGAGGCTACAACCTCTTCTGTTCCAGTAAGCCAGTTCCTATAGCTCTCTTTTGAGGGGCTACTAAAGCCCTCCGGAGCCCGGTTTTTCCAGTGCTGTAGCCCCTCTTCTACCTCCTGAAAAGTTGAGGGTTTTGGGGTAGAAACCCGGATTGGTAGGGTAGTAGGCGTAGGCGTAGGCGTAGGCTGTGAGTAGGTGCGTAGTTTCGTGAGGGCTGTATTACAGCTTATAGGCCAAATACCAGCTTTCTGGAAAGCTGATATTATAGTAGACTCCTTAAAAGTCTGCTCCCGAATGCATGTGAGATCTCTCATGAAGGATTGTAGGTCGTAGGTAACGTCCATATCCCGTATGGCAGTAAGCACAGCTACTTGATGCCAGTGCTTATAAGGCTGGAACACTCCCATGTCTAATGGCTGTAAAACGTGTGTAAGATGTGAGGGAAAGGTGTATATAATAATGTTGTGTTCTTCTGCTGCAATGATGAAGTCATGGCTCGTATGGCTTACATGAGAGTTGAGTAATAGAACCCTTGTATCCTCTGAGGGTGTATGCTTAGCAAAATGCTCTAGCCACCGAAGAGCAAGCTGGCTATTTGAAAACCCAGAGTCGGAGAGTAGTACTAGCTCTGTGCCTTCAAGGTTGGCGTGGTACCAAGAATCCATATGTATTTTGCCCGGAATGATAAGTACTGGTGGTATGACTTTTCCTACTGCAGACACAGCCTCAAGGATAGTAATAGACGTACAGTTTTCAGGGCTTGGAGTATAGAGCTCCTTTGCTGTTCGTGGCACAATAACCTTCTCACCTCCTGGAATTCCAATTCTAAAGCCAGTTTCATCCATATTCCAGATTGACTCTGGCTTTATACTACACCGTAGTGTAAACTCAAGGTAGTCTCGAAACCAAATTATAATACTAGACCCATCTTGAGCTTCCGTACGTAGCTGTGCAATTGGCTTCGTAGTAATAAAGTGGAAGTCTTGAAGCTCATTCCGTATATATTTTGTAAGCCAGCTTGGTGAGGGTGGTGGCTTCGGGCTCCGGAGCTTACAGACAGCAGTAAATATCATAGCTCTCGTAGCTCCGAGCCCTAGGTAATATTGCTCTAGAATCCACTTCTTAATAGCTTCTGTCTGGGCAGTAGAGAGCATCTTATTCTTACCCCCTCGGGGTAGTGGTTGGGCTAGTTGGCGGCGGCTGCTTGAGCGTATAGTTGATGTAGGAACCTTAAAAATCCGACTAGCAGTAGTTGCTGTTTCAGAGGGGTTCTCTGCTAGCCATTTACAGGCATTTGATAGAGGAGTCCCTTCCATTAAATGAATTGCATAGATTTACTATATAAAATAGTATGTGTAGCTATGGTAGAAGTTTTATTAAGGAGTGGCGGTGAACAGACGCACGTTGCGACGGAGCGCACATTGCTTCCCCTCGCTTCGGGCGCGTTCACATTGCTTACTCCAACCTTGAGCGAAGCGAAAAGTTGGTTACGACGATTAGGCCCTCCGAATAACATAAATAATACGTAGGCTCCGTAGATAGTGTAGTAATTCAATTAATCTATTACTGTATCCTACTGTGAAGCTTCTGCTCCGTTGCCCGAAGGATTGATTACGGTAGTCGGAGATTACCACACAAATCTGTGTGTAGTTCCCCAACAATAACAGCGTAGCGGCCGTGACACGCGGTGGCGACACGCCTATCATCTCGCAAAACCTACCCGAATAGTGGCAAGCAATCTAAAAGACGGCCACACATCCCCCAACCTCAAAATTCTAATTCTAAATAATTTGTAATACCCATCCCCCTCCCCAACAAACCCTCTAATCACACAATGGGACTCATCAACGACGCCTCCGGCGCCGTCGGCGGCGCCATCGAACACGTGAGCGGCTCACTGGGCTCCAGCGTAAAATTCGACACCTCATCCATCCCCTCCCAATCCGGCAAAGTAATCCTCGTCACCGGCGGTACGTCTCTCAGCCTCACCTCATTTCACCCCGCGCAGCCTACTAACACAACCCCCAGGCAACATCGGACTAGGCCGCGAAACCTGCCGCGTCCTCGCAGCACACCAGCCGCGTCGGATCTACCTCTGCGCGCGCACCGCCTCCAAAGCAGAAGCTACCATCGCGGAGTTGAAAGAAGCGCAACCCGATGCCCCGCTCAGCTTCCTCCCGCTCGACCTGGCGGATTTGGAATCCGTGAAGGCGTGTGCGAGGGCGTTTGTAGCAAAGGAGGATAGGTTGGATGTGATGGTTTGTAATGCGGGGATTATGGCTGTGCCGGAGGGGCTGACGAGGGAGGGGTACGAGGTGCAGTTTGGGACGAATCATGTGGGGCATGCGCTGCTTGTTAAACTGCTGTTGCCGGTGCTGCAGCGGACGACGGAGGTCGAGGGGGCGGATGTGAGGGTCGTGACGTTGTCGTCCGTGGGACACCACTTGGCGCCGGCGGAAGGGATTGAGTTTGCGGCTCTGAAGGGGGAGATGGGGCATCTTACGACGTGGAATAGGTATGCGCAGAGCAAGCTGGCGAATAGGTTGTTTGCGGCGCAGCTGGCGAAGAGGTATCCGGGGATTATGAGCGTGAGTGTGCACCCCGGGGTTGTGGCGACGAATCTCTACAGTGAGTTTGTGGGGGGTGTGGGGCTGAGGAAGATTGGATACTGGTGGTATAAGGCGCTGTTGTCGGTGTCGGTGGAGGAGGGTTCGAAGAATCAGCTGTGGGCTGCGACGAGTCCGAGGGGGGGGTTGGTGCCGGGGGAGTACTACTTTCCGGTTGGGATATTGGGGAAGGGGAGTCGGCAGGGCGCGGATGAGGAGCTGGGGAAGAGGCTGTGGGAGTGGACTGAGAAGGAGTTGGAGGGGTATACGCTGTGATGCAAATAGAAAAAGACTACGACCATCTTACACCCGTGACCGGCTCAATTCTATTTGCCTACAGCTTACTATAACGCCAAGGCTGCATCCCCACGGCATCCAGCCGGTACTCGAGCAATTCCCATCCCACATCAGCCAGAAACCCTCGTATATGCCCCATACCGGCCAAGCTATTTCGGGAGCCCCAACAGCATCTCGATGTTTCGCTTTGATTCCTGCTAAAGGTATGACAGCATGCCCTCCCCCCCCGCACATCCCGTATCCAGCGCACAGGACCCCTCATACAGGTTACCAGCCGATCTCAGCTCCGAGCAGCAACGTCGCACGCCGTAACCAAGCGTGGATAATCCCTCCGAACGGACTCGACGGCGCCGATCAGCTCGCTCAAAACGAAATGCGCAGACCGCCCGTGGGCAAGCACCGGCTGGTCGTGTCCGTGTTGTGGAAATAACCTTTATTTACCGCACCACCTTGGCAGGAATGAGGCTAAGGTTGGGGTGTGTGGTGAGAGCGCGGTCTAATTAGCCCGCACATCACGATGGGGGGGATACGAGCGAGGCACTCACGTAAGAGCGTACTGCGCAAACTTCCTTTGGCGGGGGTAACACGTCGTATACACATACACCCAAGTCTTGAGCTGAGATGCATTATGCCCCAATTAGCCTGCTCGGTCGGTCACTGGGTTTAAGCCATGGAGGAGGGGTGAGAAAATGTATATAACCATGAACCTCCTCGTGGTTGGGAGATATCTCTTTGCCCACAGCTCACACACTCTTCCCACGCCTTAAGACACCAGAAAAGTTATCAAACCGCCAACATGGTCCAAACCGCATTCACCCTCGTCCTCGCCACGGTAGCTACCCTCGTCAGCGCCTCCCCGGTCACCCTCGACAAGCGCTGCGGCACTACCATCCTGCCCTCCACGCAGATCCAGCTGAAGCAGAGTCAACCAGACACCTCCTTCCCCAACACCGCGCTCACCGACAAGTCCATCTCCATCTCCCAGGGCTCCAACGGCTCTAGTAAGTCTTCCCTCCCCCACTCCCACTCCACTCCTCGTCCCTAGATGGAAGAAACTAACACCCCCCACCAGACAAAGTCAACGAGTTAATCGCCTTCACCGGCGCCGTTGGCGCCTTCGGCTGCTCCCTCGGCATCACTTTCCCCACCGGCTCCGTGATCACCCAGTCCGGCGGCCCCCCAACCCTAAACGTCCACACCGTGCCCACTCCGCTTCCCGGAAACCCAACATTCAACAACATCCACCCCGCCGCGACGCTCTTCGGCACCGTGACCGTGCTAGCTGGCCAAAGCACCGTGATTAACAGCAGGGCCTGCCCCACTGCGGCGGAGGGGGGGCTGGCGTTCGTGTTTGGGTATGCGGATTGGCAGACGCAGACGAGTAGTGTGGGGTGGACGGAGTATGTTAACCCAGCTAATGGGGCGGGGTTGAGGGGGGTGTTTCTTAACTTCAATTGTTAGGTGGGTGGGTGAGGGGTGGTGCTAGAGGAGGAGGGGGGAGGGTAATCAGATTGTTCGGTTTTCTTGGGGGGAGATGGAGTTCATGGGATGGGTGGATTGGGGAGTTAGATTGGTAATTTTTTGGATTAGATGAATGAAATTATGTCAGTTTTGGTACTAGACTTCTTTGGCGATGCATAATGTGATATTCCTTCCGTCTGAAGAATATGGAACATTTCTTGGGAGACACAACCAACGTGGATCGACTGAAACCCTTCTAGACTTCCGTCTAGAAGGGTTTCGTCGGGGGTTTTCTGTCGATCCGCGTCGGTTGTGGCACCCGAAGAATCTTCCATTTCTTTAGACGGAGTTACATCCCTTGTGTGGAGAGCCAGATGATGAATCTCCGATGTATTGGGGATGCCATGTATTACCTCTTGAAACCTGTATGAATATGTATGGCAGTTTCACGTAATACTATGCACCACAGCAGGACGTTGGTTGTTTGTGTTTGAGGTTTGGTTTTTATGTTTGAGGTCTTGTGTGATACTTGGTGATATCACGCATATTCGCAGGTTCTGGAGTTTCTTGATAGATTGGGCCAAGACAGGGGTCCATCCACATATCGATGCAGGCAATGACGTTACTTTTGGGAACGAGTTTATGGGATTTGGCCATGGAAAAATAGACGGAGTAACGGAAGAATTGCGTGAGTTGCTTCTAGAAATGCGTGGATTATAGAAACATCTACTCCATATATAAATATTTATATTTAGATATCACTCACATCTTTTAACTTATTTATTTATATTTATATTTAGATATCGCTCATATCTTGTGACTGAGAGCCGCGACAAAGCTATGCCACACCGTTAAGAAGTTCGTTCCTGATCATGACAAGTCTATACTCTCCCAGCTCAAGAAAACCGCAACATAGCCATGCAAAGTATATCACAACACCAAGCATCATCCAAGCATCATCCACGTAACCCCTACTTCTAACATCGTAAAAATCCTGGTATTGCTATCAAAGTCTACCTCAAACAAACCCAAAGGAAGGGCTCTAAAAAAAAGTAAAATCCGGTGTCCGTTTAGTTTACTCGTAATGATTATCTCGGGGTATCACCTTTGCCAAACGCCGTTCTCCGTCCCTAATCTCGTGCTGTTGAATTCAAGACAGCCTCATGGGGATGGTGTCCTGAAGCTTCTGCTTGTCATTGATGTTTTGAGAAGTCGAAACTCTCAACTCAACCAACACATGCATACCACTCGAGCCCACCCCATCCAGCCCGCCTACACTCAAACCCCCTCAAGCCTTCCCCCCCTTCCTCTTCTCCGCCTCCGTCTCCGTCTCCTCGCTCTCCGCATCTGCCTCCGCATCTGCCTCCGCATCCCCCTTCTCCCCCTCAGCCGCCACATCCGTCACCTCCCCCCACCCCAAATTCGCGCGACTCAACCTCCCATTCCCCGCCGCCGCCTCCCTCTCCTTCGAGCTCACAAGCGGACTACTCGCCCCCGCAATCCCCGCAATACTCCCCGTCACGCTATCCGCCCTCCCATGTCCAAGACGCCCACTATTAATACTCCCGCCATCCCCAATAATGCTCTGTTTGTTGGTGTACAAGCTGTTCCGCTCGCTGGGTAGCGCGGGCGCGACGCCGGTGGCGGAGTAGATGCTCGCGCGCTCGGTGCCGATGCGGGCTTGTAAGGCGGCGCTGGTAGTAGCGCTGGGCGGTGCGTCGATGTTAGCGCTGAGCACGCTGAGGGGGAGGGATTCGCGGCTTCCGCCGAAGAGGGAGGAGGGCGCGAGAGCGCGGACAGAGGCGTCTGTGTCCATTGACCGGCGGCGGCGGCGCTTGGAGGAGGAGGCGAGCGTGAGGATCGAGGCGTTGTCGGTGAGGAGGTTGTTGGCTGTGGCGGTGTTGTAGGTTGCGGGGTGGCCGCCGCTTCCTAGGGGAGGGGCGAGGTGGGAGGGGAGGGCGGAGGGAGGGGGGGAGGTGGGGAATTGGTGCGTGAAGTGCGTGGGGTTTGTGCTTTGGGTTGTGCTTCCGTGGTGGCTGTGGTGGCTGTGGTGGGGTTGGTTGGGGCCTCCGAGGGCTGCTCCGGTGGAGTGGACGGTTGTGAGGGTTGTGGTTAGGGAGCGGAGGGATGGTGCTGGGGAGGAGAAGGTGCTGTCGGCGCCTCTGCTCATGCTGGGGCCGCCGATGGTGGGGGTTGTGCCTTCGGCTGATGATGCGGCGTGCGATTGCGCAGCGAGAGAGCGTGCGGCGTCTCGTTCGGTCGATACGGTCGGCGCGTTGGATCTGTATCCGACGGTGTGGGATGGAAGGTCGTCAATGGATGATCCGAATGATGGCTCGCCGTTGCCATTGGAGGAAGCGCTCGCCGTACGCCTTGTCGGGATGGTAGATGGGGAGTGGCGCCCATTTGGTGGTGACATATATGGGCCATTGTTCTTTTTCTTGGATTGGGTCTTCAGAGCGTAGCCATTGCGTTTTCCGTTTGAGCTGTCGTTTGCGTCGGAGGATGAGGTGTTCTTGAAGTTGGCCAGTTTCTTCATCCATGATGCGAAAGGTCGTCGGCGCCCTTGTCGGTCTGGACTATGGTCAGCTTGGTTCTTCATTCGTAGCTAGTGGAGCTGCTGAGCTGCTCCGCTGGACAGTTCTCGAGGCTGACTGGGGGGAGTTTGGATAGGGCTTACCACGGTGCGGAGGAGTCGCCTTTGGTACTGTATCAGTGGTAGCCATGATTGCAACAATAGCGTCTATCGATGCTATCGGCTATATCCTGAGAAGCGGGAGACGTTCTAGTAGGTTTCGGGGAGTGAAAGTGATGATCCAAAGGTTTGCGACAAAGAGGCTGCCGGAGCGCATGGGTGAACTGGTGAACTGGTGGTGTTGTGGTCACAATAGAGTACCGAGTGTGCATGTGGATGCAGGGATTGGCTCGCGCTCTCACTTCGATATTCGGCGGTAGCCTCCACCCATGAATCGAAGACCACTTTTGATAGACAACTTCACGTGTAATATATGCCAAGTGATGCAGTTTATTCGAATCAAAAAATTAATATACTCTCAGATCTCATCGTCGATGGTTTTTAGGGCATAGGCGGTGTTGGCGCGATACAAGGGTCTTTATTTATAGCAATTTATCTACACGTATCTTACAGAATCATACACTATCGGACTGTGACTCCGGCTTTTCGTTTCCATAATATCGGATCAAATAATCTGCTCCCATTCCCGCTGAAATGACTCCGCCCGTATACAAGCAGCCATTGACAAACCACCACCAACAGTTCTTAGCATCCTTGAGGTTGACTCTCTTGATCATCACAGCAAGCGTCACAGCCGCGCCTCCACAGCTACCGATGAAGAAGGCCGGCCCCGACCCAGCCGCGAATCCAGCCGCAGCTAGGAGCCCAATCTGAGTGACGGCCAACCCAGAGAGAATCGCCTTGGTATCCTTATCGTGAGCGAGGGCGATGCTTTTAATCCCAGCTTTAACGTCGTCTTTGATATCCATGTGCGCATAGACCATGTCGTATAAGACGACCCACGCGTTATTCGACGCGTACAGCAAAGCAGCGGCAGCCAGGGCCGCGTTATTCTGCAGCAAGTCGACGCCAAGAGCTGGGAAGCCCATGATGGCGCCCCAGGAAAAGGTTAATCCCAGGACGAGTTGCGGGTAATATGTGATGCGCTTCATGAGCGGGTAGCTCGCTACAAACGCCAAACTCGGGATGCCGTACCAGAGGCACTGCGTTGGGAATTGCAGGAGGATCGCGAGACCTGCAAAGAGCTGACTGCCAGTGAAGACAAGCGCTTTGAATGGAGTTATGGCACCACGCGCTATTGGCCGGAGACGCGTGCGGCGCACGTGTGGGTCTAGATTCCGGTCCCATAGATCGTTGATTGCGCAGCCTGCGCCGCGCATGATGATGGCGCCGCTGAAGAAGAGGAGGGAGGTCCCGACGACGGAAAGGGGTGTAGCCATGGGCATAGCGAGGGGTGCAGCGAGGAGAGTGGACCACAGACAGGGCCAGTACAGGTAGTAGGTTCCTGTTGGCTTGTCCAGGCGGACTAATTCCGCGTATGGCACCCATGATGCTGGGAGGACAGAGAGGAGACCGGTCGTTGGTGGAGTGTAGGGTGTCACCGGCAATGCATCGGGATCTGCTGCCTCTGCCACTGCTGTTGGGGAGGTGGCGGTCTGCAATACTGATAACTGGCGACGGCTAGTGAGTGCAGTACAGACAGAAGCAGCTTTGGGAGGTCTAGCACGAGAGACGTGATGGTTACTGGTGACTAAGGAACGGAGGGGTTTTGCAGCCCTGGTGTATGCTGGCCAAAGCAGGGCATTGCTGTAGCCTCTTGGGAGGCCGCATAGTGCCTGCTTGACCAACATGGCCCTTGTCCCCTGTATCAGTGAAGTTAGTATTATGCTTTATCAATCGGACGTGACAAAGATTATGGCGCTGGATGATGGCTGAGTAGCCTCGCGGTAGCAATCAGAGCAAGAAATAACAACATAAACTGTATGAATACACCCTCCATATCCAACAAAATAAGTAACGAGCGTCCATTGTCTTTTGAAAGATCTCCTGGAGCTCGTCTCAAGCTTCCCCATCCTCCTCCGAGGAATCCCGTGACTTCTAAAACTTGAATTGAGAGCCAGAAGCTGGCCAAAGGAGACAATAAAACGTTATAATATCCTGTTGGAATGCACATTCTAAATAAAGATCTATCCACTTACAAAGTGACAGGGTTTTTGTCTCGGCGATCTATGGTTTTGATGCTGGAATTCATCATCCCATCACTGAAGATTCCCAGTTGTGGCCAAAGCACCCTAGCAAGACTCAGGCTAGCCTGGTTTGGATGCTCCAAACATTGCAACTCTTACCTCGAGCTCACGGATGCTTGCCTCGGTGGTAAACGTCTTATTACAATCGCACTGCGCGAGTTTACTCTTCAAATAATCTTTGTCTTTACGCAGTGTTTACCGTCTTGCCACAACGCAACTAACGCGAGCTTTCCCGACGTGGTTTCATCAATTTATACACGTCCCACTTGACAGACAACCTTCGAACGGCGCAACCACAGCTCAACTTTACAACCACAGTCTTGTCGCATTCACTACAAACTCCAGCTCTCTACATTTGCCTCCATCACCTCACCCATGATGAATTGCTCTCTGCCATAACTTTCGCGCGCTGAAGTGAAGGGGGGCTTGGCCGGAGATCATACGCGTACTCATCTAGGGACCAAGCAAGATGCCTTCCAATCTCCACCCCCAGGCGATGTTCGATCCCATACCGCCGGATCTCGACCTCAGCACCCTCGTCGAGAAGACGCCCAACTTCGACTATGTGATTCGCATCTCCACTGACCAGATCAGGGAGCTGGGTCTACAGGAATTCGAAAAGCTGGTCCTGCTGCATGTTATCCAGGGCGGCAAACCTCTGGTCGTGGAAGGTTGGGAGAGTGATCTGCCGCCGTGGCTGTACAGCTCGACCTGGATGCAGGATAACTTGGGCAAGAAGCGTCAGTATCCCCGCCTTACTTCAATATCACTTGCTAACATTCAGTAGAGGAGCAAGTTCGAGACATTACAAATCATACCAACATCCCCATGACAACCGGCCATTACCTCAATTCTCTTGAAAAACTGACGAGGCAATGGACGCCTACGAACTTCCGCGACCTCAAGCGACAGCGCCTCTACCTCAAGGATATCGACTGCCCGCAAGCATGGGATCACCAATTACGCGAATACATTCCCCAGACACTCCTCTACCTCAACAATTGCGTCGGAGAGAAGGGTGGCCCAGGATCCGTGCATGAGAGGGACAAATATAATCACCTTGTTATGGGGCAAGGAATTGCTCCAGCCGGCGACTTGATGAGCAATCTACCACCGGACATGCGGGCGGAAAACATGATGTGTTATATCGGCCACGAAGGGACCTACACCCCCGCCCACCGAGAGATGTGCGCAACAGTTGGGCAGAATATCATGGTCGAGACGTCTGATGTAGGCAAGGGCGAGACGCCGGGAAGCTCGATCTGGTTCATGACCGAGACGAAGGACAGGGAGGTTGTTAGCGAGTACTTCTTGTCTATGCTTGGTCACGATATCGAGGTTGAGAACCACTTTGCCCAGATTGTTGCGTGGAAAAAGGCGCCCTTCCCGGTTTACATTGTGGAGCAGAAAGTGGGAGATTTCATTCTCATTCCACCGCTTGCGCCGCACCAGGTCTGGAATAGGGGCACGCGGACCGTGAAGGTGGCCTGGAATCGCACGACGGTAGAAACGCTTGAGATGGCGCTCTCCGAAGCCTTGCCACGTGCCCGCATGGTTTGCAGGGATGAACAATACAAGTGCAAAGCTATTGTATTCTACTCGTTGTTGAGATACTACACCGGTCTACAGAAGGCGGAGAAGGAAGAGGAGTCTGGTTTCGGCGCTTACCAGTCAGAGCCGGTCAGGTTTGCTCCGAGGGTGAGACAGCTACAGCGAGACTTCAAGCGCCTTTTTGGGCTCTACAAGACGATTTTAGTGAGCGAGATGTTTTCCCCTGATATGCCGAAGGAGAACAATGTCGAGTTTATTCAGTTTGATAGCAACGTCACCTGCTCTTACTGTCGGTGCAACATCTTCAATCGGTTCTTGACTTGCAAAACTTGTGTTGGCGAACTCGAGAATGGCGACGAGGATACGTATGATATATGTATGGATTGCTACGCCATGGGTCGATCCTGTGCCTGTTTATCGAATCTTCAATGGGTTGAGCAGTGGCGCTGGCCCGAGTTAACTAAACGCTACGATGTATGGCGTGCGATGGTCTTGTACATTGATGGCTATGTGGATAACACCTCACCTCAAACATTGGAGATAGAGAGAAAGTATTCTGGCAAGAAGCCGATTGCTCAGATATGCCAAGAACAACTCAAAAAGAGGCCATGGCGCGACATAACGAAGCCACATGTACTTGATCCGCTTCCTGGCGACTCTGATGTAGAGCCAGAAGCTGATGACGAAGGTCGACCAAAGAAGAGGAAAGGCAAGCGGCAGTCTCTTGCTGGGAAGAAGCGACAGTCAACTTGCCATATCTGCAAAAAACTCGAGGCGGACTGGAAACTTGCTTTCTGCACTACCTGCCCACTTTCGTATTGTTATGGTACGCTTTGGCGGGCTTTCGACATCAAGCCAGAGAAGATCATGGAGACACTGGACTGGCAATGCCCGAAATGCCAGTTGATCTGCTCCTGCGGCGCATGTCGTAGACTGAACTCATCCAAGCAGATTCCCTATCAGCCGAAAGGCACATTACTTGGCCACGACACACGCATGGTCGCTGATCCGCGCAGTGTGGAAAGCTTGGTCGATTTCAGCCGCACAAACCTCGCTTGGTTGAAGGGGGAGGAGGATACAGCGCCGAAGGATTCGGTAAGGATGAAGAAGTTGATGGAGAAAGCGCAGGCTGAGAAGTCTCGTGACGAGACGCTGGAGGAAGATTCGGAGATGGGTCGGCGTATGGACAGTCAGCATATGGATATTCAGCCTGTGGGCGATGCGATCGACCCCGCGCTGCTATCTGCTGGGGATGGAGGGGCGCCTACTGCACCGATGTTTGGAGGAACAGACGTTTCCAACCTACCCCCGACCATCGATGTAGACGCGAACCCTGCCTTCGTATCCCCAGCCGACTTAATGAAAAATCCCGACTACTCCGTCTACCCAGGCCCACAAGGCATCCCTCGTGAGCGCATGATGGGGATAGGGTACTACCAGCAGCGCAACGACGCCGACAAGATCCTCTTCGACGCCCCCGACGCCACCGCCGACGACGAGCACCAGGACGCCGCATACCCGCGCCTTCAATCCGATACTGAAGATGGGCTTCTAGTGCAGCCGAACAAGAAGCGGCCGCGCGAGAGCCTGAAGGGACGCGTGGATGAGGCGCATTTACAGTTCCAGGCTGCGCAGAAGAAGCAGAAACTCACTGATGCGAAGAGGGAGGGGAAATTCTTCATGACGAAGAATAAGCTTGAAGGCGGGAAGCCGTGTAAAGTCAAGTTGCTGTTGCCGAATCATAAAGAGTTCCTGGGGAGACTGGAGGCGTTTGATGAGGAAGAGGAGGCGCCGAGACATAATCCGAGACCGGGAAGGAGGAGTTTGGCGAGGAAGGAGCAGGTGGCGGTTGATTCTACGGTCGTTACTTCTAATGTTCGCGAGGATGTCGTATACCTTGAGGACGATGAGGAGGAGGAAGAGCTGGAGATCAACACTATTGTTGCGGTAAGGCGTAATCCTCATGTTTCGATATCTGCTCCGCCGGAGAAGGAAGATACCATCGTCGTCGAGCTGCGGAAACCAAAAGGACGACCACCCAAATCCCAGGTTTCAGGACCTGCCGTTCTTTCGCCCACCCTCAGTAACAGTCCAGAGGCCCAGAGGCGCGGACGCGGTCGACTACCGCGCAGATCCGACGTTACTGAACCTGCGTTCGAGCCTGTCCTCAACAACAGTCCAGAAACCCAGAGGCGTGGACCCGGTCGACCCCCCAAATCCCAGATTCCAGAACCTCCATTGCCCGAACCCCACCTCATCAGCGGCCCAGAAAACCAGAGACTCAGACCCGGTCGACCGCGCAGATCGGACATTGCTGTTACGGCGGATCGCACGCCTGAAAACGGCATCACCTCTACAGCAGCAGCAGCAGTTGGGACGCGAATTCGAAGATCTGGGATGCTTCAGAAACCCGCAGTGCCAGCAGCGCCAGCAGCGGCTGCGACTGTCGAACCAGCTAGTAGCAGCCAGAAGAAACCGCCCGGACGACCACCGAGCAAATCTACATCTTTGGGGGTGGATGAGGGAGTACAAGCTAATAAACATCCGCGCTCACCAGAAGCACAAAATATGGAGGCGGATACGAGGCCGGAGAAGAAGAGGAGAGGGTCTATTCTATTCGTTTCCGATGATAGCGATGAGGTCGAGGAGGTGGAGATCACCAACTCGTTTACGGCTGTGAACTCTGTTCCCATCAAAAAGAAGACAGGTGCGGAGAATACACCCAAGGAGACGACGCGAGATGAACCTATCGCCATCTTCCCACCCCGACCGAACTCGACACCAAAAGACGCCGCGCACAGCCCGGGTGCAAGGCCTAGGAGCAGATACATGGACGGAAGCACATCCCTCTCCCCACGCCCCGCGCAGGGTATGAGTACAGATAGTCCCATCCGCTTCGACGGCGGCGACAACGGTGGGGTTGTTTACAACGACAACGACAACGATGATGGGGGATTCTTCTCCTCGCACTCCTCGCACTACCACTCCGCCACCCCTGACGTCGCGGAAGAGCAAGAACGACGCCCCCCCGCCTCAGGAAAAGCGTCCAGCGCGAGCAGTGTCATTTCAAGCAGCTACCGGGATGCGAAGATGGAGGCGATGCGTCTAGCAGAGGAGGGAATGGAGGAGGAGATGGAGAGGGCGAGGGTTAAGCGTGGTGGTGTACCTAAGCCTGCTGCGGTGGGGGGTGGGAGCGCGAGTTTCAAAGCGCAGTTTTTCGCTGAGGAGTCAGTCTCACCACCGCCGCCGCCGCCCCCAGTTAAAGCTGCACCAGTTACAGTTCCGATGACGAAGCTTGGTGAGACTCCCGCCGGGCAGCAGCCCGGGAAATCGGTGACTCCGGCGTCGAGGGGGGGGAGGGGCGGGATGCAGATACGCCTCCCTCGCCATTCGGAACCGAGGGGTGAGAAGGTTGGGAAGGCTGGGAGTCCCACCTCGGAGGAGTCGTCGGATGATGATGAGGATGAGGAGATTCCCGCGCGAAGAGTCGTCCCTGCTAGAGAGGGGATGAAAGGGTTGGGATTTGCTAGGAGGGGTAGGGGGAGAGGGAGGGGAGTATGTAGGGGGGGTTGATGGGGGAGTTATGTTGTGTGGGTGCACGGCACAGCGTTTTCTAGTTTTTGTTTGGGGGAGATAGAGGTGTTGATACGGAGAGATGAGAGGTTACTGACGGGGTGGAATGGGGAGTAGTAGGCTTCAAAGCTTTATCTGGCTTTTGTGGTCTGGTTATGTATGGGTGAGTAGGAAGCGCAGGGGTCAGAGAAGATTAAGGGGCCGATATACTATACGTCCAGCTATCAAAACTCGCAGAATCAATGGGTTAATCGAGCAAGTAGTCAACGCCCCCCCAAACTATGGAAGTGACCCGAGAAGTGAATGATATCCAGCCATCTCCATCTCCAACTCCAGCTCTGCAAACCACCATCCAGAGTAACACCCCATCCATCCAAAGGTGCCTCCAAAGTCCACTAACAAACGCATCACCTCCCACCCATCCCTCTCCCAAAAAAAAAAAAAGGACAGAAAAGGGCAATCCGCGCTCCGGATCTCCCAAACAGGCATTCGCAGCAAGGTAGTAGTGGGGCGGTTGAACGCAGAAAGTGATACCGAGAGCGGAACACCCCAACATGGTCGTCCGGCGGGTTAGCGGCAGGATGGAAACCGTGAGATATGATTGTTTGTCCTCCCTCTGTTTTGGAACCGCCACAATGGGGCGGGGGTGCAGGAGAAATCTAGACGCGTACTCCCCGGGGGGATATAGGAAGGAAGCGGGGGATCGATGGGTATAGGTAGTACAGAGGGATGGAAACGTGAGGTCCTGCAGAAAGGGGACACCGAACGGGGGAAATACCGCCGCGATGGGTCCTTGGAGCAGTATGGGGGACTGGATATGGAGTTTCCGGCGGCAGGAGGCCGGAATGGTTGTTAGGGAGGTGAGAGGCAAGAGGCGACAGATGTGAAGGTGGTACAGAGACCCAAGACGTGTTTTTCTCGCAGAAATGTGAAACACCATCGAAGGAGGCAACAATAGGATAGCAGTGTAAGATAGACGGCTTGACGTGATAGTACCGAAGACGGCGCCTTAACGGCAGGGGAAGTAAGGGAGGAAGGACGGCGAGGATCGTGACAAATACAGAGTGGTGCTGAGTCTAGGCCGGATATTCCTGCAGCAAAAAACGCACGCATACCTCGAACGGGCAAATACTGCCGCAAAGCCGCATCTCATAACTACGATGGAGCTTGAACCGACCGATATGATGTGACGCGACGTCCTCCGGCCGCCTCAACGGCCGCTCAGTAAAGCAAGGACGGATACTGGGAAGTCGATCCGCGATGAACTTCAAAATGCAGGGGAGGTAGCATCCAGCTCCAAGCTCGCAGAACGCACGAATCCCACGGATAGGTACAGAGATGCGATAGCGCGTCTCCCCATCAAGGCAATATCGCCATTATGGGCGCCACCCGAAGTAAGGGATCAGCGTTGGGGCGACGAGCGCGACAAATTCGGAAATAAAGAGTATGATAGATGCTGATACCGAACTGGAGCTTCCAGAACGCGTGAGTCCCGCGGGTAGGGACAGAGATGAGATGGCGCCCCTCCCCTTCGAGGCAATACCGCCTGAATGGGACATAACTGCTGTGGAAATTGGTTGTTGGTGTGAGCTTACCAAGCACCAGGATAGAGGAAGTAAGGGGGAGGTGTTGGGTTATTGGGTGCTGACAATGCTCAGTAACACTCCCACCATTGTCAGCACCCAATGGTGGGAGTGTTACTGAGCTTGAGCTCTAGGATGCTGTGATGGGAACTCGGAAGTAAGGGGTAGTGAGGGAGGGAGGATGACAAATGCAGAACTCGAACGCGAGAGAGTACGTGAACAGGACCGAGGCCCTCGAAGCCCAGAAACATGTTCACCCCTCCAAAAAAAGAGATTTGTGATACCTACCATCCATGGACGGGACACATAGACTTTGACGAGATATGACAGCCCAAAACCCCCTCCCCCCACCGAAAACGGCCGAGAAAAACGTGTCCTCACCCTTGCCGCCGCGAAAATAGGAAATGTGGAATGTGATAGGTGGGCTACGTCCCGAATACGGCGTGAGAAAAACGTGTCCTACCTGTCTGTACTTAGCTTTCAATGAGACCGAAATAATGTGATATGTGACAGCCCACATCCCCAAAACAGAACTCAGACTCGCGAAAAACGTGTCTACCCGAGCTGGGAAATATGAGATGTGACCGCGAAAACGTGCTCCCCCATCGTCTACCTCTAAAACAAAATGATATGTGACCAAGCCGCCCTACGCACGCCGCAGCAGACCCCCCGCCCGACCCCCCCGAAAACGTGGAGACGGTTTGGGGGCGGCACAGCGAGACTTGGCTGGGAATGAAGCGAGATGAGTGTGAGATGTGAAATATGATATGTGATGTGATAGTTATGACGTATTTCACATACGAGCTGCGCATACAAGCGAGCTGTGCACGATGACACCAAAACGCGTCAACTTGACAAAAGTCAACTTATGGCAACACCAACTCAAGCTAAATAATCGAGAGGGTAGAATACTATTAGCTATTCAAGCACTTAAACAACCTTATTTGCAGAGCAGAACATTAAGAGTGGGTTCCGAGCAACAGGACTAGTTCTATAGGAGCTATAGAATGTCCTTTCTCACTTGAATCTACACTTAAGAACTCCAACCCCTCTAATAGTTGAGAGTGGCAATTGGACTTCAAAGACTCCTCAAACTATAAGGGAGTTTGATTTTCAAACAGAGCATATTAAGAACCGTATCGTACGACATTAGAATAGCTCTCCTAGCTCAATTAATGACGCACTAAGCCGACTTGCTAAAGGAGCTTAGGTTATAATACATTCTGCTGTTCTACTTAAGGCAGAAGTCAAGGCTCTACAAGCAGCAAATGAACAGAAAAAGAGGAGGGAAAGGAAGCGTAAGAGGCGTACAATGCAAGGGGGTAGTCTCTCTGTACGAGAGGGAGAGGATACACCCTCCGTATCTCGTATATAGATCCGAGCACATCCATCAGTCGCGAGACACGGGTCGTGCGTGCGTTCCTTTGCTTCGGATACGGACTGCCAACGCATATGGATGTGGATTTTAGCATAACCGCGCGCAGCGCTGTTGGGAGCGAGTCTCGTCACATCACACCGGTCACGCGGCTATCACAATCACACCACCCCTTCCGGTCCTCCGGGTCGGGTTCGTAGCACCGTAAGCTTACAGTCCCGACGCAGGACCCCGAGACCCGGAGCGCGACGCCACGCGGGGTCGTCGGGGACTTTAGATCTTGGGAGCGTCAGCGCGCCATCGTGGGAGGGGATGTGGTAGGGGCGTCGTACTGCATTGTGTGACAGTGTGTGACAGTGTGTGACGGGACGTGGTGGTGGGAGGGGAGTAACCTGGGATGTGTGGTGGTGTTTGTCGACGCACTTTGTCGACGCACACACGGCACGGCTGGGCTGTGGATGGAGCAGGCTGACTACAGTGTGGTGGGCTGGAATAGAGGAATAGAATAGGGAAGGTGCGTTGTTGGAGGCTGTGGGCGTGGAGATAGCCGTGCGTGCTGTGCTGGGGGGGCTGAAAGGAAAGGGTGCTGCGTGTGGCTCGATGCGGACACTGAGGGGTGGAAGTGATTTGGCGTGTGGTTATGGGGAGGCTGTTTGTGTCGGGAGGAAAGGGGGATCGGCGCGGGTTTGTTACACAGCCAGACTTTGTGTGTGTTGGTCGGTCGGTTGGTCGTTGGGCGTGCCGTGCGTGCATCTTTCTCACTTGCAGCACAGAAAGTACAGTGTGCGAGTTTGATGAGAATGAGAAAAAATCGAGTTTCCCCACAATCCCTGCACGCACCACGCCCGTTTCAGATGCCGCGATGACAGTTTATAATTTACTTCTCCACTGTTCCCCAGGTCCGTCAGTGCGTTAAGTTAGCCCGGCTGGAGTTGCTGCTGTGTTGTTTGTTCCTCCACAGTTGCAATCGCACTACCAAACGCTACTAACACCACTAACACAAACTACTAACACAAACCCTCCCCCCTAATCATCCCCCTAATCATCCCCCTAATCATCCCCCTAATCATCCCCAGCCACCACCATCCCCACCTGCACCACTATCCCCATACCCCGCACGCCCTCACCTCCCATCACCTCGACCTCTTCCCCACCCCTCTTAGCAGCCACGCAGCTCTCAGACACTCGACACTTCGTCAAGACACACTCTCGAACGGGAGGAAATACGCGAGCCATGTGTGGGTGAGTGAGCAGTGGGAGTGAGGAGTAAGGAGTGAATGTTCCAGACTATTTACGGATAGTCACCTGGTCTCTGCCCCTGTGCCGATGCGGGAGAGGGAGGGAGAGGGGTGGGCATGGGATCGCAAGGGCGTGGGATGGAAGGATGAGATGTCTCGCTCAACCGTAAACGAGGGGATAGGTACTTTTGCTTTGTCTTGCTCTGTAGTTATATTGCGTCACTCAGTGGAGTCTGCCGCTGCTGCTGCTGCTGCTGCCGTTGCGGGAGGGAGAGCGCGTGGGAGGCGGATGGGATGTCTCGTCTATATGGGAGCGAGAGGGAGAAGGATGACATGTCTCGTCTATGTACGGAAGTAGATGGATGCGATGTCTCGTCTATGTACGGAAGTAGATGGATGAGATGTCTCGTCTATGTACGGAAGTAGATGGATGAGATGTCTCGTCTATGTACGGAAGTAGATGGATGAGATATCTCGCCTATGTACGGAAGTAGGATGAGATATCTCGTCTATGTACGGAAGTAGATGGATGAGATATCTCGCCTATGTACGGAAGTAGGATGAGATATCTCGCCTATGTACGGAAGTAGATGGATGAGACATAATGTAGATGTGATATCACCGAGGAACGCCTAGCGTAGGTTTATCCGAGCCGGTGCAATGAGACGCTCTGAGCACTAGCTCGGATTATTGTCCAGCCGGTCTGCGCACATCCGTCGCAAAATCGGCCGTTAGTTAATCCGAGCTGTCACAACGAGTCGCTCGCTCCGTTTGCTCCTTGCGCCAGCCGGATTAATGTACGACTGATTTTGCGCAACGAGTCGCTTCCTGTGCGCTCGTTGCGCCAAACCGGCCGTGAGTTAATCCGAGCCAGCTGGCGACTCGTTGCGCTAGAGCTGGGTCGGATTAATATCCGGCTGATTTTGCGCACATCCGTCGTAGGACGTGCGCTAAATGGGCAGGCTTGGCACGTAGGAGAGGAGAGCAGGAGAGTGGAAGAGCAGAGCGGAGGGTAGCAGAGCGGAGGGGAGCACATGTTCAGCGTGGCCACCCCACCGAAAGTGCGCAAAACCATTGCTCGGTATGCGACATTTGCGCATATTTGGCGTGTGGCGGTGCGCCTCCAACCAGCCTTGCTGACTACTACTAGTCAGAGGCTGAAAGGACAGGAGGGATGGGAACAAATGCTGTCGCCGTGCCATGAGCAGCAAGGCGACAGCTCACGGCGGCCGACACGCCGAGAAGTGGAAAAGCGCACGCTAAGTGTCGCTTTTGCGCACTTCCACAGGTGTGGCGGTGCAAGGTGCGCCACACCTTGCACTACTGCACCACACGGCCTCCAACCAGCCTTGCCGACCGTTGTAAGGCTGATAGGGAGGCTGGGGAGGGAAGGGAGTAAGGCTGGCCGCCTCACGGCGGCCGACGGCGCCAGGAACGGGCACAAGCGTCGCATAGCTTGCGCTCGTGTGCGTTCTCACAACTGTGGCGGTCGCTAGCACCACCACTCTGTCAGCCTTAGGCGCACTTGAAGGCACAAAGGGGAGAGGGAATGGGGACAGGCGACTGCGCACAGCGGCAGCCGAGAGCACCGAGAACGCGCACAAGCGTTACTCGGTGCGCTTCTGGGCGGATTTTGGCGTGCGCTTCTTGCGCAGATTGATGGGTGGGGAGGTGCAGTCACGTGCGCTGCGCCATCACGCCCGCCTCACCTAGGCCGGCTTACTTGTACTCACTTTCCCACTATATCCGCGACACCATGGGTCCGCAAGGTATCACACACAGGCACACAGACAAGGACGGGTTTTTTTTGTTTCATGTACGTAGGGTAAGGGATGGGTGGGAACACAGCATGGTCGAGACTGAGCTTATCAAATAAATTAATCTGCTCACCTAGTTTTTTTGTGGGATAGTCGTTTTGACGCACTTCCGACATTCCGCCATACCCGTACAGCAGATCGTCAGTCACCCACCTCCCGTCTCCTCTGCCGTTGATAGCGATGCTCCTGCGTGTGTGTCTCATGATGACACTCCCTACGATCTGCCTCCTTACAGCACCCTCCCTGTCGCCCCTTACTTGGTACACCCTCACACCCTCAACTCACAACACCTCTCATCAATTAATACAGTATCTCATCACCACCCAACAATCCCACACCCCATCACCGATTCCGGACCCTCCCTCCCCTCTCCAGGTTTTTCTTCTCTACAACACCTTTCCTGTATCCTAAAAACCAAAAAATCGACATTATTCGCCACCATCAGTCCCCTATGCTCCGTCCCGTGCCGCCCTCCCTAGTCGCTCTGTACTGTACCCCTTCGCCGTGTATCCGCAGCCGTACCGTAGCGTTAACGTAACGCCAAGATGTGGTGTTCGTACTGTACGTAGAGGAGTGGGTGGAGGACAGGAGAGGAGTGGATTGGAAGCCGAAGTGTACGTACATGTCCCTCAGTCCCGCGTTCGCATCGCATCGCCCCCCTGGCACCCTCACAGCCCAGTACTGTATGTAGGTTATTTCGCATTCCAAGCAAGCAGCGTATATCGTATAACCACCGCCCATGAATGGTTAGCACAAACATCCAGCTGCCCACAACAGGACAAGCCCGATCGGATATCAGGGCTGTACAGTACACAGACACAGCCAGCCAGGTAGGACGATGACCAGGACAGGGCAGGGTATGATGCAGATGTGAGAGGATGCGGTGTTAGCCGTACACCCTGGGCGAGTACTGTTTGGTCTTTGGCTCTGGATGTTGTGGGATGGTTCGCGATGGTTCGCGATGGTTCGCGATGGATGGGTTGCTGCACATCTGACTTTGTTGGAACTGGATGGGTGGCCGATGATGCATGCGCGTGGGTTTGTTGGGGTCCTGTATGTGGGAGGATGGGAGGGAGATACGCACCCTCACTGGTTCGCGATGCAGATATGATGGTGTCGGAATCCACGCCATCGCACCCAGCAAGGCGAGAGAGATGCTGCGCGTGGACGGAAGGCTTTCCCTCCCCTCGCCCATTCGTCCATATCACCATCATCATAGCTCGCCACCCCCCAATGACGCCAACACGGGTCGCTGGGTTGGACTACCACGACGCGCACAGGTGGGGTACCGGTGGTCGCTTCGGGAACGAAGGGAGCGAAAGCCTTCGGTGCAGATTGCAGCCGACGAGATGCGGGTGAGACATCTGGATGGCCTTCTCCTGCGCCTGCGTGCGGGCCTGCGTACAGACCAGAAAGCAGACTCGTAAGCGAGAGTCGGAGAATTCGATGGCCGTTATGCATGGTATGGTATAGTAGATTGTCGCAGATTGATAGTGGAGTGAGACGACGGAATGAGGAAACAGAGCCCACACCACCCTGATCGCCGGCTTGACAGCATCCCCGATCTCGAATCCCCCACTGTCGATGGGCTGTGAGGGATGTGAGTGGACGGAGGGGGTGGTGGTAAGGGGGGGTAGGGGGGGGGGACCCCCACTTTTTGGCACGTACTCGGCTCGAAGTAGGAGAAAAGTTAGAGATGGAGACCGGGAATGGGGTATGTACAGCATGTGTGGTGAGCGCGTGATGAAGAAAGCCCGACAGGGACGAACGACAACGGCGAGCGACAACGGCGAGCGATGGCGTCGGCGATGGCGTCGACGATGGCGCCCTCGGTCTTCCAGCTGCACAATCTATAGAGCCCACCCCTTCCCCCTCTGGGTTAGATGCGCGCGCTATACCCCCCCTCCCCTCCCGAGACGTGCTTAGCGACAGGCCTATGCGTGCATGGACCACTGGGGGAGCTGGGCGGACGCTTTTGGGTGGGAGTGCTCGGGAGGGAGATGGGCTGCTGGACTGGACGAGTATCCGCGCATACCGCGCGCAGTAGGGGTACGCCAGATCGCTGGGGGGGTTGGGGGTGAGCCTGATTGAGCCTGATTGAGGTTGTTTATTGATATTAACGATTATGCACGACACGACACAGCACAGCACAGGACGACCCCCACTCCGGCTGGTCTGTGTCCCTGTGTCCCTGTCTGCTGTCTGCTGTCTGTCTGCTGTCTGCTGTCTGCTGTCTGCTGTCTGCTGTCTGCTGTCTGCTGTCTGCTGTCTGCTGTCTGCTGTCTGCTGTCTGCTGTCTGCTGTCTGCTGTCTGCTGTCTGCTGTCTCCCTCTCTCCCTCCCTCTCTGCCTCCCTCTTTTCGCACCAAAACGCACCTGTCCGCTTTAAATGCCCTCTCTCCCGTCCACCCGTCCACCCGTCCACCCGTCCACTCGCACCGTGATTGGGGATGTGGAGCAGACCCTCGAACAGATGGAGTGGCCAATCACAGTGTGCAGTTGGTGGGTAGACCAATCACAGACAGCGACGTAGCACACCCCGAGTTGCTCGCTTACAGCGCGTTGTGGTGTGTGTCGTTGTGGTGGGTGTCGTTGTCGTTGTGGTGGGTGTCGTTGTGGTGGGTGTGTTGGTGTTGCCCTGCAGCTGAGCAGTTTCGCTAGTGGGTCAGGTTTTACACGAAATCGGCGTGGTGCAGGTATATAGTGCCAAGCACTGTCGACACGGGGGAGGGGAGGAGGGGAGGGGAGGGGGGAGGGGGAGGGGGGGAGGGGGAGTGGTGGGTACCGGGATACCTATGACACTTATGACTGGACACACCACTCGCGCCATTTGATGCTGCACCTGCCTGGCTGGTCTGGTTTATGGGTGAGACAGCCATGGGAGCTTTTTCTTATTCCCCGTCTGATGGATGGTCTTTTCTCTATTCTCTTTTCTCTTTTCTCTCTTCTCCGCTCTCCAATGTCTGTGCTAACACTGTAACTACCTCGCGCACAGGCCCTGTCCCCATCCCATCGCCAAGTCTTGCCTCTTTCCATCTTACCCATCCGCTAAACTTATCTGAGAAGGCACTAGCATGGCTGCACCCGCTGCACCCACTCTTCTGTCTCTATCTCCACCCTGTCTCCACTCTTCTGTCTCTGTCTCCACCCTGTCTCCACTCTTCTGTCTCCGTTTCTGTCTCTGTCTCCACCCTGTCTCCACCCTTCTGTCTCCGTTTCTGTCTCTGTCTCCACCCTGTCTCCACTCTTCTGTCTCCGTCTCTGTCTCTGTCTCCACTCTTTTGTCTCTATCTCCACCCTGTCTCCACTACTGTAACCTGCTGCAACCTGCACCTGCTACCCCCCTCGTCCTCGTCCTCGTCCTCGTCCTCATCCTCATCCTCATCAGCCACACCCCCCCCCCACCCCACCCTATCTCCACCCCTCCCTTCCTTCAACCTACACTCCAACTGTCCAGCTTTTGTATATCTTCACCCTCGTCCCCATCCCCATCAAACCCACCCACATTTCATCTCTGTCGCCTTGCTTAATATACTTATCTCTCCCACTCTCTCTCTTTCTTCACACAGGACGAACATCCACATCCACGTCCACATCCACATCCACATCCACATCCACATCGCATCAATCTACCTCTACTGCCTTGGCCCCAATACCGCCGCTACTCCTGCACCTGCCGCCGAAGGGAATGATACCATCTGCACCTCACCTGTCGTCAATCTTCCTCCCCAGCCTTGCCTGTTCGCCATAGCACGCACCCACGTTGTCTCATATCGTCATCAGCATCCACCTCACCATCGCTCACAAACATACTTCATCAACCCTCTCACCCACCTCACCTCACCCCACCTCGTCCACAACCACAACCACAACCATCACCTACACCACATCACCCACCCACAACCACCCACAAACAACCACCCCCAACCAACACAATGGCCCAAGAAATCGACTGGTCCCCCTCCTACTGCCTCGCCTGCGACCGCCAAACCTACACCTCAGCCTACTGCTCCGAATCCTGCCGCCTCGCCGAATACGAATCCTCCGCCTCTCCCTCCTCCCACTCCTCCTCCCCCTCCTGGCCCTCCCACTCGCACACACCCTTCCAGCTCCCCTCCGCCTACGACTTCTCCCAGAAGACCTCTTCCGCTGTCCGCCCCGCCGTGCACGCACGCCCACACTCCCAGCCCCAGCCGCGCCAGCAGGCTACCTACTCTGTGCCAGGCCTCCAGACGAGGCCGGTGCTCACCCCGAGTTCCAGCCAGAGCTCGCTGTTCTCGATGCAGAGTGCTGCGAGTGTGGGAGAGGCGGTGTCGGAGGAGGCGAGGAGGGAGTTGAGGGGGTATGCGAGCGCGTTTGATCAGAGTCGGTATCAGAAGAGGCAGAGCGCTTCGTAGAGGGTGTTTAGTTGACGGCTTTGGCTTTGGCTACCACTCTACTCTTTCGGGCGACTATGCTTCACCTTCACCACTACGTATTCTTATATCTTTTAACTCTTACGACTTATCAACGACTCACGAACCGGCGCATCTCCGCACATACCCATACCACACAACAACGCGCCATGACACGACCACGCACACCCCCCCCCCCCCCCCAATCCATCATCGGTTTGGATTGGGGCTCGCATTTTTCCACTTCTGAACTGTCTTGTCTTACACTTATCATTTTACATCCGCATCATCTTTGGAGGTTTTGCCCTATCTGTCCATCTATCTACACCAACCGGGCTGGCATCTTTGTCCGTTATAAACGCCGACGAGAAAGAGATAGACGGCAGGTAGGAACTAGGGACTGGGGATTGGGAACAAATCGGCGTTACAGCATCGGGCTTTTTTACTCGCCACTTTTTTATATTTTACACCGTCATCATCATCAGAGAAGAAGAAGAGAGAAAGACGACGAAGATTACTTGTACTTGCATACCCCGGCGCCTATCATCAGTCATAAAAGTACCCCCATCTCTCCATACACCACCGGGGGGTTGCTTGCATTGCATAATTTCCTTTGTTCGGGCTTCTGTTCTTCTGCTCAGCTTTTTTTTTGGTGGGAGACAGACAGGGAAGGTTGCATTTATTTTTATTGGGCATCATCATGGGGAGGGGGTCATTCATAGGGAGGCATCGGGATCGGGAAGCGAAGCATGGGGGATATCATACCATTTTGTATTAAGCGTACGCGCGGGGGATTTTGTGTTTGGGAGGGGAGAGGAAGGGGACAGAAGAAGGAGAGAGGGGGAAGGAGGGTTGTACGCATACCCTTACGGCGACCCTTGGCCAGTCGGTCAGGCGATCTTAGATAGCAGATCAGATTAGGCATCAGCGATAGGTGCTTTGTCAAGGAAGAGATTTTGTTCTGTCGCTTTGTTTGTCTTTATCTTGTGAACTGTTGTGAACTGTATTGTGTTGTGATTTGATACCGAGATGTTAACGCAAATGATAGATGATGCCCCGCGTCCACGCCCACAAATACTCGCCAACGCCTCGCCACGTTCTATCACCCCCCTTACCGCGGTTCCGAATCGCCTGGGGATAGTCTTCTCCTTACTAGCCTAGTTTTCGAGATTTGTCAACCAGCTCTCCCTTGCATCCCTCACTCACCACCGTTAAGGCGGCCGGGGTCTAGTATACTGCGCTGTCGTGCCATCACGATGCAGCGCGCGTGCGGTGGTATCACTCTTCTGTGTCTACTGGGGAAGGGGCATCAGATCACAGGGTTCCTGCGCGGCGGCACGATTTCGGTGCCGTCTACAGGGCGGGATATCAGTCCTGATCCCATTCTTTTGGAGGAACGGGGTCCTCTGTGGGACGACCACATTCTAGGCATCTTGGCCTTGGTAGGGGTATCTCATCCATCTCCCCGTTTTCAGATCTGGAATTGTTGGGGATGAACAGGTCCTACGCATCCTAAGCTTGGTAGCACATCTCTCTTCTAGATTTCTGCGTTTGTCATCATCAATCCCCCCCCTTTTACGTCCCTCAACGCCCATCCCAGGGCTCGCCTCATTTCCCCATGCAGTTGCGCGTCATTGCGGTGCTCGTGGGTTGTTGTGTCCGCGGGGTGGGAGATGGCGAGGACGTTACAGCGGCACAGCCCTCGTTCGGGGGGTGCGTGCATTCCTGTCTCTTTTGTGGGCGTCCCGCGCTGGGCGCCACTTTCTTAGGTTGTTGGGATCGAACAGGGTCTAGATATTCTGGCTTGGTGATGTTGGTGTTACCATCGCCTTTCTTTCTCCTCTCGCTCGTCGCCCATTTTCACGTCCCGCTTTGTCACCATCAACACCCCGCCCCCTTACTTCCCTTAGAGCCCATTCCAGCACCCCGTTGCAGAGTATTGCCGCGAGATAGCCATGTTCGTGCCCCTACGGAGGAAGAATCTAGGTGGTTTCATATGCATGCGGTTCCAGCCCATTACAGCGGTTATTCTCCTCCCAGTGGTGTGTGGAGTTTCTCTCCCATCTGCGGGAGGACACGTTTTGGGCGTCCCGGCTGGGGGGAGGGTGGTAGCACATCACTCTTGCATCTCATATCTCCTGCAGCTTATATCTCGTGCATCTCATATCTCTCTTACATCTCCATCCTGGTCGTCAACCTTCCCCCCTTCCCCCTTACTTCCTAGTACAGCGCCTGTTGAACTACCTAGCATGGGGAGAGGAGGAGGATTTGTAAGATCCTGCATGCATGCACGACCATCCCAGTACGGCGGTGTTGGGTTGGTAAGCTATTGATGCTGCAGCATGTATGCATGTGTGCATGCGGGGGGACTTTTGGGGATGGGATCATGGGGGGTTTAGACCGGGGGGGGGGTCTCTTACGGTCTCTTCTATTGGACTGTTGATGTATGTCTCGGATGGCGGCAGGTTCTTCGGCGTGGCCGGGGTGAGGGGTTGGAGAGGGCGGGGGGAGGGGGCGGGGGGTGGTCGTGTTTCCTTGTTGGGTGTTTGGTTGATTGGATGAGGGTGGGTGGCAGTTATGGGAGGAGGGGAGAGGATGGGAGGGAAAGGGGGAGGGAAAGGAGGAGGGGATGGGTCACGTGTGGAAAAGGGGGAGAATTTCAGGAAGAGGGAGAGGAGTGTCCTGGGGCACGATGCTAAGAAGGGGGTAACACCAGGATGGATATAAAACTTGATATTGCACTAACGCTACGGAGAAAAACGAGAAGTCGAGGCAGAAGGACCAGGCCTATACTACAGTCTCCAGTGCGCTAGCTACATGAGTGCACTGTCGCGCGTTCTTGTTGAAGAAAGTTGAAGAACTAAAGAAACAAAAGACGACCTTCAAACTCGGAGACGACGAAGAAATCCCCCTGACAAAGACAGCAGTGCCCGCCGGTGCCGACTAATACCCCTATTGTCCACGTGATACTCCCACAAGGAGTCGCTGTAATTCAGGGGTGTTTTCAATTGCGAACTCCTCCCGAGGTAAGCGTCTTTAACGATCATTAATCGCGACATTGCAGATTGGGAATCCGTCTGTGCAAGAATCCAAAGCCCTTACTTATATGGGAATCCGCTCCATATTTCAAGAGTCGAGACGTTGTCCAAACAGAAGCGTTGTCTACACGTGGAAACCGTGTCAAATCTGGTGGTTTCTTCCAGTCACCGTCCTGGCGTAGAAGATATTCATTGCCCTTGAAGTCAACATTGACAGTGCAAGTCTTGTCGGTGGGATATGGAAACGTGATCGCTAGATTATAGAGTACGTCGGGGACAGCTTAATATGAAATTCTGGGGGAAACGGACGTTCCCGTGCGTGAGATATGGTGGACTTTTACGCCCAAAAATGACAGGTTTTCCCCAGGGAACTGTCCAGCTTCCCAGTTAGCTCACGAGTCAGACAGTGGCGCCAGGCTATTGAAAGCCACTGACTGAGCTCAGCTGAAGCCCAGGGTGTTGGGGGTTTCCCCCAGGCCTACAAATAGCGTACGTAAGCCCGTAGATTAGGCTGTAATCCACTGTACTCTACTGTGAAGCTTCTGCTCCGTTGCCCGAAGAGGCTGATATATGATGTTTCTAAGCTTTGGAGGATTCCAATTACGATCGCCAATCTCACAAACTCTCGCTGACGACGCCATCTCCGGTCTGCATGCCATACATCAGTTGGGAGTATTGCAGGGTGATCCAGCAGCCCGGAACATTCTCGCCCACCCAGATCGGCCAGGAATTACGTGCATTGACTTTGAACGAGCCGGGTTCGTACGCCCACGGGCGGTACTCGGAACTCTATCTCCAAATCGGAAACGAAAGCTTGGCTGGTCTCACGAAGAAGGGAAGTGTCAGAATGGAAAGAGCAGCAAGAAGATACCTGCATCAGAGATAGGTCAAGCTAAGACGGAGCTGGCGAGATTGGTGGTGAAGTAGGAGTAGTCATTTCTACAGATGCCGACCTCATTCGGCCCGGAACGCGTATCCCGAAGAAGTCTGATAGCAGGATGAACTCTCTCCGGAAGTCGTCACTGATGAGCCTCGACACCGACATTTCCGTACGAGACAGTGCCAACTCAGCTCACGAGTTCAATAGACACAAATCACGAGTTCGACGCAGGAAGCCACCTCTCATTCCACAATTTCGACGCCAATTCCGGATGTGAATAACGCGGCGAGATCCGGTGGATACTCGCCGGGCGGTGCTGTCATACTGGATGCAAGACTAGGGCAGACACGAAGAGCTCGAAGACGTCGAAGTATGGGACAAGACCTGAGCCAGAAATGGAAGGACGGCTGCTAGGCGAGTTTGTGCCTGTCGTGTAACAGCTCACACATTTCACAGTAGTGAAAACGAAAGCAACACCCCAAGTCCATGTATGCCCGTTCTTGCTTATGCCCGTGATCTTAGCGCTGCCGGTCCTGCAGAGCTCGCGCTCTCTGCAGGTATAGTCGCCGAGGGCCACGAGGTAGTTGTAGCACGCAATTACGTCGTCGACGTCGGCGACGTATTCGCACCCCTCGCTGGGGGTGCGGCAGCGGGGGGTCACTTGTGTGAATTCATCGTCTCGGGGCGCGACTGTAGATGGTGTGTTGGTTTGCTGGGGTGATATAATGGGGGCGGGAGTGGGTGATGTTATGGGGGTAGGTGTGACTTACGGGCTGAGGGAGACGTGGTGAAGAGCTGCTCGCAAGCCGAGTTCTTCGAGGGAGGGAAGGCGTTTTCCTAGGGTAAACTTGGGGTAGGAGGCCGATGCCACTGCGATCATGGATGCGAGAGCAACGAATATTCTAAGAGGAGCCATTTTAACCATTTTTGTAACGGGAGTCTGAAGTTGGAGTTTTGGGAAGAATCGGACGGGGTGGGGTGATATTGAAATGAGAAGGGATATTCTACGTTATTTAAGGGATTTCATTGTTGTGCTTGCATTTGGGCCGTGATCCTTCGATCCTACGCTCACACTGGTGCAGGCTCGTGGGTTGAATGAATATAAAGGGGGTGCCTATTGTGCCCTACTTGCGAAACTGACCTGTATTCCCACGATTTTGGAGCGAAGGTTGCCCAGAAAACGCATTCCACACATCAATACAAACTCACTCTGATACTTAGCAATGATTGGTCCCTCCGAAGAATAGCTTTGGCGACAAAGATTCTCTTGGTCACCTAGATTCGCTGTTGGGCAGAATTATGAAATCATCGCTCTATTTTCTTCTCCATCAAGTTTGGCTATAACTCGGCCGACGTGAGCCGAAAGCCCCTTCATCCATGTCCTGAGCAGTGGGTATATGATCCGAAAACGCCTGCAAAACAATATCCCCCTTCCCAACGCCTCCCTCCCAAAGAAGCAAAACGCCCCCAACTACCTACTCCTTAGGCTCCTTGGGCTCCTTCTTCTTATACTTCCCCCGCTTCCCGCCCACAATCTGCGTATCGGCATCATCGTCGGCCTCCCCCAATTCCTCGCCCACCAGATTTTCAACCCCCGTCTTCGTGATCTTGTCATCGCTCACATCAACCGCCTTACGCGCAGCATCAATCTCAGCCTTGCGCTCAAACACCTCCTCGATCTTCCCCAGCTTCAGCGGGTCCTTGCGGCACGCGAACTTGAAGTCCTCGAGCTTGACCTTCTGCCGTCCGGCCAGCTGCGCGGGGCGGTCTGCTTCAAAGCACAGCTCAATGATGAAGTCGGAGAGCATCTCGTCGAGCACACGAATTGTGCCGGGGAGGGAATTTGGGACATCGCCGTGGGCATAGAGGAGCATTTGAACTGGAGGGGGTTAAAATGTGAAGTTTGGCAGGGGTGGGGGCGTACGCACGTTCTTGGTCGGTGAAGTTCTGCTGGCCGCGATTTTTGGCGGCGCGAGCCCGGGGCTCCATGGTGAAGTTAGCGGCGAATAACTGTACAAAACGGACACATGTAGAGGTGATTGGATAGTGTATAGAGTAGAGTATAATTTACAAAAATTGCTTACCGGATTCTTGTGAGGTGGTCGAGGGGCCATGGTGACGTCGGCGTCGGCGGGACGATTTCCCGCGTCTCGGTGAATTTGTTGTTGCGGTACCGAGAGACTGAGAGGACAACTTTGTTGCTTGCAACCAGACCTGCCGGGACAGCAGATCAGTTACAAGAAACGGCTTCTCAAGATGGTATGCAAGGTTACCTTTATACCCAGGAATTTGATGCTGACAAACAAACTAGACGGCTCTTTTTAACTTCCAGTCTTTGTTGCTGGTGTTCCTCCTCCTCATCTGCACAAGCGCGTACGCCCACCAGCTGTTTCCAGGGATTATGGACAGGAATAAGAATGGGTAGGTCGCACAACCACAGGTTGAAGATTGATAACTGACGATCGCAGTGTCTTGGGTGTCTTCTGGAAATGCGCGCGGATAGGAGAACGGCTGAGCCCGTATATAAGTATATGTTGCCTGCTCATGGCTGTAAGTCATTCATGCAACCTCCCATGGCCCAGACTGACACCAGATAGGGCTCCCTTCTCATTGGCAACTAAAGCGACTGCGATTAAGAATACTGGCGTTTGGGAATTCACATGGGAGATATACCATTATAGTACGGTATCGATGAGGGACTTCGATGAGAGCATCATAGTCATAATGAAAACGAAGATATTGTGTATATCAGTGTATACTATCGCCTACAGCCATTGAACTATGCATGTGTTTTTATTATTGTGGTATCGATTCAGTTGAGAGCGATGCCTCTGAGTCCTCCCAGATATCTCTGCTCTCCTTCTCCACGGCCTTCATCGCATCGGCGACGACCTGCAGTTTCGCTACCACATCAAGAACTCCACCATTGACCCGCTGGAAATACTCGTCATTGGCTTCTCTCCTTTGGCGGGCCAAGCGTGTGTCTGCGTCCGTCTCCTCGTCCAACGCATCCGTATTCACATCCACCGGAATGCTTCCCGATACACCACTTGCACTCTTTCCTTCAGTTTCTTCTCTCCCTTCACCTGGCAACAAAGAGCCTCGACACCACGTAGCGCTCCTGTCAATGGTCTCAACCGCATCATCGGCTCCGCTCCTGACCCACGCTTGTGCCAATGCAATCTGTGCCATCCGAAGACTGTCCAAGGCCTTCGTATGCTCTGGACCAAACACTTGCATGCCATTGACCGCATTAATCTCAACCTCCTCCAGCGTAGACTGCATCTGAGCCCACAACGCATCCGTCTTATCCGCCTGTTTCTGGCTCTCGGATTCCATGCGGGGCAGGGGACGTGGGATCGTAGAAATGTTCGTGGGGTCATTAAGGCCTTCCCCATTAACACGAGGAACATGCCAATTAGATCGCTGGCGGGTGAGTGGAATGCGACTTCCATTTGAGGATACTGTCATGGCATTGGTGGTTTGCGCAAGGTTTGTGCCCATTTGGGAGGGCCCTGCCAGTGAGATGTTGGAGGCATTTTGAGAAGGTGGCCCCAGAAATAGGGACGGAGGAGGTTCCCTCAACCTGCCCTTATTTGTAGGCGTTTGAGACATGGTGAGTTGGGAACCGTCCTGTCATTATTGGTTTGCATGGTCATGGTCAGTCCTATTTCACGCACGAATCCCCATACCTTGGGAGCTTGACGAGGCTGCCAAGCATTCTTGCCTCGCGAAAGATCCTTGCCGAGCCAGGCCCCAATTTTTCCCACATCACGTGATGCTGAGGAACCGAAACCCTAGTCCCACCACCGAATATTCTTCGCGAAGTTGTATTTCGAGAATCAATCGACAAACGCCAAACCACACCCTCCATTTCTCGCGATCAACACATAAATCGGTATGTAGCGCCTGCATATCCCCCATTCCCAAAAGACATTATTATTCGCGTTTACAAAATCCTTTCGACCGCCTTCGAGTAACGAAACCCCCCCGTCGACAACCGGCCAAGACCCTCGCGAACTTGAATATATTAGCTAACCTACGACTTGTGCAGCAATCATGGGTAAAGGAAAGCCTCGTGGTCTTAACGCCGCTCGCAAGCTCCAAAACCACCGCCGCGAGCAAAGATGGTCCGATCTGTCCTTTAAGAAGCGCGCCCTCGGAACGGCTTTCAAGTCCTCCCCATTCGGTGGCTCTTCCCACGCCAAGGGCATCGTCCTCGAGAAGGTCGGTGTTGAGGCCAAGCAGCCCAACTCCGCCATTCGCAAGTGTGTCAGGGTCCAGTTGATCAAGAACGGAAAGAAGGTTACCGCTTTCGGTATGTTCGCACACGACGATATGCCCAGCGGACAAACGGGATGAGTGGAAGGCTAACACATGATTCTAGTCCCCAACGATGGTTGCTTGAACTTCGTCGACGAGAACGACGAGGTCCTGCTTGCTGGTTTCGGTCGTAAGGGCAAGGCCAAGGGAGATATTCCCGGTGTCCGTTTCAAGGTTGTCAAGGTCTCCGGTGTTGGTCTTTCGGCATTGTGGAAGGAGAAGAAGGAGAAGCCGAGATCGTAGATGCTTCCTTGTGCTTGGTACGACAATGGGCAATGGGTGTTATTTTTGCGATACATGGGCTTTACGCGCGCTCGGATTCATGATAGCAATCTAGAGTAGCGAATAGCTACAGAAGGTCACCAAACAAGAGACATTCACGATCATCCGTTGTGTGTTTCGTCGCCTGTTTTCTACTGTGAGCAGCAGGTTGGCTTGTGATACTGCTAACCATCGATTCAGAGCAAGACATGGCTTGTCGATTTCCCAGTGACTACAGCCCTTTCAGTGTGACATGGACATCCTCGACCAAGGGCAGTGAAAGTTATCTCCACCTCTACTCATCATTTTTCTTACTTCTCTTCATATTTCCATCGTTAAGTCAAGGCATCTTCTGCAGTTCTCTGTACCACCCATAGAAGGCCGTCTGTTACAACTTTGGTAGAGCTACCACCACCTCGCCGTTCTCGATCCAAGGATCACTTCTCCAACGTCTGTCTTCGGATGGATGAACCGAGTTTAGAGATCTAAGGACGGATCTTGAGCAGACAGCCGCCCGTCTTGGGAGGTATGTCGTAATGAGGTGCAACTGTTTCGTTTGAGTTGAACGCTGCCGCCCCATGTGCCACTAGGCGGATGGGGGAACTGGCTACGTTCTTAGTAATGATCCATACATACCTTCTATAGTTGGGGAGGTTTTGAATATAATTTCGTTTCGTCGATACACCTATTTCTGTGGCGATTACTTCATTGTGAGATTTGTGGTATGGGTCCTGCCAAAGAGGTAACTCTGAATTAGCAAGTCTTTGTTCTTATGTTCGAATTAAATGGTCTGATACTCACAACCTACATTTTTAAACCACGAGCTATCTTTGTGTGGCTTCACAATCGCCATTCAGGGTCTCTTTAGGCCTTTTACGCAACCCTATCGCCACGAATTTTGATACAGACTGGATAACAAAATAATATATAATACGATTAATGCCTCCCAACCATTCCCCTCTTTTCCATATTCACTCTCCATACATCCCACTCGACTTCTCAAACCTCTTGACTGCCAACACTCACTATTGGATATCTTCCACCAAAGCACAATTCAAAAGATCCCATTTCAAATCCAACATTATCACAACCCAAACCCCAAAATGTCCGCCCCAGCGACATCCCTCGCTCCTCCCCCCACCTCTCTGGACAACTTCACAGCCGACCTCTTCCTCGCCCTCCACTCCCCCACAACCCCCCAATCCAGCCTCGCCATAACCCGCGCCTTCACCCTCATCCTCCGCGCACACAATCTCTCGTCTCACCTCCGAATCACCCTCCTCCACGAGCACGACTCGCAACAATCATCCAGGGACCAAGTTACATGTGCCACCGATTTCTCGATGCACGACGCTGAGGCGGGGGAGATGGTGCCGGTTGCGTGGGCTGTTAAGGGCGGGATGGTGGTTCCGGTTGAGTATTTTCCGGGCTGGGGAAGAGCGGCGGGGATTGATTTTGAGGGGGCGATGCTGGGAGACTTTGTTAGGGAGTTTGTGGGGGTTGTGAGGGAGTGTGGGCTTGAGGGGGTGGTTGGGTTGAGGTTGGTGCGATAGATGGAGGTGGGCTTGGAGCGAGGAGTTTGGGATTTATACGGTGCTATGGTGTTTGGGTGGCAAATTTATGAGGGAAGTGTGATATTATGGAGTTCAATTTGGAATAGAAGGAGTCTGCTGGTTAGGGAGGTGTTTTATGTAGGTAGTATTTAACCTCCGACACATGGATAACTGTTACATACGACCATAGACTCGATAGAATTGGGAATCCCGTCCTTTGTACTAGCAACTTAGGGGAGCAATTTAAAGCTTGAAAGAACCAAACCCTTTAGCACCTTTGTCATTTATATCACATCTACTTCGCCTGCAGCGCCTTATGCAATTCCTCTGCGAATTCCCCCAGCTGACTCACAAAAGGACAGTGATCCATCTCAATCTCTACGGTTTCCATCCCACAATCCTCTGCCTCCAGCCTCTGCCGCTCCGGTATTGTCATTTCTGCATAGGAAATACGACCCTTTGATCTTCGTCCTCCACAAGTCGCCGACATCCCGCGGCATCTCCGCACGATTCGCATCCAACGCCGCCACGAACGGCGCCGCCGCCTCAGGGACATGCTGTTATAGAAAACCTCGTACGGCGACGACCGAGGGGTCGACGTGGTCACGATCGCAGTCGATCGTGAACCAGGTCGACCCCTCGGTCGCTCGGATCGCGTTCAGGAAGCAGGAGATGAGGATGCTATGAACCAGCCTGACGCTCTCTTCGGCGCTGGCGGAGGCGAGGAACTCGTTAGCAGCGAGAGCGACGGATTGCCCGGATACGCTGTGGCCGACGAGGCAGACGCTGTAGCCGGCGTCGATCTCGGCTTGGAGAATGGCGCGGATGTGTGTTATGTTGGCTTTGAAGGAGGGGGAGGGTCGTGGTGCTCGGTCGTGGGGAGTTTGACAGGTACCACACGGTAGCCGTGGGCCTCAAGGTAGGGGGTAATTGGCTGGAGGTGGAATTTGGTGTGCTAGCTGCTAGCAACAAAGATGATGCTTATCTTCGCTATGTTTGTGACTCTTGATGTAGAGGCGAGAGGAGCTGAGAGAGGTGAGGACGCCTTGGGTAACTTTGGGATTTTTATACTTAGTTCCTGAAACCGCACCTAAATCTAACGTTATAAGCTAGCTATGAACTAGGATATCGACTGCTCCTAAGTGTAGCGTATACGATTTTGGAAGGATTCGCTACTTTAATGGTGGGGGGCGTAAGAAATACATAAACTATGGTATGTTATAACATGCATGTTGTATCACGTAGGCACCTACAAGGCGGGGTATTCAGTTGCTCCTGGCTGCTGCGTCACTGGTTATCTTAGCTATGCCATTTATAAGGGCATCAAAAATCTTGAGGGCAGGAACGCTCACCCACTAGTCTAAATGCCACTGTCTTGAGTTGTATTAATCTACTGAAAGCTTGAGTTCGGTGGACTCGTTGCTGGGTGGGTGACCACCGGCGAACCACTGTTGTATGTTTTTGGCTCTTTTTTGCCGTTTTTATATGTTGAGATATATCGGCCCCTTGAAGTTGAAGTGAGTGCTGGAAGGGTGGTGAACATCGGGAGGGTCGATGGGATAACTTTGGTGTTATACGATTTCAGAGGATAACAAAATAGGCCGCAGACTAGAATCCAAGTCACATCACAAAACTTCTGGCAAACAATCAGTGTAGTAGACATGAACTGACGTTATAGCGTGGTATTTTAATGCTCGTCTCTACCGGTGGCCCAACCAAACGCCATGCTTTCCCCTCATCCTATACAATGCAATACAGCCATGCAAGGCGTAGAGGACCTAAAGCCGCATTATTTTAAAAAGTCATCAAGCTCTACCGTCATCTATTCCTCTCTTGGCTCCCTCGGCTCCCTCGGTTGTCCACCTCCACGTCCACCGCGTCCGCCCCTCTTTCCACCCCTTCCTCCACGCTCCCCACGCTCGCCTCTCTCGCCGCCCTCTCCACCTGCGTTACTTCCTATCGCGTCGGTGCTGCCAAGAGTAATCGCGGCCGTGGCCAGACGCTGCGAGAGATCGATTTGTGTGCGGATGGTGTTGGTGAGGTAGGAGACGACAAGGATGTCTTGGATGTGGTTGTTGAAGTCGCGCTCGATGTCTGCGGCGTCGACCTTTGGTGCTAACGAGAGGGCGTTCATGAGGAACTGGCCCAGGGCGTTGTTTGGCTCGCGCTCCTCGTCGAGAACGGACGAGACGTACTCGGAGACGCGTTCTAACAGGTCCAGAGTGTGCTCAATCGCTCGCTCGAGGCTCTCAGCGTCTGTGACGACTGGTGCTGCGCGGGCATCGACGTCCTTCGCGCCGGAGATCAGCTCGAGGCCGCTCTTCTCTGCCTCGCCGTATCGGATCTCGTATGGGACGGGGATGAAGAGACAGCTCTCAGCCGCACGCTCGGCATTCACGCCTACGGGTGCACTGATGTAAGCCTTGGCCTCGATCTCCTTGCCCGCCTCTGTCGAGACGGTCAAGTGGATGGCCGGGTGTGGGAAGGTGCCGGTCTCGGAGCTGGCGAAGAAGTTCTGGATCAGAGCGCTGAAGTTGTTCAGCTCGAGGCTGGTCGTGTACCATCCAAGGAGGACCTCGCGCGGGTTGGCCTTCAACTGCAGCGCAAGCATGTTCTTCTGGTATTCGACATCGACCTCGACCTGCTCCTCTGTCTCGGTGTGGTTGATGGCGAAACAGTTGCGGACCTCGACCTCCATTCCATCTTCGGAGCGGACACCCAGGAGGGCACCGATAACGCGGTTCGATGCCGGGTCGCGGCGGAGAGCGTGATCTAAGATGGAGAAGACGACCTGGTGGTCCAAATGAGCATAATTTCAGAGCTTCCTGATATGTACAAACAAACCTGTGGCTGGACGATAACATTGAGCGGGGCGGTGGTGGGTTGAATGCCAACTGCCGCGGGCCCGAGTGGCCTGGCGAGATGGAGAAAAGAATCAGCTGCGACCGCCATATTGTGCGAATGGAATGGATCTGTTGAGATCGTAAATGAGTTAGGCGTGAGGCGTCGTGGGGGATCTCCAAACTCTTTCAACCTCGCCGTCGCCGTACTAGTCAATCTTTTGCTGTGGGTGCCAAGAATTTAAGCCCTGATCGCGCTAAGATAACGGAGAAGGATACCAGGCCAGAACGACCCGAGAAGCAACGACGGGCGTGGATATTTGGGAATAAACTCAACGAATTTATTTATTATTGGGGTTTTATGGGGGTTACAAGCTATTCCCTTTCTTTTGGTTTAAATAACCTGAGAATCCAGCCAGTAACGGGAAAACAAGCGGAGGAACGCCAGCATTCCCCAGGCCTGACTCTATTCTTTCGACCCCTCCTATATGAGAGTTTAGATTTACGGCTGCTTTCTCCTCAACTAATCCATGTATTGGAATAATATCTCTTCTCCATATTAAACTTATAAACCAGTCCTATATGGAGCATATCCGGCTATTAATCCCCCATTCCATTACTGAATGAACTCGCGAACGCCCGACATTTGGAACTAACCACCCACTTTCAAAAGGCAGCGTAGGCAAGTACGACAGAACTAGGGAATAAGCAAAAATCATAGGATGGAAGTCAGCCTGGTGGTCTCGTGGTTATTATAGTGCTGCCTCGCCTTTCCCGGCTTGTATTTCGAGCATCAACCGTTCCTTCCCTGCCTATCATACCAAAGTAAATACCCCGCCCAGATAATGCTGCATATATATCCCTCCCCCACCTTCTCTTCGTCGTCAACCCGAACACATCTACGCACAACCTGAACATTACAGCATCCTACAACTGAAAAAGATTCTTTCAAGATCTCGAATACCATCATCTCAAAATGAACCCAGGATCATGCCCCAAGTGCGGTGTTGCCGGTGACGGAACCAAGGCCTGCGGCTCTTGTGGTGCTGTAAGGCTTCATCCTATCTGAGAGCCATGGGTTCCCGCTAACATCGTCACAGAGCTGCCCAAACTAAGAGTATAATCTCTTTTCACACTGTCTTGCCTCCTCGAGAGCGACAAAGCACGAGAAGGCTCGCAGTGATGGCTTTTTGACTTGGTTGCGACGCTAGTCTGTTGGTTGTTTGTTTCATTTATGGTATACCGGGGCTGGTTTACGAGAACAAGACATGATGATTCGGATGGAAGATGCCCTTCTTGTAAATACCTTCTGAGTTTTACAACGCTGATTGCCAATGCTACATCATCCATGGTCGATATCCTTTGCAAGCAGCGGGAGCTTCGAGGCAATCCCATGTGACTTTTTATGAGATGTATGTGATTTGACCTCTTCAAATTCCATTTATCCAGTAAACCCGACCAAGCCCTATGCCATATTTAAAATAATCATATTCCTCTTATGCCTCCCGTAAACTGCTTGAACCAACTCAAAATGACATTTTGACGGGCGCCCACCATAAGACGCTAAGATAAGACACCGTCGGGGACCCCAGCTATCGCCAATAATTTTCTGAGAATCTAATCGCGGCGCCAAAGCAAGCTTCCCAGCCACATCAGACAATGGCATTTCACGGCAACAGAGGCGGCGCTCGAGGTCGAGGGTCTAGCACAGGTGGCCGTGGCGGTCGCGGGGGTAGCAGCAGAGGTGGAGCAAGAGGAGGAGCCCGTGGTGGAGCGCGAGGCGGAGGGGGAGGCAGAGGAGGTGCTAGAGGTGGTAGAGGCAGAGGCAGAGGGAAGCCGATATTCGACAGTGCGAGATTAGCAGAGAAGTAAGCTTGGAGCTAATTGGCATACTGGTGGTACAGTTGCTAATTCCGCATAGTGACGAAGAAAGCGACAGCGAGGAATATTCGGACGAGTCAGCTTCTGAAGAAGAGGCCTCGGACGAGGAGATGTCTGACGACGACATTGTCCAGGCATCGGCTGTGAAGCCTTACGCTGCGCTCTTGCAAAGCCTCACGGCGGATTCGGCACCGGCTGCGAAGCGACGTAAGCTCGATACATCGTCTGGCCAACAAGTGGCTCAGGAAAGCGAGGATGAAGAAGAAGAGATTACCAACGTCGACGACGTGGAAGAAGAGGAGGAAGGGCCGGAGACTGCAGTGGAAAGCGCTCTAGACGAGGATGATGACGAAGATGCCTCCGATCCGTTCGAGGCCAATTTTGCCAATCCTGACAGCAATGTCCTCTCGAGGAGACTTAACAACCTGAAGAACGGGGTGTGGTCGCCGAAAAAAATCATCGTGAAGAACGTTGGGAGGGCTGTCGTTGCCATTCCAGAGAAGGATGCGCCAGAACAGGCCACACTACCTGCGGCAATTAACAGCCCGTCTGGACTCGTCTTGAAGAAGAAGCTTATCGACCCAGTCACGAAACAAAGGGCCTCCTTCGATCCGTTAGAGCAGAATATGGCGGCCTCGATTTTCAACTATCGTGATATATTATTCTGTGACAGGACAGCAGCTAACGCTGAGAACCTCCGCCGTTTGACATGCCTGCACGCTGTCAACCACATTTTCAAGTACGCTTCCCACTTGTCCATCCCTATGCTGCCCACTAACAAATCCCAGGACGAGAGATAAGGTGATCAAGAACAATGCTCGCCTCGCCAAAGAAGAGGGCAATGAAGATCTGGATCTCAGAGATCAAGGATTTACGAGGCCCAAGGTCCTCATGCTCTTGCCGACAAGAGAGTCCTGTGTGCGCATGGTGAACATGATCAACAAACTATGTGAGCCTGAGCAACAGGAAAACAGGAAGCGATTCGACGATTCATACGTCGACAAGGAAGAGAAATTCTCGGATGATAAAACCGAGGATTTCCGAGAACTATTTGCTGGAAACGACGATGACATGTTCCGCCTGGGGCTGAAGTTCACTCGCAAGACCGTAAAGTACTTTTCCCAATTCTACAACTCCGACATAATCCTCGCCAGTCCCTTGGGTCTACGCATGGCCATCGGCACCGAAGACTCCAAGAAGATCGACCACGACTTCCTCAGCTCCATCGAGCTTGTCATAGTCGACCAAGCCGACGCGCTCCTGATGCAGAACTGGGAGCACGTCGAGTATATCTTCTCGCACATGAACCAGCAGCCCAAGGAGGCTCACGGCTGCGACTTCTCCCGTGTCCGCAGCTGGTATCTAGACGATGCCGCGCGTTATTTCCGCCAAACCATCGCCCTCTCCGCATTCAATACCCCCGAGCTAAACGCCCTCTTCCACTCCAAATCCCGCAATTGGCGTGGCAAGGTCCGCATCGGCGCCACCCACCAAGGCGCCCTTCAACAGCTCGGCCTCCGCGTAAAGCAGACCTTCTCCCGTATCGACGCTCCCTCCATCAGCGCCGAGCCTGACGCACGCTTCACCTACTTCACATCCGCGCTCGTCCCGGCGCTAATGAGGCACAAGCACGATTCTGCCGGGACGCTGCTCTTCATACCCAGCTACCTCGACTTTGTGCGCGTGCGTAACTACTTCTCCTCCTCGCCAACAACGGCTACCCTCTCCTTCGGCTGCATCTCCGAGTACACCTCCGTGCGCGAAGTGGCGCGCGCACGCTCTCATTTCCTGACTGGTCGGCACAGCGTGCTGTTGTATACGGAGCGAGCGCATCATTTTCGGCGGTACCAGATTCGGGGGGTGCGGAAGGTTGTAATGTACGGCTTGCCTGATAATCCGATTTTTTACAAGGAGATTGTGGGCGGGTATCTGGGGAGGAGCGTGCAGGAGGGTAGACTGGAGGTGGGGGAGGGGAGCGCGAGGGCTATGTTTAGTAAGTGGGATGTGATGAAGTTGGAGAGAGTTGCGGGGACGGAGAGGGTGGAGAAGATGGTTATGGAGAAGGGGGATACGTTTGATTTCCTGTAGAGCAAAGGAGGTGGTGGGTGTTACGTTTAAATAAAGTTGTTGTATAACCTCTAACAGCACTCGGGGCAATCTTGCAATCTATCATTTATATACTTTGAATTCAACTAACGTTGTTATACATTCTACCTACGTGACAAATCATAAACCTCTCAAGTTCGAATTTGACTTCTGGTCAACTGGCGTATATCTCTCCGCCAACGCCTCCCTAACCGACTTGTTCAGCGGGGAAGCCGCGTCGTACCTTTGCTTCAAGGCCCTCTGCACATCTGTCAGCCCATCTGCCTCCTCGTGTCCACTCGTCCTTCCAATGGCGCTCTCCACAACCTCTTTGCCGCGTGCGACAGTCCTCTTCACTGCCCCAACGACGCCCTCTTCCGTAAGCTTCAGTCCTTCTGCAACCTCCGAAGCCTTTGCAGCCTCGTGGTGTGCCGCGGCCCGCACAGCATGCTCGGCGACCGTCTCAGTAAGACGCAGTCCTTTCTCGATCTCACGTCCCTTCTCAACACCCTTCCTCCAGGCCTCCCTAGCCACAGGCCCCGCATTCTCGAGGCCGTGCTCTGCCTTGTCTCCATAAATGCCCTCTCTCTTGCCAATCTCGTGAGCTGCTTCAGTGCTTTTCTCCCACTGCCGCCTTGCAGCGTGGGCAGCAGATTCTTCCCCGAGTCTCAGCCGCTCCGCAACTTCATGAGACTTCTCCACGCCCTTCCTCCACGCCTCCTTCGCGGTCGCACTCGCATTCTCCAACCCATGCTCGGTCTTCCCCTCAAACTTCGACTCCCTCTCGCTCGTAGCACTCAGCGCCCTCGATGCCGCCCTCTCAGCCGCAACCCTGGACCCATCAAAGCCCATCTTCGCGCCGTGCCTAGCCCTCTCAATCGCCTCCCTAGCAATCGGCCCCGCCTTATCCTCCGCAAGCTGAATCTCCTCTCTCGACTTCTCCAGCCCCGTCCCCAGCGCCTTAGCAACCGCGCCCTCCATCCCCTCCTTCACGTTGCCCCACTCCGCGCCCTGCACCCAGCGCACTGCGTTCTGGATCTCCGCGTTCCAGCGGTCCTTGGCCGTCTCGACGAGCGTCGCGCGGCTCGTGCGTCCGGTCTCCAAGTCGGGGGCGGAGTAGGTGAGGCTTGGGTCGGAGAGGAGCAGGGTGTTGAGGAGGGAGGATTGACTGCGTAGGTTTTCGCCTTGCGCGTTGCGGTTGCGCTCGTGTGCGAGGACGGTGAGATAGGCAATTCCGAGTGTAAGAGTTACGCCGCTGGTCTGGGAGAGGTGGTTAGAATTTTGCTGGGGGGTTTTACGTAGTGGGGGTTGCAATTGGGGGACCTACGAAGCCGGTGGTGAATCCCATCGTGCGGTTGGAGTGGTTAGAGTGGGTAGTAGAGCTTATATAGACACCAAACGGACACTGTATTTTCGCAGGAGTTCCAAACCCTAAATAGTAGCCTGGCGTATAATGTTGTCTACCAATTGAGTCTTTGAATCATTGAAGTGGGAGAAATAGAAAAGAGTGACGTCGGGATCAATAACTTGGTAGCTCCCCGCAACCTCGCCAAATTCACCCGAGCGCCAAGAAAATCGCGGCAGCCCCAATCCGGACATATCAAATACATTTTTTGGCACACGAGCCGCATACCACGCATCCGTCCCAACGCCGCTCCCTCGCACCACACCACCGCGAGGCCCTACATCACGTCCGCCGGAAGAATATTTGCGAGGACTTGACCTGAGGGGTCGGAATAATCTGCAATGGCTGGAGGGCGCATGAAATACCGCCATCTCGGGCGCACATCAGCACACAGACAGGCACTTCTCCGTAACCTGGTCACCTCCCTCTTCACACACGAATCCATCCAGACGACATGGCCGAAGGCAAAGGAGGCGCAGCGGTTAGCTGAGAAACTGATTACGCTGGGGAAGAAGAACACAGAGGCCAGCAAGCGGAGAGCGCTGAGCATTTTCTTCGTAAGTGCTTTTGGATACTCCTATCCCATCCAGATACCTGGATTGGGTTGTATGGAGGTTAGATGGCTTCAAAAGGCTAATTTAATATAGACACCACACTCCCTCCTTCCTAAACTCTTTGGACCGCTTCGCGAACGCTACGCCGAACGCCCGGGTGGATACACAAGGGTGCTGCGCATCGAGCCGTTAAAGGGTGATCAGGCGCCATCAGCGATCCTGGAGCTTGTCGATGGGCCAAAGGACATGCGCTTTGCCATGACTGCAAGGACGCTGGCTAGGGTTCAGGAGGCTGGCCAGGAGGTAAACGACATGACGGCGAAGAATATTTTGAAGGTTACGCGGTACAGACCAGATGCCGACGCAGACCTGCAGAAGATGGTGGCAGATCTGAGGGATTTGGAGATTGAGGACCCGAAGAGAGAGAAGGGCGTGGAGAAGAGGTGGGGTGGAAATATTTAAGGGTATTGAGGGAGAATGATGTTCTGCGAATATGTATCAATACTGGAAGGGAAATAGTGCAAGGCACTTTGTATGTACAGATTAGGGACGGCGTCTATTGTGTCGATTAGATTTCACATGGAAGTTTATATTGTGGATTAACATATTCAAGTCACATAGCGATGCATATTTGAGGTGATTTCACAATCTTCCATTTATTCATAGTAGCAGGGTGATCCGTCATCCCAATAGCCCACCGCGGCCCCTTTTGACACCATTCCCTATGCGAGCTCCATCTATGGTACTACCGAACGCCATCATTGACAAGATATTCGCCTGTGGTCCATTTTAAATTCCAAATTCTTCAGGCAGTTGGTGGTGGCTTGGGGGGTAATGGGCCCATGTTGCCAAAATGTGGGAGATGGTTGTTATTCTGATTCGGGATAGGAACAGGGTTTTGATTGTTGATTATCCCTTGGTGAATCATGGGCCTCGGCGGCATATGTGGTGATGCGTGATAGGATGGCAAAGATGCATTAGAGCTCTGGCGGCTCATGTTATATCCAACGCCGTTGCCGAATTGCTGAGGAGTATTATAGCCAGTATATTGAGGGTGGGGTGACCCCTGGTGGGGTAAGGGTTGCGGCATCGGGGGCCCATTGTTGCCCGGAACAAATGACTGGGTCTTGGGATTGAAGGCGTGCCTGTTGAAACTTCCTGGTATTGGGTGCTGACTTTTGGGGTCGGCCGGGTTGATGGTGCTTGGCAGTTGTCCATATGCGTATGGGATTGTCTGCCCAGCTGGCATGGGTCCGCGAGGCTGGAAGGGTGCTTGATAGCCCATGTGGGGCCATGGCCCTGCCTGCTGCGGAGAGTTTTGCATCATAGGACCGTATGGAAGTACAGATGCGCCGTGGTTCTGGTAGTTTGGGGGGCTAGACCTTGGGAATTGCTATCATGGATGTCAATATCTTGGTTATAAATATATCATCAGTTGGGCTTACCTGTGGCATCTGGTGATAAGCTGTAGGCGCGCCTCCAGCAACCATAGAAGGGTGGAAGTGCGGTGGAGTAGGGCCGTATTGTGGCGCTGCCGGGCCTGAGAATGAATTCTGCAGCACGTTGGTGTACTGCGGGGCACCTATGGTTCCAGGCTGTGTAGGTGTCCACGGCTGTGGCTGTTGTGGAGGAAAGAAGGGCGTGTATTGAGACCGGACATCAAAGCTCTCTGAATCCGTACGATGCTTTTTAACCATCTTTCCTCTCTTAGCTTTTCCAGAAACTGAGCTAGATCGCGAAATGTCGTTGCCATCTTCAGTGTCTATATTTATAGTCAATACACAGGTAGCAGCAATTTTCACATGCGCTTGCTTACCTGGAGTTGCATCGCCGCTCTTCTCTGTGTTTCCAAAAATCCTCTCTCGGGCTTTGTTATATGCAGCTTCACGTTCCTCACGAGACAATCTAGAAATTGTCAGTGTCATCAACTTAGCAATTTAAATAGATGCATTGAGCATACTTCTCTTTTGCAGACAAAGATTTGTCTTTTCCGTCACTGCCCGTCTCAGAGGTCGGTTTTGAAGGGCTACCACCATTGTCACCCCCCCTGCGCATAATTTTCATTGCGGGAACAGTCGGAGGAGGTGTATGTCCAGTAGTTGGAGGATTTGAAATACTCGTGAGTGACTGCGGTAATCGGCAGAACGGCGTCCGGAATATACGGACTGAACCTGCCACAGCATCAAACTGGTGGGTCATATGGTAATAATCGGCCAATTTGTGGGTTAGCATTCTACAAAATGAATTGCAAGGTGGTAGATCGATGAAAGGTTCCCTAGACGAAGTCATGTTAGTTTGTGCAACAAATTAGATCCAACCAATGCAAACTTCAAGGGAATTGCAAGTGTTTAAGATGGAGAGAAACCTACTTCGAATCCTTGACAAATTCTATCACGTCCTGTTCAAGTCGCAACAGAAATATGCGATCCTTTGGAGATTCCAAAGCTTCTATAAGTTTCTCATCGGGAGTGTGCTTATAGAAAAGGTTGAATCCTTCTGCAGCTGCTACAGGGCTGGCCAGAGGCTTCAAGCTGAGATCACCAGCTACTGGGGGTCCAGACGAACCGCTTTGAGGAGTCATAATTCCTTGGGCTCGTGATTCGAGAGCAGGGATTACTGCCCTCCTGTCTGCAATCTCGTGTGTTTGGGCGCGATATGCGCGAGCTATGATTTGAGTTAGAGAATCTGCGCTTATCGTGGAAAACTCAGTCTGGCTTACCGGCAGCTTCTGACCCGATTCGGGAACCAGCTACAATAGAACCACGGCCTGAACACGTATCATCGTCTTCAGCTGCTTTTACACTGGCACTATCATCTGGCCTCAACGATTCTTTCTCGTCCAAGGCAAATGTTGTCCCAGAGGTGATGCTCTTCCCATCAAGGCTCGGTGGTTTTGTCCAGGCATCTGATCCAGAATCCGTGCGTTGAAAAGGATATTCTGCAGACCCCTCTCCAAATATGTCTCTTTCTTCTCCGTCAGCATCTGTGCCTGATCCGTTTACAACAAGGCTTGGAGCTAGGCTAATCGAATTGAATGTGTCCGCCAACTTCTCATCAGCATTCGCCTGTTCATCCGACTTTGTTCCGCCATTGGTTGTTTGTTGTCTCGAACTACCCGTAGCATTCTTGCTACTACTTTCATTTGTCTCTGACAAAGGAGCATTTCGTGCGGGGTTCGCCGCCGCCATTTTAGCATAGGATAATGCAGTATTCTCCTTTACCTCGGAAGCAGCAACCTAGTAATAGTTTAGTGATTGTTCTGCCCCGTAAACTCGAGCTAAACGATGCTGATAAAGGCGGATGATGTCCGTGTGAGGGGTTGCTGTGGTATCCAGAGCAGGACTCACTTCAGCAAACGACAATTGATTCTCGGCTTTTAGCGGCGCAGAGGCCATAGCGATGTGAATAACGCGCTACAGATCTTCAACTAGATGCGTGATGTAAAGACACAAGTCAGCACGGATCGATTCTTACTTGGTGAATGAGTGCGAGGATCGACAGTTTCTCCAGGATTATATTAGGGCAGGTTGTGATCGACGTCGCCCGTTTGGAAGGAAAGAAAGCCTGTAGGCATTGTAGGAATCGTAAAACTTTCTTATGTGTAGTTGATCATCCGTTGGCGAAGGGGAGGTGAAGTCGAAGCCTGAAGGTCGTCGTTTGCCTGTGTCTGGCGAGATGGTACAGCGTTGTGCCCCAGTTTGTTGAAGTTGAACGGGCGCCAACACAGTCGTCGAGGCAATCGAGTCCTCCAAAAGGTAATAGACAAATCGTCCCCTTGATGCCCTGGTATTCAAAGGTATTTTGTTGGGATAGTTGGAGCAAGCTCAACTTCCCTATGCATGAATTCCAGGAGGTTAAGGTAATTCTCTTGATCCTGCTCCCTCGAGGCTGTCTTTAGCGCCTCGGATCCCTGCAACCTTTATACCTGTGGTACAGCAGCGGCACGAGGCTTTAAGGCAGCCAGCCTTCCCTGCCAAACAGTTCAGAGACATTCAGGGCGACTGACGAAAAAGACAAATTGTATTCACTTCAGCTATCGCAAACTCGCAAAATTACGTCGACACTGACCAATTTAACCTGCCCAATGAACTCTTACAGAGGTTCAACGATTGGCGCGCCCTCCAAAGCTACACCATCCACCCTTTGCCAGAAATGCTTGAAACGAGGGCATTATAGCTACGAGTGCAAGGCTGTTGCGCAAGAACGCCCATATGTCTCAAGACCTTCGCGTACCCAGCAACTGTTCAACCCAAAATTAGTTCCGAAGCTTACGAACGATGCGCCCCAAGACCTATCCGGGAGCAAAAGCAAGCAGGACGAACAAGCAGCAAAGACGAAGCTAGAAGAAGATCGTGGGCGAAAGAGAGACCGTGACAGCCGTGATCTTGACAACCAGAGCGAGCCTAAGAGATTAAGGTCGACTTCATCGAGATCTTCTGTGTCTGTTTCAACGGTGTCTACAAATGCGGAAAGGTCACCACCACCCAGTAAAGACAGAAAACGCGATCAGAGGAAACGGCGTCGCTCATCCCCCGGTTTTCAAGCCGACGAACCTCGCTCTTCTCGGGCCCACGGAAGGAAGGATGAGGGCGATATCCCGAGCGGCAGAGGTCGCCGTACAAGTAGGAGTTGGTCCCGTGGCAGCTATTCGTCGCATTCAAGGAGTAGATCCCGGTCACCAAGACGTGATAGATTGAGGGAGAAGCCGCTCGGAAGGTATTCGCGAAGTCAGACGCCGCCTCGTCAGAAAAGAGCCCACTCACCAAAACGGGTTGGTGAGCAAGACCAGCCCCCGAGGAGGAGTATGGAACGCACGGGACCTATCGACGCTACAGGCAGAAGAGATGCGGGACAGGCCAGGGAGTTTAATGGCCGCAATGACACAAGAGCATATCGTGAGAACCAAGCAGAAACGGCACCCCCTAGAAGGTCACGAAGCCCGAGGAATGCGCGTCTAGAACGGTCTCTAAGTCCATTCAGCCAACGGGTGGCTTTAACCAGAGCTTTGGGAAGATAAATAATTAATTGAAATCTTCCACAGCAGCGTTCTTTGCAGCACAATGGTGCAATGATATACCTTTAGACGCCAGACCCCCCGTGCAATGTTTCCCCGCCAGTGACGCCTGAAAATGCTATGATACATCGCTCATGAAGTTACACCATCATCTCGTCGTCCTTTTCTCGCTGTTCCTCCAGCTTCTCCTCCTGCTCGCGCAGTCTGGCGCCCTCCACAAGCGCGATGCCTTCCATGCCAATCTCATCCCCGCCTTGCTCTACAGCTGCAGCTGTAATAGGCCCGCCGCCAGTCTTATCGCCAGCATTTTTCTGAGCCTGCCCAATCCTTTCTCTGACCAGTGCCGCAATCGCATTGTCGGTTCGTACATTAAGGATCTCCAACTTCTTGTCTAGATCGCGCTTGAGATCCCAATTAGGTTTCTTAGGCTGTAATTTGAAGATATCAACGCCCTTGTCATCCTGCTCTTCCTCCTGTGTTTTCTTGCGTATCTCGGCTTCAACCTCTGCTGCTTGTTGTTCGAGAGTATCCTTCTCAAGAGATAGTGTAGGCGGTGCCTCAAACCCAAGCTTCGGGCCTCTGGTTTCCGGATCATAATTGCGCCCTGACAGATGAAGTTTTGAGACGTCTGGTGAGCCTGGGGGTGAGCGGCGGGGTGATGCTGGGGCTGCGTCTTCGTCGCTAGGTTGTTTGCGCTTCAGAGATTTGAGCTTCGCGAGGCGCGATTTGCGCTCGTCGGCCGCAGCACCAAGTGAGCTGTGTGCAGCAGACATGATATGAACTATTGAATAATCCTGTCCCTTTGTTTTGTGTCGCATTAAGCGGGTTGTGGTGTGGATTTTATTTTGGAGCGAGAGCCTCAAGGTTCCCGAGCCGCCCCAATCGCGGCGCGAAAACCTTAATTTCTGCCGCCGACGTCCCTTGAATTTCTAACCTCGTTTTATTGACGGCTTCAACCCAACCGGCAATACGAATCAACACCGGGAAACTCACAGCGAACTCTCTGCAAAAATGGAATGATACTTTGTCGCTCAATATTTTATGCCAGCCATAATCCGTCATAGCCCGTTGGGGGCAGGCTTGTCGCTAGCTGATCTTAACATCCTGCCGTTTCTTGCACCGCGACTCCTGCAAGCATGGCCAAGAAGCCGTCGAGGACAGAGGGCCCAAAGCACTGCCAGTGTAAGATTAGAGAGACCTGCTACACAGCCTCTGAACGGTCACGGCCAGTCATCGAGTGTTAGTGCTGCTTCCCGACAAGCCCCCCCTTCGGGAGACAGAACTCGCCATCCTCAATCACAGTATGGGCCTTCCTATGAGCGGATTGATGGCCGACGAGGGCCAACAATAACGCGGACATCAGCAAAGCCTCCAGCTCTATCACCGGTTGATAATACGAGATTTTACCCTCAAAAGCATACAGGCGATATTGCCAGCAGCAACCAAGACCGCTTTACCCTCACGCACCTACATCAAGAGACCACCGACGAAACCTCGCTAAGACAAGATGAATCCTCCAACCTCACTCGCGAAGATGTTACAGGGTCATATTTTAGCGAGACGCATCTCGACATGTTGAGCGATTTCTTGAAAGCAAATGGGAAGGACAAAGATATAGAGGATAGCAGACAATACCTCGACCGTCATTGGGAGGTTTTCTTTGATGGGATGCGGAATGAAAATCAAAGCAAGCATAGTGGCCATGGCTCAAAACGCTCTCGACAAATGGAATCGATTGCCAACTTTGATCCAAGTGTGGATATTTACGATTTACAGCTCGAGTGGAAGAATATACCACGGAAATATCGGCGAAATTACTGGCCGGGACTAATGCTGGACATCTTGTGCAAGAGACCCGACGATGCCTTGAAATTCCTTGTGGCTACCACTTTGGCCGACCCGCTTCCCAATAGGGCTTGTATAGAAGACTCTTTGGACTACGTCGTCGAGTATCACCTATACCGCCAGAGCCAGTCGCCTATCTCATCGAAGAACTTCGCTGTGCTTTTTGAAGCGATCAACGATCTACTTACCAGGTTTATAACAAGTAAAATCCGGATATCGAGCTACGCTATATATCACCTCTGCAAACATGCAGACCGTCTTCAGGCAGAGACTTTGCTTGAAACATTGAGCCAGCGGGGCCAGGAAGCCAATCCAAATCTGCGGCTACATTTTGTCGATTTCTTAGCACGACGAGGAGCAACGGATTCAGCAGTGACGTTGCTAGGGTCGATGCATCGCGATAAGGTAGTAGACTTCACAGAGCCCCGAGTTGCAAGTATCTGCGCAACACTTTTGAGGTGCAGCCAGCAAAACCCAGAGGCAGTCTATTCCGAATCGCATATCTATTCATTCCTCCTTGAGTGGGGCATCCGGCCAAGCATTATCTTCTACACTATACTGGCTCACAATGCCTTTGAGTCCCGGGATCACGAGACTGCTTGGAAGATTTATGATATGATCATAGAAAACGACATTGTACCTTCGGATCACACATACTCGATATTCCTGCATAATGCGAAATTGCGCAAGGACCAAGAGGCATTGGAGAATATTCTGAAAGGCGTTAAGGCGAACAGCATTAGGAACGAGTACGTCGCAACGGACTTGCTACATGCTATGCTGCTTATACACGAAAACCAAGCGCGGAATCTCCGTGGGGATGAAGCCCGAGCTTCATCTGAATCGTTATTTCAGCGGATGGTGTTGTTATACAGCACATACTTCGAATTGGCTCCCCTCGAGGACTTGGCACCGGAATACTTCACCATCGACAGAAAACTATCTCCTGAGGCTGAAGGTAGACGAATGCACCCTGATTGTGTAACGTTGTCTCTCATGGTGTCAACTGTGATACGCTGCAGAATCGAGCAGTCTGAGCTACCTCTGTTTTATAACCGTTTCAAGAGTCTTGTCGATGCTGGACATCCCGATTTCGTTAATGTTGCCACGGAAGCTAACGTGTTCAATGCCTTTATCAAGGCCATCGGAAAAGACCGGGATATGCTGCCGTTCACGACACAGATTCTGGGAGACATGCTTGGCGCCGAAGCTTCTGGAGTAAAGGCACAATCTACGGATATCGAGTCAAATGATCGCAAGAGGATAGTCTCCCCAACCGTCCAAACATGGTCTATCCTGGTGCACGCGTTCATGACACAAGGTCAGCCCCGCGCTGCCGAGAAGCTTGTGGCTATGATGAAGAGGCGTGGCGTGGATCCAAACAAGGTCACCTGGAATACTCTTATTACGGGATATTTGCAGATGCAGAACATGGCTGGTGCTATGCACTCCTACGATCGTGCCAAGGAGGAGGGCTGGACAATTGATGAGAGTATATGTGGCCATCTGGGCCTATCCAAGCACCAGATAATGCTTGATCAGCAGTCCGAAACTATGCCGCGGACGGCAGAGTCTGGGAGGCCCCGTGGGGAGTCGGAGGAGCAGCCAGAAACTCATTCTCCGTTTTGGAAGCCTGATGGGATACGCTCCCTTCGCCGTGCTGAGTTTCAGACCGGTGAAATGCTGGACTTCTTGCTCGGCGCTGAGTTAAAAAGAGTCGAGATTGTAACGAGGATTGAACGCCTTCTAAGGGGTGCAAAAGGAAACCCGGAATTAGCCGGTAAGAGGTCGTTGCGTCTTAAAAAGGCTTCGAGCGGGTTGAAGAGGCTTGAGAATCTTGTCGATGGCCGTTTGTATGGGTTGGAGAAGGCATCTGGAGTATGATGTGTGTGTGTATGTATATGTGTATAATATTATATCGTGGAGTATGGATATATAGGAGCGAGTGTTTATTCACGTGTATATTTATTTAAATATATTTAAATATTTTATGACTCGATTCGTTATTGGAGATATTTTATTTATATTCACCACCATTGCGTACCGCAGAAACCAGACCTCTAGGACATATTTACTCACTCAGTGGAATATATTATCAACAATACAGTAATCACTGCCTATAGCGGACTCGGCTATAGCGGAAACCTCCCAATACCGGACCCTTTCCTACAATCACGCGAATTTTGTATAGCAATACCGCAAACCTCCTTATACCAGAATTCCGGCCAAGATCCTTAACTTCCGGTATAGAAAATGGCACCTCCACCACCCAAAAAGCCTCGAATCTCAATTACGAATGCACAAAAGCAAGCTTTACGAGCTTGGTACTATGATCCTACAACTCAGAGCACAAAGAAGACTTAGATGCTTCAACTTGGTAGAATGATCAATATGGACATACTTTGAGCTCTTCGACTGCAAGTGAAATACTATCCTCAAAATACGCCTCTCTCGACACTACTACTTCTACAAAAGCATTTGATAATACCAAGACGACAAGGAAACCAAAATGGGAAGTGTTAGAGAAAGCTCTTAGAGAATGGGCTTTACGATTTGATGCTACTCATGGCATTATTACAGGAGATCTTCTACGGATAAAAGCAACAGAATTCTAGATACAGCTACCATAATACCATGGACAAGATTGCCCTACATGGAGTGAAGGATGGCTTGAAGGGTTTAAGAAAAGCGAAATACCTACCTTGTGATGTTTACAATATGGATGAGACTGGATTTTACTAGAAAAAATTACCAAACTTAACAAAACTCGAATTACAGCTAACTGCTATAAAAGTGACAAAGTTCCAATTTGGTTTATAGAACTGCTAAACAACCAAGATGTTTTACTCAAAATCATATCTCGAATCCTGAAAACCTTAGAATACATTAGCAATGGAATTCAACAGCATGGATGAATCATAATTATTGCCAAGATACATCGTTTGGGCGAATTCGAGTCGCATAGTTATATTCCGTAAATTTATTTTCACATGCGTCACGCTACGTAACTTCCTCCCCCTACATCCTCCCTTGGGTTTTGTTTTTGGATCATCGAGGCGCAGCCTGAGTCAGATATCAGATATAATTTTGATATAAAAGCTTATATAGCATCTGGGCGGCTGATGACCTGCGCGCCGAGTACGGATACTGGGGCGGGCCCCTCGTGTCTTTTGTCTGTGGAGTAATTGGCGGGTTATTTGAGGCCGGTTGCAATAATGGAATGCTCGTACTAGGTACTAGGGTACAGCTTGGGGCAGCCTCCGGTAGTTGAGCATCGGCGGGAATTTCCACAGTTTTCCACCTTCGCCCACCTTCACGCGATGTACCTGCAACAGTCATTTTTTGTACCAGAGTACACCTTACTCCGTCTCTCCCACCTCGTTGGTGCCCGTGCCTGTTTTGGGGCGAAACGATCGACTCACCGAAACGATCGACTCACCAGCGAAACTCACCCAGGCCACTACCACACACTACCGAGACTATATGGTATAACAAATGGCGTGGTCCCCGACTGACACCAGCTCTGAGCTGAGGCTGTGATCATCAAGGTTTTTTAAAAAGAGGGGCATTTGTGGTCCTGCTATTCCTTCTATCGCTGCTGATAATCCTACGAGTACCAAAGTGGTGCTCCATCCGTACGTACGTATCACTTACTGTACACTCAATCTCCTGGTCGCCCCCACTATCACGTTCTCTCATCCAACGCGAGCGATCCCTATCGAATTGTCACAAAGGGGTCCAGAGCTGACCATGTATATATAGCTTGAATTCGGCTTTCTCTCCCCTGGCCCCTCTTAGCAAGAGAACGACCTACTTACTTCGACCGACGTCGGTTGAAAATTGGATAGCCATTCCCAGCACATGGCGAGTCAGTGACGTGTTTGTTTGTGGAGACGCAAACTAGAACCGGTTTCTATTTCGAATTCGAATTGGCTCTACCTGCCTCGGCCTAAACCTCCCGATAATTGAACGGGAATTGACGACCCTTTCAACTTCCATCCCATCTAATATATCGCCATAATTATGGCCTTCAGGTCGAGAATCACGAGGGCTGTGGCCTACGGATCTGGAGCTGCTGTCCTCGGTGGCGGTGTCCTATACTACACCTACCGCCCACGAAACATCCCGGGTCTCGAACCGGCGGCGGTGCCACCTCCCGGAGAGCTCCCGCCGAGGTTCCCCAAGGTCAGGTCGAGAGACGAGCAGATCGCCAACCTGAAGAGGAGCGGAGGAATATTCACACCTACATCAACCGCAATCAAGAATGTATTGTTAAATCCGACTGAAGGCGATGAGGTTGCCACCACTACACCCCAAGATGACGATATCTACGATCTCCTCATCATTGGTGGCGGTGCGACCGGTGCCGGTGTTGCGTTGGACGCGGCAACGCGCGGATTGAAGGTCGCAATTGTCGAGAGGGACGATTTCAGTTCCGGTACCAGCAGCAAGAGCACGAAGCTTGTGCACGGTGGCGTGCGATACTTGGAGAAGGCGTTCTGGGAGATGGATTACAACCAGTACAAGTTGGTGAAGGAGGCTCTGCGCGAGCGCAAATACTTCTTGGATACCGCCCCCCATCTGTCGTCGTGGCTCCCAATCATGTTGCCGCTGGACAAGTGGTGGAAGGCACCATACTACTGGGCTGGAACCAAGGCCTACGATCTTTTGGCTGGGTCCGAGGGAATTGAGAGTTCGTACTTCTTGACCAGGAGTAAGGCTCTTGATGCCTTCCCCATGCTGAAGAGGACGGATCTCATTGGTGCGCTTGTCTACTACGATGGTGCGCATAACGATTCGAGGATGAACGTCTCACTGGCTATGACTGCAGCATTGTACGGCGCGACCGTTGTAAACCATCTCGAAGTTACAGGACTGAACAAGGATGCCAATGGCCAGCTTTGCGGCGCACGCGTCAAGGACCTTGTCCGCGAAAAGGATGGCAAGAAGGCGGAGGAGTTCACTATCAGAGCAAGAGGTATTGTCAACGCAACCGGCCCATTCTGCGACTCCATCCGTAAGATGGACGAGCCCAGCATCAAGGAAATCGTCGCCCCCAGCTCTGGAGTACACATCGTGCTCCCCGGATACTACAGCCCGTCGAACATGGGCTTGATTGATCCCAAGACCTCTGATGGCAGAGTTATCTTCTTCTTGCCTTGGCAGGGAAACACCATTGCCGGAACCACCGATGCCCCTACCACGATCCAACAGAACCCCATTGCTGGCGAGGATGAGATTGACTGGATTCTGTCCGAGATCCGTCACTACCTCGCCCCAGACATCAACGTTAGACGCGGTGATGTCCTCGCTGCTTGGTCCGGTATCCGCCCTCTCGTCAAGGACCCCAAGGCCAAGAACACCGAATCCCTCGTCCGTAACCATCTCATCGATATCTCGCAATCTGGCCTCTTGACCTGCGCTGGAGGAAAGTGGACAACTTACCGTCAAATGGCCGAGGAATGCGTCGACGAAGCCATCACTACTTACAAGCTGAAGCCAACCCGCGTCCTCAACGCCCCATGCGTCAGCGGAAGCACCCAGATCGACGACGGCGCAACGCTAGATGGATCATGCCAGACTCACCAAGTCAGACTTATTGGCGCCCACGGCTTCTCCAAGACCCTGTTTATCAACCTAATCCAGCACTACGGCATTGATACCGACGTCGCGAAGCACCTGACTGGTTCATACGGCGACAGGGCCTGGACCGTTGCTGGCCTTTCCGAGCCCACTGAGAAGAGGTTCCCTGTCCGCGGCAAGAGACTGTCCCCGCTGTACCCCTTCATCGATGGTGAGATTCGCTATGCCGTCAGGCACGAGTATGCCCAGACGGCCGTCGATGTTATCGCTCGCCGCACTCGTCTGGCGTTCCTCAACGCTCAGGCCGCTCTCGAGGCGCTCCCGGAAGTCGTTGATGTTATGGCCTCTGAGCTCAACTGGGACAAGAAGAGACAGGAGCTGGAGTGGACAGACAGTGAGCTCCCCCCCCTCAGTTAATGATTAGTTATTAGTGATCTAACATGTGAATGAAGGCTTGAAATTCCTGGAGAGCATGGGACTCCCTAAATCGAAGCTTTCGGCTACGCGTAAGGCTGTTGAGAGCGGAAAGCTGGCCTTCAAGGACTCCGATGAGTATAAGATGTACTCGAGACACAACGTGCCAAGTGAGCCGTTGGCAACCGACGATGGAGAGAGCAAATCTGAGTAATAGATCCAAGGGTTAGAGCGGGAGTGCATGTCAGATGCCAAAGATAGATCTTTCGGGTGTACATACTGTGTTTGTAGAGGTAGATGTATTCACTTAATACTGCATGGCAATGGATTAATAATACCTCGGATATGTCAAGTAGCGTGTTTATATGAAGATTGAATAAGAATGCAAATCACGTGACTACTGATTGGGTACTGACTACGGCATAGCTGACCATGGGGACCGGCAGATTTAAACAATTTATTTTTATTTATCCAGCATAATTTGTCACTCGAACGACGTTGTGCCGCCAAGCGCGAATGGAAGCCAGCATGTGAAGCGAGGCTACTGATGTATACCCGACGGGCGGTCACGGTTACATTGTAGTCTAACCAAGCCTCGGCAACTTCCCCAACTTGCCCCGCAATATGTAGACCCCATGTTACCGAAAGGCCGTGGCGGATATCACATTGCCTGAAGCCTATGGTATTTATGTAGCAAAGGGGGCGCTGTTTGTCATTTTTGATCATACCATTATATCATTATATACCAATCCTAAATAACTACTTCTCGATCAAACCGGACCAAAAGATAATACCACAAACACCTCTTTCCCATCCTCACCCCCTAAACCGCAATCATGGTCCGATCCGCCCCCAGCAAGAGATGCTACGTCCTCGGCGTTGGCATGACCAAGTTCATCAAGCCGCGCGGAAAGGTTGACTACACCGAGCTCGGTTTCGAGGCCGGTGTCAAGGCCATGCTTGACGCCCAGATCAGCTACGACGATGTTGACCAAGGTGTCGCCTGCTACTGCTACGGTGACTCCACCTGCGGCCAGCGCGTCTTCTACCAGTTCGGCATGACCCAAATCCCCATCTACAACGTCAACAACAACTGCTCCACCGGCTCCACCGGCCTCCACATCGGCCGTGACGTCATCTCCAACGGTGGCGCCGACTGCGTCCTCGTTGTCGGCTTCGAGAAGATGAACCCCGGCTCCCTGCAGAGCTTCTGGAACGACCGCGAGAACCCCACCGGCACCTCGGGCATGATGATGGCGGAGACCCGCGGCGTCACCAACGCCCCCGGCGCCGCCCAGATGTTCGGCAACGCCGGCATCGAGTACATGGAGAAGTACGGCGCGTCGAACGACGACTTCGCCGAGATCGCGCGCGTAAACCACGAGCACAGCCAGCGCAACCCCTACTCGCAGTTCCAGCAGGTGTACACGCGCCAGCAGATCCTCGACTCGCCCACCATCTTCGGCCCGCTCACCAAGCTGCAGTGCTGCCCCACCTCCGACGGAGGCGCCGCCGCCGTCCTCGTCTCGGAGGAGTTCCTCAACTCCCGCCCCCACCTCCGCTCCCAGGCCGTCCTCATCGCCGGCCAGGCACTCACCACCGACGCGCCTAGCCTGTTCAGCAGGAGCTCCATCGACCTCATGGGTTACGATATGAGCAAGGTTGCTGCGGAGATCGCGCTGCGCCAGGCTGGTCGCACTACCGCTGACGTCCAGGTCGTCGAGCTCCACGACTGCTTCTCTGCGAACGAGATGGTTACTATTGATGCCCTCGGCCTATCTGAGAAGGGGAAGGCCCACGAGCTCGTCCGTAACGGCGATATCACCTACGGCGGGAAGTACGTCATCAACCCCTCTGGAGGACTCATCTCCAAGGGCCACCCCCTGGGCGCCTCTGGTATCGCGCAGTGCGCCGAGCTGGTGTGGCATCTTCGTGGATGGGCTAACAACCGTCTGGTTCCCTCCGGAACCAAGGTTGCGCTGCAGCACAACCTCGGTCTTGGTGGTGCCGCTGTCGTCACCGTGTACGAGCGTGCCGATGGCCAGACCGCAACCAAGGTCTCGGATGAGCAGGTTGGAAAGCTTAACGGTCTGGGTTACAACCCGGCTGTTGTAGCGAAGGGGTTCACTGCTGAGCAGGCGGCGAAGGTCAGGAGTAAGAACCAGAAGAGCGCGTGGGCGCTTGGTGAGGCTGAGGCGAAGGTTTTGTCCCGCTTTTAGATGAAGTCAGGGGATAGGGGAGGGAGCGAGGGATGTTGTATTTTTTGTATATTTGAAAAAAATTGCTAGCCATGCTATGATGAAGTAGATATTGATATTATATTATACCAGATTATGAATATTTTGACTTTTACGAGCTGTTCTGATGAGACGTGATCTAATGTTTACAGTACCCGTCTCATTTTCTCTACTTGTACGTATGTGCTCCTCCATACAAGACAAGTTGAAATAGGGGTTGCATACTTCTCATATATCGTGTATTTACAACTTGAATCAAGCCATTTTTCAATTCGGAAACTTGGCTACCACGTACCCCCACTTCTAGCATTACGCAAGATCTCCCTCGACAACCTGCGCATATGGTATCGCCGCTACTGTCTGGATTTGCTGTGGTGAAGGTATCGGGGACATCTTATCCTATCTGGCCTTCGTTTTACCTTCTATTGCTTCACTCCGCATTATACCATTAGCCTCGAACATATCGTCTTGTAAACAAGCTCAGAGGAAGCTATGATGGAGGCTTTGGTTGATAATCGTTCCTTCCACATATAAGGCCAGAAAGTTCCGAGGAAGCTACAATGGAAGCTTTGATTGATAATCGTTCTTTCCGTGTATATAAGACCTAAAATTTCCGAGGAAGCTACGATTGAGGATTTGCTTGGTAATCGTTCTTTCCATATATATAACACCTAAAAGATCCGAGGAAGCTACGATTGAGGCCTTGGTTGTTAATCATTCTTTCCATATATAAGGCCTGGAAATTCCGAGGGGGCTACGATGGAGGCTTTGATTGGTAATCGTTCTTTCCAGATAGTATTTGCAAAACTTATTATGAACGATTTAATGCGTTGTCACTGATGTAGGACAAGGTTTGGACACGGTTCTGATTCGATGGGCAGACTGTAGTATCAATCTATTGATAATAATACTTTTGTTTTATTTTTGCCGTTTGATTTATAGGGGCTATCAGCACGTCTAGCAAAAACATGGTAAGAATGACACCACCACCGTTCTCGAAGGTTTCAAATCAAGTTACATGCAATGCTATGAGCATCCTCGTTCTCAATAGGACTAACACAGAATGCACCTCTGGTTATTGTTTGTAAAAAAGAAAGGGGTGGTGGTGAAAAAATTGTAAATGGATAGGGGGTAAAAAAGGGGTCGAAAAAATAGGTTGTGGGTAAAATAAAACAAATCATTGAACAATTATTACGTGCTTTACCATAATTCATCCCATAAACAGTAGCACAACTCACATCAGTCATGAGACATCACATGAGGTCTCCCCCTTTACGAGCTTTGAGCTCTGTGCGTGCACCCTCCAACGAGCCCCTCGGCTCCGACGTGGCTCAACCCCCTCGTTTCCCGTATATTTCGCTCTCCAAATAAGCGCCCAGAAAACATTTCATGTTTCCATTTCATTCCCCACCCCCTCAGCGGCAAAGATAAGATAACCCACGCCCGACCCCACGGTCCTGTCGATTAGCGCCCATGGACGTGGGCCGTAGTCACTCTACCGAGCGCGAAGCCGTTGGCCTGCGTCGATCGGGGTGACGTGTATGGAGCCGCTGAGTTGGGTATCGATGATGCGTGGAGGAGAGGAAGAAGAAGTAGATCGCCACCGGCGCGAAGCCGTTGGCCTGGATCTATCCCCGGGATCGTGTGCATGGACGACACGCAGAGCCGCCGCCGGGGTGGGGGAGTGACGTGCATGAACCTGGGCGTTACGCCGATGCGATGCAGGGACGCTTGCCCTCCCGTTGGCTGGTCCGGCCGAGGCGCCAGTCCGGGTTCTCGGGATAGGGTTGGTTGGTTGGTTGGTGGCGGGGTCGGTAGTCTCGGGCGGCTAGGGGCCGGCTTGTGAGAGGGCGACGAGGGGGGAGGGCGCGTGGGAGACGGAAATGGCATGATGGCATTTTTGAGATGCTGATGCTGATGCTGATGCTGATGACGATTATGATGGGGAAGAGGAGGAGGGCGCGTAGAGGGGCGCCGCCCCAGCGCTTCGGGGCGGGAACCGACTGGTTGGGGGCTGGGCGCTTAGGGGGCGTGGTGGGCGGCTATCGTGCCACGACAACAGGAGCACCACCATTACCACCACCACCACCACCACCACGACTAACCCATAACGTGGTTCAACGGGATAAAATCACGGCGGCTAGAGAGTGAGAAGGAGAGGAAAGGGACGTAAAAAATAGAAAAGGAAATGACGTGAGGAGAAGGAGAGGGGAGAGACGGAAATATATTTTAGATTTTGATGAGAGCGGGAGAATATGCAAGATACCGTTTTTACGCGCCCACGCTGGTTGATGTTTGAGTGGCACTTAACTTAACTGGACCGCATGTTCGTCGAGATCGTGAGTTAGGGCAGGGTGTTTGTAGTCGCTCGGCCAGTGAAAACGCAGATGTTTGTGATCGCATCGACTTGGTGCTTCTTGGATTGATGTTGTCATCATCTCCTGAGCGTCAGCGCTGACACCACTGAAGGAAGTCAATCTCACAGGATGCGCATCACGTGCCGCCCACCATCGCACCCATCGCATCCATCATCCATCCCACCACCCAAATCCCCACCACAAACACCATCGCTTACCCACCATCGCTTACCCACCATCGCTTACCCACCATCGCTTACCCACCCTCGCGTCGCCTCGCGTCGCCTCGCTCGCCTCAGCACGCACCAAGCGCGGAATTCTCGCGGCCCCCCTGCCATCCCATTCCCACTCGCATCCGCACCGCCTTGGCGAACGGGCCAGCGTTTAGGCTGTTCTCCCATCCCATTCAGCGTTGGGTGGTTTGGTGCTTAGGAACTCTATCCCTGGTACTCTATCACTATCAGTGGGCGCGAGACAAGGCAAGGGCAGCCGGCCAGCGGGCAGTGCAGGGATGGCGATGGCGAAGGGGAGAGCAATCTGGTGTTGTGGCCCGGGGGGGGGGGATTAAGTGGAGGGAGGAGGGGGATGGGGCAGGGGGTGGGTGGCTGGGGGTTGTGCCGAGGTCTGTAGTGGGTGGGTGGGGGGCGGTGAGGTGAGGTGAGGTGAGATGCAGGAGGGCTGTGATGGGATGGGATGGGGCGGAGAAGGGAGGAGTGCAACCCTGCCCCTCCCTGCTCACAACCAACACCACTGCCTCCCACCGCATCGCTGCCTCTGCCTCCCTGGGTACTCCCGCCCCTTTCGACGTGAGGGGTGGGTTAAGCGCAGGAGTGAGTGGGATTCTCCGTCAGCGCCCTCTCTCATCCCCGCGGCGCTACTGTGCGTCAATCACCGTCTCCACCCCCGAAGCAAGGGCGTCCTATCACGTTTAATGGTATAGAGTAGACCGGGTTTCGAGAATAAACCTCTCCTCCCCCCCCACCCCGAGCCGTGGATCTTGAAACGACAGAGAGAAGAAATAGAACCAACACCGTCCTATTTATAACCCCCTTCCTCTGACGTTGGACCTTGGCGCAACATTGGGGGCGATCGGACAAGAGCGAGGGTGGGGCAGATCGTGTACCTCCTGTCATTTATGCACTGAACTGTACATACTCTACAAAGACAGAACTGAGATGACAGATAGGGGTAAGCAACAACCAAGCCCACCCCGCTGGCTGCCGCTGACGAAGTGACACGTCCCTCGCATCTCTCTCTGCAGATAGTCAGGGCGCCAGCCTAGCTCGGCTCAGCCCTGGTCTGCTCGGTGATGCATCCCGTCTCGTTCACCTGCTTCTTTCTGCCTTCCTTGCTCTAGACGTGGCTGCATCCGCCCATCGCGGCTGCGGGCGGGTGAACCCCTTTCCCCCCCTCCCTCTTCTCTCCCATCCACCAGCGAGCCAGAAGGGAAGGCCAAACACAGCCCCCTTCCCCGCTCACCTCTCACGGTTACCATACTACGCTACGCGTAGTATGGTACAGCACAGCACAGCACAGCACAGCACAGCACAGCACAGCACAGCACAGCACAGCACAGCACAGCACAGCACAGCACAGCACAGCACAGCACAGCACAGCACAGCACAGCACAGCACGGGAAACAGCTGAGTGAGCAGACAGTATCAGTGCAAGAGGGAAGGCCTCCCAAAACCCCTCCCTCCCTCCCAAAACCCCTCCCTCCCTCCACACAACCCCCCCACCATCCCCAATCCCGTAGTAACCGCCGCGCCGCATGACCTCCCCCTCCAACCCATCCCCTCCAACCCATCCCCTCCAACCCATCCCCTCCAACCAATCACACACTCCCACTCCCGCCTCACCAATCCGCAACACCCTCCCTGCCCAACGCCGGCGCCACTGCGCGCACGCCCAGCCCGCGGCAGGGTATGTGGAGCTGCCGTATCCGCCGCAGGCGAGGGTACGTACAATCCTGTTTCGCTTCCTGGCCTGGTGCTTGTGGAATGGAATACCTGGGTACGTACTGTACATGGTTGGGAAAGGGGAGGAGAGGTAGAGGCAGATGGGAGGGATGGATAGGAGGGATAGGGGGATGGGGGGAGACGGCATGGGGGGACGGCATTCTTCAGTGCTGTGTGTGCTGTGCTGGTACCGTTATGCAGTGCGAGTACAGTGAGCGAGTGAGTGGTAACAACACCACCACCACCAGCACAGCAGCAACAAGCGCATCTCTGCCTGTCTCCGTGCTGGTCACAGACCGAACCACCACCATCACCACCATACCGCCTGCGCTACCATGCGTCTACTCCCCCCCTGTGCGCCGTCTGTGTGCAACACCCAGGCCGAGGCAGACGCGGGGATAAGGCGATACGGGCGCGTGATTGCGGGCGATAGCGACGTGTGTGTGTGGGGAGTGGGCGAGGGCGAGTCGAGGGTGAGCGTCTGCATGTACTGTAATGGATGTGTGGTGGTGGGGAGGAGAGGGGATGGACGGGGGATGGACGGGGGATGGACTGGGGATGGACGGGGGACGGACAGGGGGACGGGTGGGGGGACGGGTCGGCGTGGCAGTTGGGTGTGTGTGGCAGGGGAGGGGTGACTGGGTGGGAGGGGATACGCGGCCCGTGCTGAGTTGAGGGGGTTGAGAGCGCGATAGGCGCGGGTGGGTGGGTGGGTGGAGCGGGCGAGCGAGGGGGGTTTGGATGGGAGGGAGTGGAGGGAGTGGAGGGAGTGGCAGGGAGTGGCAGGGAGTGGCAGGGAGTGGCAGGGAGTGGCAGGGAGTGGCAGGGAGTGGCAGGGAGTGGCAGGGAGTGGCAGGCAGTGGATGGCAGGGAGTGGATGGCAGGGTGGGAGTGGCAGGGAGTGGACGCCAGGGTGGATGAGTAAGTTAGGCAAGTTAGCAAGTTAGCAAGTTAGTGAGGAGGTGCCGTTTTTTTACCTCTTGGGATTGCGGTCATATACTAAAAGGATGGCAGGCGGCAGGCGGCAGGCGGCAGCAAACGCAAGAAAGTACCTTACTACCCTCGGCATTGTCCAGCTTGTCAGCTTGTCAGGGAGTAGCCTTGTTCACATAGTTGGGGTACATCCAAATAGTTAGAGTACATCAACCCCTACTGTCTCTACACCTGGTCAGCAAGTACCACACCAACGTGTGTACATAATCTAGCGAAAAGCGCTAGTTAGTGCCGAAGGCCGATTAGGGGACGCCACTTAGTCACTCGCCGCTAAGCCGCTAACATTCGCCGCTAACTCGCCCAACCAACTGGTGGTTTTTCTTACCCGCGCGACTCTTTCCCGACTCTTTCCCTTCCCCGTCGTCGTCCCTTCCCCGTCGTCATCCCTCCCCATCGGCCCCATCGTCGTCCCTTCCCCTCCCCTACACTACCTACACTATCTACACTACACTACGCTACCTACACTACCTACACTACACTCAGTCCACTACCTACACTACACTACGCTACCTACACTACCTACACTACCTACACTACACTACCTACACTACACTACCTACACTACACTACCTACACTACCTACACTACACTCAGTCCACTACCTACACTATCTTCACTACACTACCTACACTATCTTCACTACACTACCTACACTATCTTCACTACACTACCTACACTATCTTCACTACACTACCTACACTATCTTCACTACACTACCTACACTATACTACCTACACTACACTCAGTCCACTACTTCTCTCCGTACTCTCTCCCACTCATAGTCACATCCCCTTCCCCCTTCCCCCTTCCCCCTTCCCACTCGTACCACCCACCAACTCCTCCCATATTACCCGCGACAGAAAAACAAAACTTCAACTTCAATTACCTAGACACCCTCATCCTATTGTATATCCTTCATCTTATCTCAAATCAATTCATCCCTCTCCAATCATTGTCTATCGTTCGTTCCCACTTGCCGCCCATTTCACACTTCTGCCTGCACTTTTACCGCGTCGGCAGTCTTGTCGCGAAACGAGGCGAGGGCCTATTGCGGGTATTCGAAGCGCCGGCTTATGCTAGGGGCGCTGCGGCGGGAACGAAGGTCGACTCCCAGTTCTTGGGTAACCACCTCGACACCTCGACACCTCGGACACACGCACACTCGTTCACTCCCCTAAAACACAAAACAACAACCTCGTCGTCGTCATACTTGACACCGCCAACGTCTCCATTTAATAATTCCCTCTTCCTTGTATTCAACTTTTCTGGAAACGTTACATACTACACCGCCAGGAACAACCTCTCACTTCCCCGGCCACCAAGCTTTGTTCCTTCCGTCGCAGAAACAGACGCCAGCCGGCATCGTTACGTCGTCAACCTGGGGCTGTGCAGAATTCTTTCCCACAGCTAGCCGCACTTCAACAAAGAACCTCTCACCCCCCGAACAAACATCTATTGTTCTCCACGCTGTCGCAGCTCCGAGACAGCGTGCCTCCCGTTGCCAAGATATCGTCCCTCACGACGGTCTCCACGACGGCGAAAGAAAGGAGCCCCAGCTCGGTACAGCTGGAGCTTGTGGTACTCGCTCGCGAGAGCCTACGAGAGACGGGACGCGTCTCGAGAGACCTCACAGACACCATCACCGTGGAGAGGCCACCGCGCACCAAGCTGCCCGACCCGACCAGTCCGACTCCTCCGGCTGATCCTGCCATCGACGACAGCGACAGCAAGCGTCCGCCACCAGCCGACGCCATGACGGCCGTCGAATCACATACGGCGCAGAGCCCGTTCCTCGACACGCCCGCGGACCCACCGACGTTGCGATTCACCGCTGTCAACAACCGCGAGGCACTGCCATCCGCGGCGCCGACGAACAATGGCAACGGCTCGTCGCGGAGAGCTTCCGAGGATCGTCCTGAGCCACTGGCCCGCACCACTTCGCCAGTTCCCGAGAAGCTGACCATCACCACGACAAGTACGCAGAGAGACAATTGGGCCGACACGGTCAATGGCGACAAGGCTGCCGGCAGCCAGAGCGTCCCACCACCTCCCACCTTCCCGGATGGCGAATCCTCACATAAGCGCAAGCGGTCTGGCTCTGTGGAACGCGACAGCGCCCAGCCGTCCAGCTCCAGCTCGTATCACAAGCACAGTCTGCCAGCACTGAAGCCGAATGAGCAGCGGAAGGGCTCGCCGAACAGCCCCTACCCCGACTCCGCGCAATCGAGCAAGAGAGATGCACAATCGGCGACGCGTGATCCCTATGCCACACCCCAAACGCCGTATCCGCACTACCCCGAGGGGAGCCGCGAGAACAGCGCCGCGTCGTGGTACTCGCATCAGATCGATAACCGGACCCCTGTGGACGGAGGGCACTCTGCCGCTTCGCAGCACCACATGAGCCCTGATGATCAGCTCCGGGAGGCGCTGCAGCGCGAGAACAACAGCGATGGGCAGGGTAATTACAGCGAGACCAGCCCGGCGCAGAACAACGATCATGGTGCGCCTTACCGAGGCGAGTATGGGCAGGTGCAGGTGGACCACAAGAAGCGGAAGCGCAATTTCAGCAACAGGACAAAGACCGGCTGCATGACCTGCCGCAAGCGCAAGAAGAAGTGCGACGAGACGAGACCTGAGTGTAAGTCCCCGCGAGCTACTGTACAACCTTGACTATATCTAATTCGTCCTGAAGGTAACAATTGTATGCGTGGTGGGTTTATCTGCAACGGCTACCCGAGTCGTGGCAATTGGCCCAAGACGGAGCAGAAGCAGGGACCCGTCCCTCTGCAGTCCAAGGACGGCTACGATGCAAGCCCAAGCCAGTACCAGCCGCCGCCGTACCAGCAACAGCAGCAGCCCCAGCAACCCAAACGCGAGCCTCTCCCATCGTATCGCGGCCAGCAGCTACGTGTTGATCCCCTGCAACCGCCCGCTCGGCCAGTTGGCGCGGACGAAGACCGGGGCGCCTCCACCAACCTCGGCGCCTCAGTCGGGAGCCCCGACAAGAGGCTCTCGGCCATCTCGTACACGCAAGTTAATACCTTTCCCACACCGGTAAGCGCAGTCAGCCAGAGCAACTACCCCGATCGTCTTTCTCAAATGGATTACCAGCGCATGCCTCCTCTACTGGACCAGAACCGCAGCGAGCATGACACTGGGACTCCGCAATCGGCACACTCGGTCCCGCACTTCAGCATCCTCCACGCCTCGAATACCAACAGCCCGCACCCGCACACGCCGCAGTCCACGGCCGCCCAGGACGCTGCGCGCCTCGCCCTCTCCCACCCGGCCTCCAACTCGCGCCGCACGCAGAAGGAGGAGATGCTCGCGGGCAACAACTTCTTCCCCTTTGACCGCGAGCTCGTCCTCGAGCGCGAGCGCTGCAACGCCGCATCGTGGCGCTTCAATAACAGCACGAACCCTAATAACGGGAACCTCCCCGAGGACCGCTCCCGTCTCTTCCGCGACATCCTGCAGCCCAAGGAGCTGGCTAGCATGCCGCCGCACCTGGCATCGCCGGTGAATCCGCAGGGGTACGTGGGCGAGCGCTGCGTCGTCGCGGCGCCGTTTACGTGCGATTACGGGTATAACATCGTGATTGGGCAGGACGTGAGTATCGACCGCAACTGCACGATCCTCGACTGCGCGTCGGTCAAGATCGGGGACCGCTGTGTGATTGGACCGAATGTCAGTATCATCACCACGACGGTGCCGATCGATCCGAAGAAGCGGCTGGGCAGCAAGGGCCCGAATCAGGGGAAGCCGATTATCATTGAGGAGGATTGCTTTATTGGGGCGAATGCTACGATTTTGCCGGGGATCACGGTTAAGAGGGGGAGTACGGTTGGGGCGTGCTCGGTTGTTACGAGGGTGAGTTTTGCGATATTGCTTTGGTGAATGAATGAACGGCGGGCTAACGTATCATAGGATGTACCACCCTTCACAGTCGTCAGCGGTAACCCAGCGAGGGTCATGCGCGGCATCTTTCAAGTCCACGACTAACCCCCTCCCATTGACTCCGGAGGAGGTCGCTTAAGGATAAAAACGAATATTTATATACATAATACCACCACCACCACCACCCCCACCCCCCGTCCTACAAAGGCGGTAATATGCTTAGCCGCTCTTTCCTCATTTTCCGGTGTTATGATGGCAACTTGGCGGGTCCAATTCACGATAGTCGCTCTCTCTTTTGCACTCCCCTCCCCACTATTCGTTTCTCGTGTGAGGACCGGATATATGACGTGGGATGATGAGGGGGCAGCTTAGGAAGGAAGGGGAAGGGGAAGGGGGTGAGCGGGAAAAGGAAATGGGAAAGGAAGAAGGGAATGAAGGATGGATGGGAATAGGGAGCGGGAGCGCCCCACCACCACCACGAGAAAAGAAAGAGTGAAAGCTGGAGAGAGAGAAAGCTGGGAAAAATCTCGGCCTATTTCCGGATTTTTTTTACTACGTTTATTGTCCTGTGCTGTCATATCTTATCTGCTTTTATTGTCATCGTCGTTATGTGTGTGCTCTAACCCCCGTTTTACTTTTTTATGATGGGACGGGATGGGATGGGGCAGATGGGAGACGGGTTTTGGCGGGATGGGAAATATCAAGGAAGGAAAGGAAAGGGATGGGACGGGGATGGCGGAAAGCATCGCAAGGATTAGGGAAATATTATTTTTTGCTATCTTTGTTGCCTCTTTATTCGTTTGTTGCTCCCTGCTTTCTGGATGTTTTTGGAGACGGACGCGGGGAGGGGTATTGAGAGAGAGGATTTGGGGGGTGGACTTGCCAGGATTTGTTGGGGGTTTGGCTAGGGAGGAGAAACAGGGTGGGGGATGGAGAGAAGAGAGTGGCTATAGTCGTTTTAACTTAAGTTAACCTTTTTATACAAGATTCATAAAATGGAAGGGGGATTTTAGTGTGTGTTTTTGGGGGTGATGGGGTTTTATGTGGTTGTATCTCCCTACACATCTATTAATCATCTTCGTCTTAGAGTAAGTAACCCGTCTTCTCCTCCCGCTTGCACCTCTGCCCATCACCTCTCCCCTCCCACACCTCAGTACCCCTATAACCGACGACACATGCATACAAACCACCTCACCTTCCCACACCCACTAAGAACCCCCCCCCGGGCAAATTCTAAATCCAATCCATGTCACCCGTAACCCAAGCCATCATCAAAACATCCACCCAACCAACGAAAAATCAACGACACAATAAGATATTCACACCGGGAACATGATTAGCACGCGTTGTGAGGGGGTATTGAGCGAGCGGAAGGCGGCGAACGTCGAGGGGTGGGAGGATGGGCGTGGTGCGGTTTTTTCGAGGTTGCTGGGAGTGCGGTGCCGAGAGGGTATCAATGATGGCGGGTAGGAGTGGTAATCAGCAGTAAGTAGTACTCTTATTCTCACCGTCGTGGATATCTTGTTGTCACCACAAATGGGGAGAGAGCTTATATTGTCTACTCGTCTTCCTGAGCCGAGGCGGCCTCATTCGCTGCCACTGTGATCCTGCTGGCGTTGCCCGCCACTGTTCTGTTTTTCTCCCTTCGTCTTTTTCAATAGGTCAGAAAATAATGCGAATCGGATGAGGCGTGCATGGTTTGGATTTATTTATTTATTGAAACACACGTGGATATCTGATACGACCATGTGCCTGACTATCTTCTACCTTCCCCTTTTCCAGACATCATCCACTACCCCCCTTCACCCCTCCACATCCTAAACGCCTTCCCAAACCCCCCTCCCCCATCCCCATCTCCATTCCCCCCCTTCTTTTCCCCCACCTCACCTCCCCTCTCCATCCCACCAACACCCTCCCCAACCCCAACAAGCGGCACCATACTCGGCCTCCCATGCGCACACAAGAACGGAAACTTACACCCCCCCAACCTCCGCACCAACCTCTCACACTCCCGCGGCTCAAGAACATCATTAAACATCACCGCTCCGCGACAAGCACGCGAATTCAGCATCTCTAATATCCCCGCCGGACAACCCTGCATGCGCGCCACCCAATCTGGGGTAGCTTCTTCCCCACCATCAATCTGCTCTGCGCCTCCATTTCCCCGAACCTGACGTGACGGCCCAGCACCACCCCTTCCATCAAACCCCCACACCTCGCGCCGGACAAGTTCAATAGCCATCTTCGAATCCAGGCGGCACCTCTCCGCGATCCCAGGCGGTAAAGCCGTAAGTATGACTTTATCCATTCCCTCCCCCGGCGGGTTCGGGGGGCGAATGCAATACAGTACGCCCCAATCCGCAAAATGCTGTCGATGGCGCTCCAGCAACTCTGATTCCGCCGCCGGGACTTCAAAGACGATGTTCTTCTCCAGCCTCTCCACACGGACACCAGGGACCAGCTCATCATGCCCCAGTCCCGGCGACGGTGAAGGCGGCAGGCAGAAGTCCGCCATCAGCGCTTCGATGCGACACCGCTCATCAGCAGCGTGCTGATCGATAATAACGAGCATATCCTCCCCACCCACTTTACCATCCGTAGACGCAGCAGCAGCTGGCATCCGTGCAAGTATGAACTTGCGATCGACCTGCGCGATGACGCGAGCGCGCTGGAGTCCCGATTTCGAGAGGCGACCGGTGGAGCTGGTGGCGCTGACCTGGAAGGAAGGGCCAATGGCTGCTTGAGTGCAGGTGTGGTGGTGGCCGTGCAGGATGCTCTGGGTGTGGGTGTCGGTCCAGTCGGGTTGGATTTGGGGGATGGGGGGTTCGGCGGGGGGGAAGACGGGGTTATTCCAGTTGGTGAGGATGCTGTTGAGCCAGGTTCTTGGTTGGTGGGGTTGGGTGGGTGTGTCGTGTGCTGTTGGACCGTACTTTCTGTCGAGTGTTTGGAGTCCATAGCGTGTCTCTGAAGTAGGCTTGCTGCTCAATTTGGGGGTTTGCTGTACCAAGCCAGTGCGCATGTTGACGAAACAGTTTTCCTTTGTAGTTGGGTCTGTCCAAGGGACAAGTTCGTCTTTCTCTATACCGGGAGAAGGAGATTCGCTGATAGGCACTTCTTTTTTGGGGGGGTTTGCAGGTCGCCTGGTTGGCTTTGCCACGTCCATGAAAGGCAGCTGGGATACCGTGCCTGATTTCGAAATTTGCGGAGTCGCCCTGCGCAATATAGGCTTCTCTATCTTAGAAGCAGAATCCTTTCCGACCCCTTTTGGTCCCGCCGGAGCATGCTTTGAAGCCTGGGCGCCTTTTGCTGCTTGAAATCCGTCGTCGACATTGGATAATTCTCTCTTTGACGTCTTGACAAGCGCTGGAACCCTTCCACTTTTGACCCTAGGCCATATATCAAACGGCGATGATGGACGAGGACTTGAGTTCCTTGTCGGAAGTTTGGTGATTGCCCTTTTCTTGGGTGAGCTTGCGGCAACACTCGCTGGACTCTGCGGACGAGATCCAGGCATATCGTAAACAGCTTGAGCAGAGCCTGATGGCTGCAGCCCACCTATGTCAACTTCGCTGCTTTCAGCTTTGCGCTTGGACGGCGAGCCAGGAGGTCGGATAAACTTGGGAGTAAAGTTGTTGCTCAGGAGAAACTCCACAATGACAGCCTGCAGTAACTTCGTAATGGAAGTGAGCGTTTTCTCATCGTCAAAAACATCTTCAACGGGGTCGTGGTTCAGTGTAGGCCCATGAATATCGATCCTCATGTAGAACATTGGCCATCTGTCGACCCCCTTTCCAGACCCCTTCAGCTCCTTGTTGGTAAAACCATCGCTTTTATATCGCCTGTCCTCTGCCCTTCTCTTCTTCTCCGTCTCATCCAGCTGGGGAAGGTCATCCACTATACCAAATGATGAATTGGCAAAAAGACGATTAACCTCTTCAAACAAAATATTGCGTCCATCTTTGTTGCTCAAAGGGTGTATCCCAAAAGACATGAATTGAATGCCTTTGGTGGGTGCAGGATCAAGTGAAATTCCGCTTCTGATGCTCACTGTGGATGTAGAACCGCTTGCAGACACCCAAGACGACGTGTCCACTGAAGGAATGAAAGACGCTTGTGCGAGAGTGCTGCAAATATGTGATATCAGAGCACCATCGTCATTGATATCCCTGCGCCTTGAACTTATGCGCAAAGTTCGCAACTTAGTATTGGATGCAAGCTCTTTTATGGTCACAGAAATCGGACCCTGCCATGATAATATCAAGGCCGTGACTTCTTTTCGACGCGAGTCCCAGTCTTTCGGATTTCTTGACGACTCTGCATTCTCAATAGCACGCTGTTTGACCCGGACCGGCATGTCACCAAAGAGGTTCCGCACTGTAACACGGGTGCCATGGTTTAATGACACTAAATGCTGTGCCTCAGGAGCCGGGGTTTGACGAGATATAACCTGGGATCTGGACAAGCTCATAGAATTATGCGAGCGGTGCAGATGGTGATGCGAAGTGATAGACAGCAATGACAGCGCTGCAAGAGAAGCCAGGAAACAGCCTTGGGTGCCATGCGTTTCAGTATCACTGCCATGTTTGGAGGTATCTATATATATTAGAGCTCTGCCGATTACCAAACTGAGTTTCTTACGATGAAGTTTTGCCAACCCGCCAGCTGGTTGGAATTCGGCTGGTGCTATACCCAGCCCATCATCTTCGACTATGCAGCTGCCATGACCATAGTCAACCTGAACATCGACCTTTCCTGCTGAGGCATCAAGGGAATTTTTCAGTAGCTGAATGATAACCCCATTTACCGATGTGATGGAGACGGAGGATTTTATCTGGGCAACAACTTCAGGTGGCAATGGAGCAATAGTAGTTGAAGAAGCCATGCCGTTGCTGGAATCTTTCAATCGCTGTAATGAATGCAATGCCAAAGCCGACGGATGATGTTCCTTCCGTTATTCAAAGGCTGGATATTCGCCATCGCGTGGAAAGAACGAAGGGCTCAAATCCGGTTTGTTTACATGGCAATCATCTCAGCAGTAAGACGGAGCAATTACACAATACTGGCAGACAAGCAACACTTCAAGCAGAGAAAATTAAAGCAACAGATGCTGTCAATACCATCAATCTCAAGTGGTAACATCGAGTGGCAATTTATAATGCGCTGTCCTCCAGGGTTGGCGCTTTGAACAAGGGAACGGCCGTCGTGAAATTCTGCCGGTTGTCATGTGAGGATGCCCTCACCGCCTTATGTCATACCAGGATGACAGCCCAGTCACGTGATGAGGGTAGAAACAACACCAACAAGCTGACAACAGATCCAGTCAACGACAATATGAGAATGTGAAATCTAGACTTTTCTATTGATATCAAATTCTACGAGCGCCCCAAAGATATTCTTAGCTCTTGTTACTCCACGTGAGAAGCTCATGCAATCCGCTCTTCTGCCTGGGCATCGGCTAACAAACGTTCCAGCCAGATGAAATGGACGTATATCGCCCCGTCTTACCCAGCCACAACACACAGAGAAGCGCTCCAGGTCCTTACTACAGCATATCCCACAGTGGCTTGCCAAGCCCAAGGACTCATTTGCAGACGCAGTACAATTAACCCCAGAATAGGAAACTTAAGAGCACAGCACCCGTCGATCAAAAAAGCCTTTCTTGGCGTACGGTCTGAATGGTATTCCTAATTTTACTTCTGAGGCAGACGATTTCGGTTGGAGGAGGAAGGGAAGTAAGGAGTCCTTCAAATTTGAAGTACTTCGTATTGTGAGTTTCGTGGGTTTGCTTATTGCTTCATCCTTAACTGGAGAATTACGAGAAGGCTCGATGGGCGATGAATTCCCTACGTACTTCCATGTGTTCAGAAGTCTGGAAATACCCAGGGATATGGACGTCAGGTGCCACGGGAAGATTTGCAGTTGACAGGCAGGGAATACAGTGCTTGGGGAATACAGTGTGCTCCGTTCCAGGCACCTAAGCTTCTTCACCACATCGGTTATGGGTTTATGGCTGAGAAAGCCACGACCCCCCATGTTGCATCCTTCGAGCAGAAGCGTAAGGCTGATCAGAGAATTTTCTCACTCAATATGGCTCATAACGACCCTTCAAAAACCAATGACATCTATCATCACGCTCTAAACCCACCCCTCCAGGTCAACGGTGGAGACAGCTGAATCCAATGTGGCTTATCGTAATTTCTGACAGGTAGATCTGGCCCTGTCTCCACCGTGGTTTCCCCGCCGAACCGCTCAGCTGCCTCGCGATCCATTGCTGTCGGGTCAGCAATGCCTCCGCAAGCCCAGCAGGGTCTGACACAACGTTGTTCCCAGGCGCGATCATCATGGTGCCTGCCTGGGCATGCGGGTCGCCCGCTCATTGGTTTGACTCGGGGCGGGTGGGCAGTGCTGTCCCTCAATTCACAGAATAGCTCAAGTCAGCTACGCTCACACCCCTCTCAAACCCTGATCCATTTGAGAGTTGAGAAGTGATAGGGATTGGCGTGAGTACTAATATTCCCCAAGTCCATCTCTATCCTTCTGCTTTTCTTTTTCTCTCCATCCAACTCGAGTCTTCTCTATCCATCTTGTCATCTTCAAACGCTCTTTAAACCACCCCTTACCTTTTTCTCAAACCACCTAACTCCAATCAATATGCGTTTCTCCGTCCTCCTTGCCGCCACCGCGGCCACCATCGTCGCCGCCCAGGCTGACCTCGGAAACGTCCAGAACTGCAAAAACCCCCAAGGCCTCCTTGACTGCGCTAAGCCCTACTTTGTGGACGTCAACAACTGTGGCTCCAACATCCCCTGTCTCTGCAAGGCCGCCACCGGCGGACAACAGTGAGTCTCCTCCGCCCCCTCTACCAACCACCCAAACTAAACCCCACCCAGATGCTTCACCAAGTACTGCCCGGAGGTCACATTCCCCTACTCAGCCGAGCTCCAGAGCGAGTGCGGCAGCAGTGGCAGCGGCAGCGGCAGCGGAACTGGTAGCGGAACTGGCAGCGGTAGCGGCAGTGGCACCAGCTCTGGCAGCAGCACCGGCTCGACCAACGCGCCCACGAACTCCAACTCCAACAACGCTCCCAAGTCCGGCGGTGGTGTTCCGGGTGCCGGAGCCTCCATCTTCGCCCCCGCTGGCAGCCTCCTCGCTGCGATCGTCGCTGTTGCGGCTATGTTGTAAGCGGTGTGTTGGACGAGAGTGTGAGGGACAGGGCAAGTGGGCTGCGCGTGTTGTTTTGGCGTCTGCATCTGCTGCGGTGTTTTGAGACCCGTTGAGCTTTGTACGTTTTTGTTGTTGGATTTTGGGGAACAGATTATTTGGACTGAGTGCTTGGGGAGACTGTGAGAATGTGTGGGGGTAGTTTTCTATGACTTTGAACAACTTCATACGCGATGCTTATAAAAGTGTTGTGAGAACCCATGAAGATCGTTTCATTTCATTCCATTTTAAAGTCCATCCATGCATAATGTCAGTAACACCCATCAAACTTCTCCATCAACCTGCTACTCGTCACTCATAGCCACTGCGTCCCATCTCCTCCGTCTCAAAACACCCCATCCTCAAAATCCACAACCTTCAGCAGCTTCACCAACGGCTTCACACTCTCCACAAACGCAAGATGCACCGGATCCTTCTCCAAATAATACTTCCGATCCGCCTCCGACACAAAATGCGAGATAAACGCATGCGTCAATCCTCCCTATCAATCATTAGCCTTCCTTATCCCCCATCCCTCCCCTCCCCTCCTGCGCAAGAAGAGAGCAAGCAACTCACATCATGACCCTCCGGGCTATTATTCTTCCCCCCCATCCCATTAAACACATACTGCTGCCCATTCTCCGGGTGACGACACGTATTCGACAGGTTCAGCATGCGCTTGCAGATCTAGTGTGCTCGTCAGTCACTCAGGGAGGCTGTTGGTTGCACGTGCTTATCGATAAGGCACCTGGGAGGATAGTGGACATACGTCATTGACGGCCTCAGCGTCGGCGTCGGCGGCGAACTCGAAGAGGACGATGTGGACGATCGTCATGGCTACCTATTTACGTTCTTAATCTGAAAGGTAGGTTGTACGAGTAAAGCGGTATTGGGTGAGGATGAGAAAGTGTTGTTGGAAAAGGAAATGGGCGAGCCGGAGACGGTAGTCTAAGACAAGGTTCTCGGCTACCAGGTGTCTGCCAACTTTCTAAGCGGGCGGGGGGCAGGAACGAACGGATAACAACAACCTTTCTTCTTATCAGGGAAGGGACGTTGGATTTAGGTTTGCTATACCGTCTGTGGATGGAAGGGGCGATCGGATCAGGTTGGGTCGTGCTTGCCTTGATGGGCAGGGGAGGGCGGGTCTGGATGGGGAGGGACGCGTCGGGAGCAGGAGGAGACCGGAGGAAGGTGCGACTGGGGATGACTGGGTTGTGAGAGATGGAGGGTTATACAGTGAGTCAGTTGCTTTGTTTGAACGTGGGACGTTTCGCGTGGTTGTGTAATTTGTGTAATGCTGTGTTCAGTGTATGTAGTCTGACTATCCAACAAACACTTTCAAACGTTTCCGCGAACAATCCAACGCAGCGGGGGCTGTGCGAGGCTGTACGACAATCCCAGTACGGTGCTGCCATGCGGACTATCCATAAATATTCATTTCTGCTCCAGTCTCCCTCTCTTGCCCCTGAGTGCATGCACCGCTTGCGCTTGCCTGTGGCCATGTATACGATCTTGCCCCCCCCCAAACTGGCAAGCATCCAATCGCTCCTTCCCAAAGTAACCGTCTAGGTATAAGATCAAAGCAGCCATCCCAACCGTTCCCATAGCCTAACTTATTAAGCATCATATATAACAGTCGTTCCATCCTGCGCAGTGTCCAATAGCTTCCATGCGCATGTAATGCCCTCCTTCTTGAACTCCGAAATCAAATGATTAGCGATATTCTCAAAGTTGTCCGTTGCCAGCGTCATGATAGTTGGTCCGGCACCGCTCAGGCAAGTACCCAAGAGACCCGGGTGCGACTTGGGCGATATGCTCTGTAGGATCTCTGTCAATCCTGGGATCAAAGTCTTGCGGTATGGCTGGTGGATCTTATCCTGCATCGACAGGTAGATGAACTCTGGGTCTGGCGGCGATTCACCCAGAGCCGTAGGCAGGAGCGCCACGCGCTGCAGGTTAAACACGATATCTGGTCTAGTATAGCTTGTCGGCAACACCTCTCTCGCCTTCGCCGTCGCGACCTCGAAGTCCGGAATCACGACGATACACCTAATCTCCGGCGCCCACTTGAACTTATGGAAGTGCCCAATGTTGAACGGTGGCTCCGGGGGGTTCAGGCCCGTATCCACACCGCCGGTGTTGGAGAGGACTTCGGATATCGGGATCTCGAGGCGCGCGACATCAGCGGGCTTAAGCTCGTTGAGGTAGGTGCCAACAAAGCCACCGTAGAGTGTCGCAGCGATGTTATCGGGGTGGCGCTCGACCATCAGGCAGTAATCGAGGATGCGGGCCTTTGAGAGGCCAAGCTTGCCTGCTTCATTGGCGAGGACGACGCCGGAGACGACGGCGGAGCCAGAGGAGCCGAGGCCGCGGCCGAGGGGGATGGGGTTGATGACGTGGACGTGGGTGTTCTTGGGGAAGACGCGCTGGCCGTGGCAGCGGAGGACGTAGAGGGCGACTTTCGTGATCAGGTTGACCTCTGGGTCGAGGGGGACGTCGGGGGCGCCCTGGCCCTCGTAGGTTATGCGGCAGTTGAGGGGGAGGGAGCTGGTTTCGGAGGGGTCGACGGTGACTTTCAGCTCGAGGTACATTGAGAGGGCGAGGCCGATGACATCGAAGCCAGGGCCAATGTTGGCGGAGGAGCAAGGAGCTCGGACGGTGAATTTAGAGGCGGCCATGGTTTCTAGGTAGATGAGGGCTTGTTCGGTGCTGCGAATTGAAGCGATTGAGAGGCGATGAAAGGGTGCCCTCGGTAGATAATATAATAAAAATGGTGGTGTATATTGCTTTTCCGTCACCTTACCATGCTCGGTAGAGTTCGCGGGAGGTTGATATCCACTATCTTGGTCACTTGAGGTCTGTGGCTCGACTGTGAGGCTAAGAATTTATTTTGGCGGGGAAGAAGTTGGCGCCCATAACCCACCCCACGGCTGTCCGCCATCGGAGAATCGCTCACGTGCGCGTAAACATATTCTAGAATGCGATTCCCCAGAAAGAACAAAATAATATTACTTTATCAATTGCTTAAGATGCATGGTTTAAGGTACAGCTAGTGCTATGCACAACTGCATGACATAAATGGCAGGTGCTCTTGTGCTCTTGTGCTCTCTAGTTGTTATGCGTCTTGATGACGAGAATATTATTCCAGAATCCCCTAAGTTGTGCCAGCAACCATTACAAAAAGCCGCCCAGATCGGAACCCAAATATCAGCGCCATTCCATTGATCGTTATTCGTCATGATTCAACTTTTCCAACCAGTCCTCAAATGTCCTTGCCGCGTCTTCAAACTGCAGATCATTCATTAAATGATGACCGCTTCCCTCCACAGAAGCAAACTCCACCTCCCCCTTTTTAATATCATACCCATCCTTCCCAATCTGTTTCAGCGCCCCAGCATACTCCGCCGTCGTCTTCTCCATTAACTCCATCTTCATTAACTGATCCAGCTCTGCCGCCAACACAAACAGCCTCATACCGCACCCTAGAAGCACCCTCCTCGGATCCACATACCCGCGCCACATCGTACTAATGGGCCACCTCAGACTCTCATACTCCGGCATGAGCTTCTCAAATGGCTTCACCCAATCAATCGGGAACGATGGACAAAAGAACGCCGATTTAACCAGGTCGCTCGACGATAGCGGCGACCGCGGATGCAGCCAGTCCCGCAGGAACATCCGCGGCAGAAACAGCGGATCCAGAGCCCACCACGCGCGGTACACATGGTCACTACACCCACTCCATTAGCACAACTTCCAACCATGGGGAGAACAGAAACTTACGCCCCAAAACTCGGCGTCCCAGCCAGCAACGCCAAGGCCTGTACCCTCGCCAGCTCCTGGTCGCAGACGATCTGCACGAGCCCTCCGCCTGAGCTATGGCCCGCTAACACAACCTCGCCGCGCGCACCGTACAGCGTCTCCAGATGCGCGATGGCGGCGCGGATGTCTGTCGCCAGGGCGTATGCAGTAGTCAGGAAAGTCATGCGGAGGAACCCGGGTGTCCATGAGTGGCCATGCCCGCGGATACTTAGGGCGTGGACGTTATACCCATGGTTAGCGAGGAGGTTGAGCCACGGCAAAAAGACGGCGGCGCAGCCGAAGCCGCCATGGACGAAAAGGATGGGCGATTCGAGGATGGGGGACTGGACGATGCGGGGACGGGTGAGATCGGGGGTTGCGCTGAGGAGCTCGAGGGGGCCGGAGGGGGTGGCGATGAAGGAGCGTGTGATACCTGCGAGGAGGGGCGTGGCGGGTGGGGAGGAGGAGGTCCAGGAGAGGGTCCAGCGGTTTGAGGAGGGCGTTGATGGGGCGGGCATGGTGCATTAGATTTTGATAGAGAAAGAAGAAGGGGATTTTAAGATAGGAACAAGGACGCCGTCGTAGTACAGAAACGTGAGACGTGAGCGCGAAGCTGCTGCTGGCGATGTTATATACCGCTGCGCCGCAACTGGCAGGCGGGGTACAGGGACACAGACGTAGAAAAAAAAAGTGAGAACGATGGGAGTCTAGCAGAAGGCGCGTCGTGAGAGTATGCTTGCTTGCATGCGAAAAGGCCAATTCCGACGATGCCGGCTCGGCGCGCGGGAGAAGTGAACAGTTTGAGGAGAGGAAATGCGACCTACGACGTACAGGGTTGGGAGATCACGAAACTGGGGGACAAATGTGTATGGTACAGGTGGTTGGAGCTGACAGGCGACAGCTCGTTTGCTTATTCGCAGTGATACAAATGAAAGATGGCTGGCTTGGCTCCTTGGGGACATGTGCCGACAAGGGTTGGGATCATGGGAGTTGAGTTGGCACGTGATAGATAGAGGGCTTTGGTGGAAATGGAGGAAAGTTGTAATATTTTCGTACATTAATTCCCAGCTAGTACAATTCTGACTTTCCAGCTGGCTCTGGATTCTGTCATCTTCAAGTGCTCAAGGCCCTATGACCGGGGATGAAGAGGCGCAAGTCATCGCCAGGTATCTAACCAGGAAATTTCGTGAAAGTGGTGATATGCATAATTACAGTCTATAGTCTCCAAAACTATCTGTCTGTCTGTCCGTCTGTGCAAATGTGAGTTATGGAGCCAATCGCTGCTGCCCGGTTCCCGCAAAACGCCGCCCAATGCCGATGCGCCCTCTGTATGAACAGAAAATAAGTGGTATATCAATGTAATCGTTACGCTCAACGTGATGCTCTAGTCTAAACCATGAACGACTCGCCGCAACCGCATTCATCCTCTAGTATAATTGTTAGTATATAGTCTATGGTATTTCCGCGGAGCCACTTACTTATATTAGGGTTCTTGAAGACAAATCTTTCACTGAGCTTGTCCTCCACGTAGTCCATCTCGCTCCCAATGATGCTGAACAAGGCCTTGCTATCAATCAGGACCTTCACGCCGTCCTGCTCGACCGTCTCGTCGAATGCTCCCGCCTTGTCAACGTACTCAAGGTTGTATGAGAGGCCACTGCAGCCACGGTTCTTGACTCCGACCCTGATGAGCTTGGGTTCGGGCTGGCTGAGCAGGTTCCGTATTTGCTGGATAGCTGACGGTGTGAGGGTGATTGCCGCCTTTCGAGCAGCCCGTAGCCTCGAGCGAGACTTTGGCTTTTCTTGTGTCGCTGGTGCAGCGCCTGCGGCCGCGGAGTTGTTTGCCTGGACAGGCTTCGTCTTCTGCGCCTCCTTTTCGGTGATGGCTATTTCCGGTTGTGCTGCTCCTACTTGTTGCCCAGGTATCGGCGGTGGCATTGTGTTGTGGAGTTGCGGGATGCCTCTCCCGGTGGAGGTTTCTCGGGTGCCGCTGCTCCGCGGGGGTGGCGGCGCTTGGGGTTCGAGGGAGTATGCTTGGTATGTGCTGGTTTGCATCTTGCGCTTCGTGGACATGCGTGCAGACTGTGCTTCGGACACTCGTCTCATTGCGTGGCGGCATGGTCGTGCTGGTGTTACTGACGAGGCAAAAGCGCATTGGAACAGCCTCGAGGTTGAGGAAGCCAGCGGCGTCGCAAATCTCGGAGTTGTCATCCTGTGCGATTGACAGGTGCTTGGTCGGATGAGGTATTCGTATATTAGATAAATATAGTATTGGTATTTGGACGAAAAGGCTCTGTCTACTTCATGCCAAATTGAGGTATTAGTCACCAGTTGGGTTTTGAAGGTTGGTGGATAGTTAAAGCAAGTTACTGTACGATGATGGATGCTGGTCGGCTCTGTTCATGGACTTCCACGGGTAGCCGTGACCAATCAGGACAGCGGGTTTGTCATCCCGTCTACCCTGTAAACCCAGTCAATAAGTGGCGGGGCTATAAAGGTACACGGGGGCGATTGCGTACTTAAATGTTCCTCAGCCTCGTCGCCCAGGCTGTCCCGTCTTACTGATTTTGCCCCGACGACCGGATTGCGGGCCTTTGTGGCTTGTTGTGGCAGTGGGAACACACGCAACGTGCGTGTTGATGGAGATATAATTTTACCAGACATCGACAATAGAAATCTGCCCATTTTCCCACTCGGTCCTTGCTCTTCCATTGCGTGTCTAACTAGCGCCGAGCTCGTGGCTACATATAATTGGCATGAGTTATGGAGCCGTCGCCCCTCACCCAGCAGAGCAGACCTGAGGTGTTTCAACAGAAGATCGTCGAGCTGTACGACGCACTCTTCAAGGTAACATTCCGTGCCGGCTTACGCACTGTCGACGCCAATGATTGTATGTTAACTCTTCATCGCAGGATGAGCAAAGCGGCGACAAATCTGAGGGATTCTGGACTGAGTTCTTCCTCCTAAAACCGGACCTTGCGACGCTGAGGCGCATACTGGCTGGATTAAGTCCCTCCGACCTGCTCAACCTTCAAGTTAGTCGCCAGCAAGCATGCTTATGAACAGGACTTACATACTATAGAATCAAACACGAAGCTTATTCCCTCGGGCAATTAAATGCATCAAAGCCGGAAGTGCTCCGGCAGATACCCATGCTCTCGATGTAAGACCATGCCCCGCTCCGACAAGGCTACGGCTAACATACCCAGACCCTTACAGTACTTTTAGCTTCAGTCTTGTCGAAGAAATATAACAACCCGAGTTCAGACATTATAAATGTGCTTGCGGGTTTGGACCAGGTAGACTCTGTCTTCACAGAGTTCGTTGCGGTGCTGGATAATACAATTCGGACAGGGCGCTCTTGTATGCACCCCTTATATACTCTCCCTGATCCAGCAGCACTGACACATTGCCAGTGGATATACGGCAAAAGGCCATCGAAGTAACATTATCCCTGACATCCGGCGCATATCAAACGAGCCTCCTCTCGTATTTCACACATAGGGATTTATTCCCGTCACTGATGAAGGTATGGTTTACCCACGCCTCCCTCGTTCAATAAACTAACCTGGCCAGTTTATACAAGATACTGATTCTATAACCCGAACCTTTGAACCATTTACTCTCCTTGGCTTACTAGCGAATTACAATAAGTTTGAGTTCCAAAATCCATACAGGTTACGGCTTGAGGATTTCGTGAACGAGGCCGCAATACAAAAGATTATCACATCTACCAGCGCCACATGCTCACGGTTACGGACAAAATATCTGGCCGTCCAAAATGACCTCCCAGAAGGGTGGTCACTCGCATCAGCGTTCGGCATGCTCGGTCTCGGCGGCTTAATCGGTGCGAAGCCAGCAGCGCTAGTGATCGACCCAGAAGTCGCCAAGAAGATGTTCGCAGAACTGTCAGTAGCTCCCTCTATTATCCATGGCATCTCCTAACTCCACCACAGTCCCGGCGCCGAAGCATCCGTGCTCCTCGCCACCTACGACTTCGTCCACTCCAACAAGCTCTTCTGCTTCAACCTCGTCACCCTTGAGCTCGAAAACAAGCAATCCGAACCCCCCATAGCAAGCTTCATATCACTAACCTCCTACCTCCTCGAACACGCCTACATCTCGACCCGCACCTCCCTCTACGCCCGCCTCAACCTCCTCACCATCCGCCTCCTCGTCGAAGACCCCAGCCTCTGCAAACGCATTTGCAGTCCCGAGAGCAAAACGCCCATCCGACTCTGCCGCCAGCGCTCCCCGTACCTCCCCCTCATCCGCGGCGATCGCGTGCTTGCTACCGCCCTCTTAGATGCTATGATTGATGGGATCAACCATAACCTCCGGCGCCGCCTTGATGTCGATCTATACGCCCTTTTCCTTGATATCCTGCAGCGCCTGGTTGCGCACCTGGCGCGCACACGCACTCGCCTGCCTTATCACTGGTCTGAGCTCTTCCGCTCCCTGCTGACGCTCATTCGCTTCATGGCTACGTACGCCGCGGATCTAGCGGGGCTACCACGCATCGACGCGCTGCAGGATGCGTTGGTGAATCTCATCGCGCTGGCGCTGTCGGCGGGTGAAGCCTTCCTGCCTACACCAGCGGCGTACGATGATCTCTTCTACAAGCTCGTAGAAACAGGTGACGTGCTCGTCAAATTCAGCGAAGCGTATGGACTTGCAAAACGACCTGGCTGCTCGATCGGGACGCTCGTGAGCGTTAGCGCGCATTACAAGGAGCTGTTGAAAGATGGGGTTCGTGGGAGCGGGGTGAGGAATCTGACGAGTGCGCAGGTGGCGCAGGTGATTAAGCAGGGCTATGAGACGTTGAGTATTCAGACGAGGGAGGGGCTGGATGGGTGGGAGAAGTATAGGGAGGCGGATGAGAGAGTGTTTTTGAAGAAGGTGGCGAGGGCGGCGGTGGCGGATGCGAAGATGTTGGTTGGTGCGCCGTGAGAGTAGATGGGTTTTTGTGTATAAAAGGCGTTTGAATGGGCTGGGATGGGAAGCATGGGCCACGAGTTTTATACCAAAAACAGAATCTGAATCTGAATCTGAATCTGAATCTGAATATGAACAGAGACACTCTGGAGGGGTCTGCATATCCTGTGTCCCCGATATGGAACTGACAAGTGTCATCTCTTATGAGTTTTCATCTTAAGTCTTTACTCAATACTACCAGCAGGCAAACATTCAGCCGCATAAACTCCCTAATCTCCAAAAATAGAACCATTCCCATCGAACCTCCAGCAACCGGGCACTCTTATCGGAGCTCCAAATGACGGATAACGATAAGCGCCGTCAGCAACCGCCAACCAATCGCTCCCCTCTTGGCGGGAACCCTGAAACGGCGCGGCGGGAAGAGTAGACGCCGCGTTGGCAGTGGGTTAGTTGGTGGTTGGCGGTCGTTGCTGCGTTGGCATGCACTGCCACGGTAGGATGGGTGTTGGTTGGGAGGTGCTCATATTTGTCCGTATAACGTCATTTCAAGAGTATGCGGGCCGACGATTGGGTCGCAAGCGCTGTCAGGTTCCAGGGACATGGAAACAGAAACGGAGAGAGCACCACCACAACGCAAGAATGCTGTGGCGACAAGGATGGCTTCTACATTCTAGCTTTGACTCTGAGGAATGTGGGCACAGCCATTAGATCGCCTTTGTGGCAGCCGTCACTTGATCCGGTGATGGTGATGATACTACTATTGTCTCGGTGAAAGCCGGGGAGATTGCGACCTTGGTGGCCACTCGCTCGTCACCCTCTTGGATGGCGGCGTCGTCATCTTTGTTGTATAGGTAGGCATGTTCATTCCATTTTTTTCTTGCTGTTGTTCATTGTCGTCGTGTCCGCGGAGTTGAGGAGGGAGAGGAGGAGAGTGAAGAACCCATGGCGTGTCAGACGGAGCAACCCTTGAACGGATATTATACGCGCCAATCTCGCGGCCTATAAGCTTATTAACATAACACAAACCCCTGATTCTGTTGGAACTTAGCTTGGGCCTCAATCCACCGTCATCTTGCGTTGTCGCGCTTGGTGAATCAGTTGCGGCCTTTCCCAAGGAAACGACTGGCCAGCAGTGCTCAGCGCCTATATTTATCCCAGCGGCTTGACGGCTCGACGGCTCGACGACTCAACGACTCGACAACACACAAAGACAAGACGTTGGAGATTCGGCCTGGTGACCTAGTAGGGGCTTGAAACACTAAACATCTAACAAAAGAAATCGCTTTGTGTAGTAACTGGCGCCGAGTCGCTGTCGCGTTTATTGGGGTACGCACGTGGTGGTGCGTGGGTGACTGTGAGCTGCAATAAAGAGGCGAGTGACTGCAGTTCGCCTGCGGTTTCTCAGTTATTCACCACGCATGCAGGCCATTCGATTGTTTTTTTCTTTCTCATTGTTATTGTCCTTGTCAATTGTCATTTTTCTTTACAATACAAATCACGGCCATTCAGATTTCCTATTGAGTCACCATCATGCACGGTTAATACCTCTCCGACTACAATAATTATTTTCTTGCTTCTCATATACTCAAGATCAGAGATCACAACACACAACCATTCATGCGTTAGTTGCTACTGATAAAATCTTCATTTTCATTCTGTACAAAAACACACTTCATATACTAAAGATGTCTACCTTGGCTGGCCTCAGGAGCATCATGGCACACGTACACATGCCTCCCTCGAAAGCAGACTCCTTTCCCCCGCTCCCGGGGAACCTCGACGCCCGCCATCACGATTTACAGGGCGAATACGCCCGCGACAGCAACGGCCATATCGCACCCGACGCACAATACACTCCATACCTTGGGCTGAGAGCAAAGTTATCACAGGTGTGGATCAACAAATGGACGATCCTGCTGCTGCTCGTCCTCGCAAGAGTCCTCCTGGCCATCCAGGGCCTTGATAACAACATCGCATCCGCCAAAGCCAAAGCTCTCTCGGCATGCACGAGCGTGGAGAATGTGGGCAGCGCTATGGCTTCGATGCCTCACTACATGTCAGGGGGCGTCAACGCCATGGCTGCCAGCGGCGTAACGAAAGCCGTAAATGGTCTTATGAGCATGTTGATGCTTGCGGTTACGGGGGTCGAAGAGATCGTTCTATTCATCATCAACATGATGACCTCGACTTATATTTGCTTGATTACGTTGGTTGTTGGAGGAGCATTGCACGCCGCCTTGGAAGTCATCGATAAGGCAGGCCAGTTCCTCAACAAGACCTTGGGTACCGTTACAGGCGAGATTACGGACGGCATTAATGGTTTCCAAAGCCATATGAACACCTTCCTCAAGGACATCGCTGGAGTCACCGGACTTTTCGGGGGCAAATCAAGCCCGCCAACCATCGATCTCACGTCAGAGATGAACAAGCTGAAGAGCATCAACTTCAATGCCGCCAACCTCGACACCAACGTCAAGGCACTCGATGCCAAGATCCCAGACTTCAGCGAGGTCCACAACTTCACCAACAACCTGATCCGCACGCCCTTTGAGGAGATCAAGAAGCTGATCAACGCGTCGACAATCGGGTACAGGTTTGACAAGTCCGTCTTCCCCGTCGCCCAGAAGGAGGCTCTTACCTTCTGCTCCGACAACAACGGCATCAACGATTTCTTCAATGGTCTTTCTAAAACTGCCGATGTCGCCCGCAAGGCTTTCATCGGTATCGTCGTTGCCCTGGCGATCATCGCCTGTGTGCCCATGGCCTACCGCGAGATTCGGAAGTGGCGCATCACCAAGCAGCGCGCCCTGCTCATCCAGAAGCAGGCGTTCGACCCAATGGACTTGATGTACCTCGTCGCGCGCCCCTACACCTCAACCGCCGGCATCAAAGTAGCCTCTAAAATGAAGACCACTAAAAAACAGGTTCTCATGCGTTGGTTCGTCGCGTACATCACCACCATCCCCGCCCTCTTCGTCCTCCTCCTCGCATTCGCGGGCTTCTTCTCCTGCCTCTGCCAATACATCCTCGTGCGCACAATCGAGAAGGAAGTCCCCGCCCTAACCAACCAAGTCGGCGACTTCAGCCAAAACGTCGTCCTCGCCCTCAACAACGCGTCCGAGCAATGGGCCACCGGCGCCAACAGCGTCATCACCTCCACAAACACCAAGATCAACACCGACGTCTTTGGCTGGGTAACCACCTCCACCACCGCAGTAAACCACACCCTCAACGTCTTCGTGGACATGGTCGACAGCCTCCTCAACGAGACCTTTGGTGGCACCATCCTCTACACCCCCATCCAAGAGAGCCTCAACTGCCTCCTCCTCCTCAAAATCCAGGGTATCGAGAAGGGCCTAACCTGGGTCCACGATAACGCCCACGTCGCCTTCCCGCTTTTTGAAAAGGACGTCTTCTCCCTCGGCGCGGCGGCTTCGTTGTCGGGTGAGCCGGATGCGGAGTCCTTCCTCGCGTCGCCAGGGTCGAGCGCCTCGGATGATATCTCGGGGGCTGTTCAGCACGTGGTGGATTTCATGTACAAGACCATCCGCGAGGAAGCCATCATCGCCACCGTCCTCTTCGCCGTCTACCTTCTCATCGTGCTCACCGGCGCCAGCCGCCTCATGGTCGGGCTCATGACCCGCGACAAGACGCGCGCCGAAGGCGGAGGCGCCCCGGCGTTTTCCCCGCCGTATGAGGAGCGTGAGATGAGGCCGGCGGAGTTTGGCGCGTTTAGAGGGGAGGTGGAGACGCCATTTCCGAGGGATAATCAAGATGGGCCGTGGATGGTGGGTGCGGTTGGGGGGGAGCAGCTGGAGAAGGTCGGGCATGTGGGACATGGAGCGCAGAGGAGTGTGGGGGAGGCGAGTGTGGGGGGGCATGGGAGGGCGAGTAGTTATGGGTTTGTGGGGGAGAAGGGGGGGTGAATAAAGGGTGATTTAGATTTTTGCATGGAGGGGGGTTGGATGGCGTTTTGGTGGGGGGTAATCTTCAAAGGGGGGGTGGTGTGGAGTTTGGGAGTGTATATGTATGTAGAATTTGGTGCCTATAATTTTTTGCACCTGGTGGTATAGAAACATGTGTCGTGTGCTTGGGGCGGAGGGATGCAGAGGGAAGGAGGGTTAGGAATAAAAATGAGACGTAAATAACAAGAATTAAAACGGACTGCTGGAGGTGGCGACTGCGATGGTGCTGTGGTTCTCCATCCATACATTTTCACCCCGGTTTCCTGTTCACAAAATGCCTTTCTCTTGTGAGTCTGGGACACACAGCACAACCAATTCGCGAGCACAGTTGAACCCGAAACTGTAATTGTATTATCTCGTATCCCCATATTTGTGTATCCCCCCTCACGCCTCAACCTTCTTCGTAAACGTCACCTTCTCCACCGCCACACTCTCCGCTCCCTTATCATCGGTCTTAAGCTGATACACGTACAGCGTGAGCGAAATCCCTTGGACCTATATCACAGTCAGCCCCCCCCCCTCTTACAGCAAGGAAGCACACTCACATCCATCAAACAAAAACTCGCCTCCCCCCCCCCAACCCCCGTCCCACTCCCCGGATTCACAAAAAACCTCTCCCCATACTCATACGCATCGAACCTCCCCGTCCCCCCCAACAAAGCACATCAACATCCAACCTCCTCGCCTCCGCCAACAGTGCATCCGCTTCCCCCGGCACCACCACACTAAACCCCTCCAAAAACCCAATTTTCAGACTCCCATGCGTTGCTACGCCGGATAATGGCAAGGAGGGGGCGTCGGCGTCGAAGCGGCCACGGACTAGCTTGAGGTCGGGGGAGATGGAGCGAAGGTAGGTGTAGGTTGCGCTGTCGGTGAGGTTGCCGAGACAGAGGGTTTGTCCGATTTTGCCGGGGGTGAGGAGTTTTTTGAACTAGAGGGGGAGGGTTAGCTGGGATGGATTGGTGGGGAGGGGAGCGGGAGGGGAGGGGGAAGTGCCTTTGCGGGAATGTCGATTGCGCGGTCGGGGATGTGGAGGTCGCCGATTACGAGGACGAGGCGGGATGTCATTTTGGGTGTGGGCGGCGCTGTGGCCAGTTGGTGGTGGGCGTGGTGTTGGTAGTGTAATGAGGGGATTGGAGGGTGTGTGAGGGGCGTGGGTGAGCTGGGTTGAGGCTATGGTGGTGGTGGTGGTGGTGGTGGTGATGGAGGGGAGCTTGGTGAGATGGATGCGAGCGAGGCTGCTAAATACAACCCGGCTCGTTTCCCGTGAGGGTGACAAGGCTGCGTGCGCCACAGCACAGCGGAGATAGGACAGGGACAGGCGTGGCTTACGTAGATGTCACGTGGCACTAGAGTAGTCTCACCATCCATTCTTCCTATAATTAACTGCAACCCTTTTTATACAATATTGATACTTTAGAATCACCATTGACTATTCTAGACTACGTAACGAGCACAGTCTTCCGAAAAAATTGGCGCGGCGCCGATCGAGCGCCCGACCGACCCATCGATAACATGCCCATGTGTTCCATCCGACAACAGTACCACTCATTCCGTAAAATCAACCATCAACATCCCATCACAACCGTTAAAAAACATCCCATCATTTCGGCGGCACATCCCCGCATGCGGAGGGTTGGCTCCCCCTTGCAGTTGAGATCGTAGTTAACTTCGCCGCGGGGGCAACCATGCATCAACAGTGTGTGTGTATCGCGAATTTTATATGCCCGGCGTCTCCGTAACATATTCACAGGCGGGAACAAGTCACTTCTGGGCGCGGCCGCTCTTGACGGTCTGGATGATCTGGTCGACGACGCTGGGGTCGGAGAGCTGGTTTCACATTAGCCATTTGCCCGTCTACAAGGAATCAGTCGGAGGATGGAACTTACAGTAGTGATATCTCCCAACGAGTCCTCCTCGCCCGCCATAATCTTCCTCAAGATCCTACGCATGATCTTTCCACTACGGGTCTTGGGCAGGTCGGAGACGATGATGATGGTCTTGGGCGCCGCGAATGGGCCAATGCTCTTGCGCACCTGTAGGATGAGGTCCTTCCTCAGCTGGTCGTTGATCTCGTTGCCGTCCTTGATGGAGACGAAGGCGTTGACAGCCTGGCCGGTGAGGTCGTCAGCAACGCCGACGACGGCGGCTTCGGCGACGGCGGCGTGCTCGATCAGCGCGGCTTCGATCTCGGCGGTGGAGAGACGGTGGCCGGAGACGTTAACGACGTCGTCGACACGTCCGCGGATCCAGTAGTAGCCGTCGTGGTCACGTCCGGCTCCGTCGCCTGTGAACTAGATGGGGGTTAGGTTTAGCTATGGAATGGGAGCATCAAACTTACGTAGTATCCTGGGTACACGGTCAGGTAGGTCTCCATGTAACGCTTGTGCGCACCCCAGACAGTGCGGGCCATGCTGGGCCAGGCGTGCTTGAAGGCAAGAACGCCCTCGACATCGTTGCCAGCGACCTCCTTGCCAGAGACAGGGTCAATGATGGCAGGCTCGATGCCGAAGAATGGAAGGGAGGCACTGCCGGGCTTGGTGGGGGTAACGCCAGCAAGCGGGGTGATGACGTGGGAGCCGGTCTCGGTTTGCCAGTAGGTATCAACAACCTGGCACTCCTTCTTTCCGACGGTGTCGTGGTACCACTTCCACACATCAGGAGCGATTGGCTCACCGACCGTTCCGAGAACACGGAGGGTCTTCATCTGAGCGGTGATGTGCTGGTCGCCGGCGCGCTTGAGCAGTCTCAGGGCGGTGGGTGCGACGTAGAATTGAGTGATGCCGTGCTTTTCAATGGTATCCCAGTATCTGGAGAAGTTGGGGTACGCGGGGGTTCCCTCGAAGACGACCGTGGCAATACCAAGGAGCAGTGGTGCGTAGACAACGTAGGTGTGGCCGGTAACCCATCCGACATCACCAGCACAGAAGAACTTGTCGGTATCATGGATATCGAAGACGTACTTTCCAGTCATAGCCGCACCGAGAAGGTAGCCACCGGTGCTGTGCATGAGGCCCTTTGGCTTACCAGTGGAACCAGAGGTGTAGAGGAGGAACAGAGGATCCTCGGAGTTCATTGGCTCTGGGGCAATGTAGGCGGGCCACTTCTCGACCTCCTCATGCCACCACCAATCTCTACCGGTGGTCCATGGGACATCGGCTCCGGTGCGCTGGTAAACCAGGCAGCTGGTGACATTTGGGCACTGCTTGAGTGCGTCGTCCACAATCTTCTTGGTGGCAATAACCTTTCCTCCACGCTTGCCCTCGTCGCTGGTGATGACAACCTTGGACTTGGCGTCGTTGACACGGTCGCGCAGGGAATCGGCCGAGAAACCAGCGAAAACGACGGAGTGCACGGCACCGATACGCGCGCAGGCAAGGAATGCGACGAGTGCCTCCGGAATCATGGGAAGGTAGATCGCAACAGTGTCGCCCTTCTGGACGCCCATCTGCTTGAGGACGTGAGCGGTCTTGCAGACCTGGCGGAGAAGCTCGCCATAGGTCAGGGTACGGCCCTCGTTGGGCTCGTCAGCCTCGTAGATGATGGCTGCCTTGTCTGGGTTCTTGATGGCGTGGCGGTCGACACAGTTGTATGAGGCGTTGATCTCGCCCTCCAGGAACCACGCGTTGTCGCCGTCGTTCAGGTTGCCGGTGTGGACGGTCTGGAAGTCTTTCGACCAGGTCAAGTGCTCACGCGCGTGCTTGCCCCAAAACTTCTCTGGCTCCGTAATGGACTCTTTGTACATGGACTCGTATTCCGAAATGCCTAACGCGTAATTAGTATTGGCGCACACATAGCTGAGGAAGTCTAAGACGCGCTTACCATCGATATGGGGCTTGCTGGGGTGCTCTGTTTTGAAAGTTAGCTGTGCTACATTCTATAGCTTGTACTACAGGTGTCATTGTGTTCCTTACTCTCAAACAACTTCGTGGGTGGTGCTGCGAACGAGGTTAGCCACGGTAGTTCTGGGGAGCTTCATCTACCCCTCCATGGAGGGTACTTACGGTATGTTACAACCTCGTGCGCCTCGACGACCACGGGGCCCGCGGTGGGGACAACATCGCCTTCAGACATGGCGAAGGTGAGATCGATGGGTATAGGTTCAAGTGTTCACCGAAGTGAGAAAATCAAGGTTGAAGTGTTGAGCAGCTTGGCTGTGGAAGAAGGTAGCGGTTAGTGAATGGTTGACCGAAAATGCGGGGGTACTTTAAACGTTGGGTGCTTCTGTCTGGGGGTCTGGGCACCGATAAGGGTCCGATCGGGCTTGGGGGCTTGGGGGGGGGCGACGTCGGTCGTGCGGGTGATAAATGCAAAAGCCGAAGGGTCTTACGGAAATTGTTTCTGTGTTCCCAGATCTGACCTGACTTGATGGGGTGAATTCAGAGGTTGCGGCTGCGTACGCGTGGTGATTGTGGAATGTGGTGTTTTGGTTATTGTTTGTTTTCGTGGGTCTGCGACAAGGTGAGCTCTAGGTTCGCCCGTTTGTGCGGAAGAAGATGCGAGATACAGGGAGAGCTCGAGGTAAACAGAGACAGGATGCCGATGAGAACAGAGAGTTGAGATGTATCTGGCAGAGGTCATGTTAGAGAAGTAGAAAGGTATGCTTACGAGGAGGTAGAAGTATAGAGATGTGAGGTTGGTGAGGGTGAAGTGAGGGTGAAGTGAGGTGAAGTGAGGGTGAAGTGAGGGTGAAGTGAGGGTGAAGTGAGGGTGAAAGTGAGGTTGAAAGTGAGGTTGTAAGGAAAGAAAGGTGGAGGGTGGGGGAAGGAAATGGAGGAGGAGGGGAGGACGGGTGGCAATATGTAAGTTATAAGTTAGTACTCGAGGTAACTTAGTTGTAGTACTCTATAACTTTGGGAGGGGATGTGAGACCTTGTTGTCCTCATGCACCAACATCAACAACATCGCATGTATTTCCATTATATTCCAATACATAAAACTATGTTCATTCGGTGGATACTTGTGCCTGTAACTGCAGCTGTAGTCATCCAGCTCAGACTTCATCCAGCTCAGACTTCATCCAGCTCAGACTTCATCCAGCTCACACCTCATCCAGCTCAGACCTCATCCAGCTCAGACTTCATCCAGCTCAGACTTCATCCAGCTCAGACTTCATCCAGCTCAGACTTCATCCAGCTCAGACTTCATCCAGCTCAGACTTCATCCAGCTCACACCTCATCCAGCTCAGACCTCATCCAGCTCAGACTTCATCCAGCTCACACCTCATCCAGCTCAGTCAACTACAACCAACATGAACGAGTACCTCAAGCTACGCCAAGCAACCTGCACAAACCTCAAGGATATGTACCAGATGCGCCATCACCATCGCATCCCTGGCTTGGCTTGCTGTGGTTCTCCTCTACCAGTGCTTCCGGGTCCTTTCCCCATACGGCCTGGCCCATCCGCAGGGCCACCGAGAAAATGGAAGCTGTCGGAAATGGAAGCTGTCGGAAATGGAAGCTGTCGGAAATGGCACTAAAGAAAGGGATCTCACACTAGAAGACCTTCCTTACAGCCCCCCAGAAAGCTGCATCCTGCGGATTGAACGATGGGCGATTTATGTGCGGCGTCGAGCTTCTTACCATCCTCACCACCACACCCACTCCGATATTGCGCCTACAGTGCGTGCTATACGGAGCAAATACAAACCTCGAGAGAGAGTGTTGTCAAGGGCTGTCGCAATGAGCACTCCACCGCGTACCTCGTTTCATCAGGATCACACACACCACACCCTTCCAACCCTTCCAGCCTCTTCTCGCCCATCCTACACATACACAGCCGTCTTCCCTGATTTACACAGCTCACCCGCCGCTTCACAATTCTACCGAACCACGATCCTCAAATCCTCCGTTCTCCGGTAGAACGGTAGAACGGAAGAACAAGCACCCTCTGCGCGCCCCATTGCCGAACAAGCTCCACCCGACTCCCCCCTCCCCCCCCGCACCACACCCCACCAACCGAGCGAGTCACGGCATACCATGTAATTCTTCCCGTCGTGCGATGAAAAAGCCCTGGGATCACCAGAGAAAACGCCTCTGTTGCGTCGGCTATGCCCCTCCTAGCGCTTGGCAAACCTCGGAGCTACTCACGCCTGACCTGCATGAAATGCTGTTGGTTGTCTTGTTCTGCCGGTTGGGGTAGACGCTACGCGCGGGGAGGCTGAGGAGGGGGAAACAAGCATGGATGCTGATGCAGTGCGTGCAATTACCTCCCGTGCGACCTCTCCCATCCTCAAACCCGTATCTTCTCCGTCGACATTCCGATCCAACAGCCTTCGTTCGTTGCTCTCCTCTCACCGAAACTGTGGCGCAGGAGAATGACTGCTTGTGGAACGCAATGTCGTGGTTAGTGGGGGGTGGGGTAACGATACGCAAATGCCCCGTCAGCCGTGCCGACAACCACCAACAAAGTAAGTGTGTGCCGTCGCTAACGACCGTGGTGCAAATGAAGATGTTATAGCAATTGAACAAACATCCAACACGCTCACACGGGGGATCTTTATAACCTTTTATTACGAAGAGCCAATATTTCCTTGCAGGCACCGCACGTTACATACAGGGAATCTAACACCACCAACGAACCCTCTCTCCACATTAAATCCCATGCCTTCCAGAATGGGTGTGGGAGAGGTAACACAACGCAGACCCACTGCGAGCCACCACACGTTGCACCTCATAATCAAGCTCTAGCAGCTTCACGCCTTACCTCCCCATCACCTCCCCTTGCCTCCTGCTGCCCTCATCTACCACCACCACCAAGCCTCCAACTAAATTACAAATTCCACTACAGTGTTGTACGCACTCCCGATGTCGCCGCGACTTCACGCACCAGCACTGCTGCTGCCATTTGACAACCGCAGCTGAGACCGTCGCACGGGAAGTTGGATGCATGAACCAACTGTCGGACAGCAGATGGTTCGGCACCTAGGGTTCCTGGAGCTGATGCGGCGGCCTCGGCGAGGCCGAGTATGCGATTGTCCGGCTAGGTCTGGGTAGTGGCGGCAAGTGGTGTTGTAAGTTGTTGGCCATGCATCGGCACTCGCGCGAGTCGGTGGAATTGCTATTATCAAATTCTCATCCCATAACCCATTCATCTCCATCTCAATCTTGATCCCCCCAAGCCCCCTCCCATCACCTCAACCCAGCTCCAGCTCTAACCCCCCACCCCACTCCCTTCCCCATACCCCTGCCTCCTTCGATCCCTCACCTCCCTCTCCTCCACCTCGGGACTCGACTCATAACTCGAATGCCGATGCGATTGATCCTCTGCCGTCGCGGCAACCTGACTCATACTTCCACCACCACTGTGGCTGGTGCCTCTGACAGCGGACTTGGAGGGAGACGTGCTGGTCGTGGTGTGACTACTACCTATAGTCGTCCCTCCGCATCCGTGCTCAAGCATCGCTTCTCGGTAGCGTCTGTTCTGGTTACGGTGCTCGGTGCGTTCGCGAGAGGTTTTCTGGGCAGCGGAGAGGGCGGGGCCGCGGGGGGGATGGTGTCTGGGTGTGTTAGTTGGTGTTAGTTGGAGTTGGTGTTGGTTGGGGGGGGTTGGGGGGGAAGGGAAAGGTAAGGGGGGAGAGGGGTGTGAAAGCGTACCGCCGAAATTGGGCTTCTGCTCCGTGTTGGGAGAGGTGTAGATGGTGGCTTCTTCGTACCTGGCCGCGGTTAGGGGGCGTGTTGGTGATGGAGATTGGGAGGGAGAGGACGTGCTGGTTTGTGGATTCGCCGCCGGGGGAGGTGTCCATTAGTTTGGTGTTTGTGGGTTGGGGCATTTTTGCGCTTTCAGGGGCTTATGGAGGGTGTTTAAGATGGCTAATTGTAGAGTTTAAGTCGCTGTGGAGTAGAAGGTTTTGGATGCTGGAGATTGATATTTGATCTTATCATTTTTGGTTCCTTAAGTGACGTAGGCACTACGTCTTGATGATATGTGACAGCGAATCAACGAACTCTTCCCTACGTTTCCCATCAGCAAACCCAAAAACAGCGCCTTGAAATGATAAAAGATATTCCCATCCTTCGAATCCAGATTACAACCTCCATAAATCACCTCAACTCTCACATTGAAAACATCATATATCACATGATATTATCACGTGATATTCTCTTTGTGGTTCAACCTGAAACAACCACCATCCTTTCACTTCTCCTTCCGCCCAACAAAAGAAAGCCACCGAATCAAATTTAGAACAATGACAAAAAAACATGTTTCTCTTTTCTTTCATCTGCTAGCCTTTAGCCCTTTCATCTTTAAACCTGTTTCATTATCACTCCCTCTCCACGCATCGATTCGTCATTCCCTCTACCGTACCGCCCGTCAATGCGTTGGCGTTAAGCACTCCGCAGCGAAATGATTCGCTCACAGCCCTCCGTTCTCAACAACCACCGCCCAGACACGCATATAGCGCATCATTACAACCGGTGCGGCCACAATCTGCAAACAACACTGCCGGTCCCCTTTGGATTGGCGGTGATGGGGGTGCATAGGTGGGTTTGGGGAGGGCGGGTTGATGGGTTTGTGGGAGAGGTCAGGTTGGGGCGGTGGAGAGGTAGGTGATGCGTGGTGCTTCGTGATTCTTTCATTCGGTATTTCTGGGTCATCAAGGCGGCCGGTGAGCCACTCGTTTGGCCGTCTGGAGGCGTTTTCGAGGTGCTTGGCGCTGAAACATTGATGGACAAAGCAGGTCCATCGGATGACTCGAGGGGTCGCTCCAACGAGGGGGCCTCGTCCATCCCACGAGGAATCGAAGCGTCGAGATGGGCTTTGTCGGTGAGCGAGCGGGGGTTATAAAGGCGCTTGGGATTCCCATTCCCATTGTGGTGCCTCTTTTTCATCCTCGACAGCAGGCACTGTAGACGATTCTTTGAATAGGCTGGCACTTTTCACGAATCCTCGAACTTTCTGCGATATATATTCTTTCTCTGTACAATACAAGCAAACGTACTTGCTTGTTCCATTCACTTCCTGTTCGATTCTTTGCTTTATATTTTTGGGACGCCCACTTCCATATATCCCCTCCTTTCGCCCCCAACACAAATACAATACAGCTGCTCTGGAAGCACGCATCACGATATTTACATATCATACCAAACTCGATATATCAACAAAACTTTCAACATGAAGTCCTTTTTCACCACCTTCTTCCTGGCCACTATGGCTACAACAACCTTCGCTCACATGGAGATGTCGGACCCGCCGCCTCTCCGTAGCAAGTTCAACAAACTCGCCACCAGCCCCGACTACAGCATGACCTCCCCCCTCGACGCCTCCGGCGCCGACTTCGCCTGCAAAGGCTTCCTCTCTGACCTCGGCACCGCCGCCGGCGGCTCCGTCGCTTCCTGGGCTGCTGGCTCCGAGCAAAATTTTACCATCGTCGGTGGCGCCTCGCACAACGGCGGATCCTGCCAAGCCAGTCTCTCCTTCGACAGCGGCAAGACCTTCAAAGCCATCCACTCCTACATCGGCAACTGCCCGCTAGTCCCAAAATACATGTTCACCGTCCCAGCCGACGCAAAGGCGGGCCCAGCCGTCTTCGCTTGGACCTGGTTCAATAAGGTCGGGAACCGCGAGATGTATATGAACTGCGCCAGTGTCACCATCACAGCCGGCTCGGGCACCCCAGCTGTCGCCTTCTCGGCGCGTCCCGATATGTTCGTTGCGAACACCGGCACCGGCTGCACGACCCTCGAGTCTTCTGATCTCCTGTTCCCCAACCCAGGACCAGACGTCACCAACGACAGCGCCGGCACAGCCGCCCCGGTAGGATCCTGCGCCAGCGGCTCTGGCAGCGGTAGTGGTAGCGGAAGCGGAAGCGGCAAAACAGCCCCCGTCTCCGTAACCCCCCCCGCTTCCGTCGTGGCCCCAACAGCCCCAACAGGCTTCACAACCTCCATCATCCCCTCCTCCACCAACACGGGACAATCCGGATCCACCAACCCCAAAACCCCCACCGGCCCACTCACACCCTCCACGAACGGCGAATGTGGCGGACCCCAAACTTGCGCTGGCTCGGCATTCGGCCAATGCTGCTCCAAATACGGGTACTGCGGCGTGACAGCCGGGCACTGCGGCGAGGGCTGCGATCCCACCCTCGGCACGTGCGGTAGCGCTGGAGCTGCGGGGACAGGGCCTAATGGGACGGCGCCCGTGGTGAGCTCGGGGGCGGCGAATGCGACGGCGAATAGTTTTTTAGCTGTTTCAAACGCCGCTGGGGCTGGTACTAAGCCGGAGGCGGGGGAGATGGTGACGAAGACGGAGACGGGGGTGGTGTATAGCACGGTTTATGTGACGGATAAGGCGGTAGCGACGGGGGCGCAGCAAGCCGCGGTCAATGATGTGGGGGGAAATTCGACGTTTCAGACTGTTACGAGGGGTATGTAGGCGTCGATTCGGGGGAGGGGTCGACCTGGACTAACTCGTGCTTAGCTGAGACGGTGCCGAGGAGCGTTATTACGGTTATCCCTGTGGTGCCGGAGCCGGCGTCTCTACATACCGGATAGGAGGAGTCAGCGGAGTTAAATATACGGAAACATAGGCGCAGAGGTTGTTAGTATTCTGATTCTTACAGTATCTATTTTTTGGTGGGAAGGGGGAAGGGGGAAGGGGGAAGGACGGTTTTGTTTGATAGCTTCTTTTTTGGTTGGAGTTTTTTTGTAGATTTTTTTTGGGGCAGTCATTGCCTAGTTGGACATACAGATTGATTATAGTATGAATATATTTTGTCCTGAATTCTCGATTCTCAAATTGCTTTGACTGCTGTGATCTGTACTGTACGGTTTTGAGGAGGTAAATGTGAGAATCGAGGCACGGACCACCTGCAGATGGACTCGGCGATCCAAGGTCGTGGGCCAAGTCGATCGGGGTGTACATTTCGTTTTTCTCAATTAAGCATAGAAAGCTAGCAATAGAGTATACCATACAGACAAAATAAATTTCATTCCCAATTATGACCATCGCAGTATTGCGCCTCGTCCAAGGCGGGACATTCTATCCGCTGCGGGTGTTGCTATAACAACCCTGCTTATCTATCTCCGTCCCTCATTTCACATCTATAACCACTCTGCAACCTTGCCAAAGTATTCTTACTGCATAGCGCAACACGATACTCCGTCTTTATTCCGATATCTCATACCCAGCGCGCGCCTCAGACTTGAAAAGACTTGAAGTACTGAACGATCGCGCCCAAGCAAAGTGGTATACGAAGGGCCCTGAATCTCGCGAAGGCTGTGCCTCAGCCTCGGCACTCTGCACTTCAAATGCAGCTACTCACGACCACACCCCATACCAGAGCTCCGATGCACCTCTCAAACTTCCTCCTCGCTCTCTCTCCCTCGCTTCTCCTCCTCTCATCCTACGCTACCTCGGCACACGCACACAGCAATGGCGCCGCCCTACCACCCCCCGCACACCTCCCCGAACCGCAGGTCATACAAAGACGGCAGGAGATAGCAGCGCGGATAGGGGCGGGGACGAAGCCGGTCAGGGTGAAGAAGATGACGGAGAATGAGGGGGAGATGTTTTTTAATGAGTATTGGGGGTTTGAGGCGCAGGAAGAAGACGAGGGGGGACAACAGGGCGGGGATGTTTTACGGCGGGAGTACGAATCTGAAGACGACGGAGCATGGGGGAACGCATCAGCGCTCTTCTCATTTCGGCCTGCATTTGCTATACACGAGGCCGAGTCCCCCTCCCCCCGCAACCTACCAGAAGCGCAATCCCGCCACCAGCGCTCCTCCCGCGCCCTCGCCGCCCTCCTCAAGCGCGCCTTCCAATGCCCCACCGGCACCTCAGCCTGCACCTCCATCTCACAACCCAACTACTGCTGCGCCAGCTCCGAATCCTGCGTTTCCATAACCGACACCGGTCTCGGCCCCGTCGGCTGCTGTCCCTCCGGCCAATCCTGCGCGGGAGCAATAACGCACTGTGCGTCTGGGCAAACGGCGTGTCCCCAGAGTTTGGGGGGGGCGTGCTGTGTAGCGGGCTTTGTGTGCTTTGATGTTGGGTGTGTGAGTAGTGTGGTGGTGACGTCGATTACGACTGTTACCCAGACGCCGCTGGTACCGAGTACGACGAGCAAGCCTGTTACGACGACGCCGTCGAGTACGCAGGTGGTGACGACGACGGAGGGGCCAGCGCCGCCGGTGAGGGGGACGGGTGAGAGTTCTACTGTCGCGCCGCCGACGACTTCTCTTACGTCGGATGCGGAGGCGTGTCCAACGGGTTTCTATGCCTGCTCGGCATACTTCCCAGGCGCAGGGTGCTGTCGTGTAGGCCGCGATTGTGCGCAGACTTTTTGTCCGACGACGAGGTCGGTGACGGTGATTAGTGGGGGCGTGACGGTGGCGGTGCCGGAGGGGACGGTGGCGACGACTGCGTCGGGGGCGGGGAAGTGTGCGAGTGGGTGGCAGGGGTGTGACGGAGGGGGGTGTTGTCCGGGGGGTGGGAGTGCGGGGTTAGTTGTGTGAGTGTTGGGGTGGGGGCGACGAGTGTGTTGGCGAAGGGGGCGGAGAATGGGGTTGGGAAGGGGGGGGTGTAGGGGGTTGGGGGGTGGTGGTTGCGGTTTTGGGGATGTTGGTTGGGTGAGCTTGGTGAGTTGGGAGTGAGTTGAGGGAGGGCTGGAGCGGAGTCTCTAACTAGGGGGATGTTGGACATTAGAGGGTTATGATTCATGAATTATTATTGCATTGGGTGGAAGTGGTTGTTATCGTCGAGGCTTGGAGGATATGAGAACTGATCTGAGGCGGCTTAAGCGGATGGCAGGTAATCCAGCATGGCACAGCTCCTGTTCCGATATATGTACCTATAGCGAGCAATACTTCCAATTATAATGAATACGACCTAGCAGCTACTACTTGAACTTTTTTTTTTTTTTCAATTAATAGCCACATGCTTTCTTGTATGATATTCGCTGGAAACTTGGGTCGGGGGACGCCTCGGCCCCGCGCCAGTGTTAAGCGGACTGGAAAAACGTTCCGCCATTGATGACGGAACTTTTACTGGGAGCTTCCCGGAAATTCAAGAATTGTAGGACGGACCTCCGACAACACACGATTACAGTCCACCAGCGACATAATACACCTACCTACGCATACCTGTGCATGGCTCTCTCGCCATAGAAAGCACACTGCGAAATCCGCACATCCGCCAGCCCACATCCCTTCATGAGCTTCGCCGGGCACCTCAACCTGTAACCACACTCCGCGACTCACCCATCCACGAAGCCGGCCAACCCGAGGTCAACTCACCACAATCCTCCCAATGGCATCCGTCATCTCCACCATCCGCGGCCTCACCAGCGCCTCCTCCCCCGTAACCACAGCACCACTCCGCACCTTCTTCTCCGCGCAACCCCTCGGCCTCCGAACCGCCGGGCGCCGGCCTATAAGCACATTCTACTTCTCCGCCAACAGCGGCGCGCGCACCGCTCTCCGCCCTACAAACCCCTTTTCAAAACTACGTTTCCAGCCTCTCCGCTCCCGATTCTTCCACTCCTCGCGCCCCCGCCGCACCGGCGGTGCCGCCGAAGCCGACGCCGCGAATGCCGCGAAGGAGGGCCTGAAAGCGCCGCTCACACTGGGTCAGCGCATGAAGAAGCTGTCCCGCGAGTACGGCTGGTCTGCGCTGGGCGTGTATCTCGCGCTCACGGCGCTGGATTTCCCACTATGCTATCTGCTCGTACAGTGGCTTGGCACGGACCGCGTGGGGCGCTGGGAGCACGCTGTCGTGTCGCGGGTTGCGCCGCTGATTCCGGCGGTGGTGAAGGAGCGGTGGTATGCGTTTAAGGCGTGGATGCATAGTGCTGAGGAGACGATAACGGGGAACGATGATGTGAGTGATGCGGTTGATATGGCGGGGTGGGGGGTGGAGGAGGCGCAGAGGGAGAACAAGAAGGAGGCTAGTTTGGGGACGCAATTGGCGCTCGCGTATGCGATTCATAAGAGTTTTATCTTTTTGAGGGTCCCGGCGACGGTGGCGTTGACGCCGAAGGTGGTCAAGGTGTTGAGGGGGTGGGGGTGGAATATTGGGAAGAGGTCGACGAAGGCGGAGAAGGCGGCGAGGAAGGCGACGAAGGAGGCGAAGGGGGTGAAGGATGTGAAGGTGGTGAAGGAGTAGGGGGGTGGAGGTGTATGTTATGATTATTTTGGGCGCTTGGTGGGGTTTTTAGATGGGAGAAGGGGATGTATAGACTTGATGAGTCGATATGTAGTTGTAAGTACTGTATCCGTATTGGACGTGGAAAATGAAAAATCCCAACAGCCGCCGCAGAAACCACAGACATTCCCCAGACGAAGTCACGCTTATTGATGCCCCTCGCTATAGACAAAGTTATTCAGCCCTTCATGGGTTTTAAGTCGGAAGCTTTTGCCCAGCTCCTACGAATAGGGGTCACACTGGCCGCGCATATCACGTCCATATAGAAGGAAGCTGCAACCCACCCCCCGCACCTTCCCTTATTCCATCTACAATCCAACCTCAAGATCGCTCCTTCCTCACCACCCCCAACCCACCCACTCATCGCACCTTCTTATCTCCAGACACAAGAGCCCCATCCATCTCCCGTCCATAAAATCCCCATCAAAGCCACGATGCCCTCTTCACCTCCATCAATACAAGTCTCATACCCACCACCACACTCACACATACACCCACCAACATTCTCACATCTCACGCCGCACAAACACCCCTCACACAACCCCCATCACACAAAATGGCTCCTCTCAACCCCCCAGCCGCGCAACACGGGCGCCGCGTCATGTTCGTCAGGCGCCGCATGACCCCCCCACCCCTCTTGGGTAGCTACCTTAATTACATCCTCGTCATAATCTTCATCCTCCTCTTCGGGAAGGTCCTCTCCTTCCTCTACACCGCGCATCTGCACTGTGCTGAGCATGATGGGTTGATGTGCTGGAACACACCTCCACGGATTACGGATCTCGATATCTCGGATATCGACGCGGGGGGGGTTAGTGGGCGGGATATCCCGCCGCCCTGTGAAGGGTCTTTTGAGGATGGGGCGGCAGTGTGTAGGAAGGTCGTGGATGGGGTGTGTGTTGCCCATTCGTGTCCGGAGGTCGATGGAGTTGGTGAGCAAAACACCGCTCCGCCTACTGAAGAGCTATCCGGGACACCGACGGTGGATAAAGCCAGTGCATGGTGGTGGCGCGCACAAAGAGTCCAAGGCAGCGGCGCTGCCTGCACCGGGGCATGTAATCCTGACGGCGACGGAAAATTGGTAGACCTCCACCCCCCCCCCCCTCCTCCTATATTCCTCCGCTAACTAACAGCTTCCAGGCTGTCAAGAGACAGTTTATAGGAGACAGGTTTCCCCCGGTGGATATAGCGGGGATGCAGACCCTCTCATCCAAACCTCCCCCACCCGCCACAACGACGACGATGCCGCAGATCAACGGGACGCTGACGAATGGGACGCGTGTGAATGGGACGCCGACGGCGGAGATTCCGCTGGTGACGAATATTAGGGAGAGCGGGCAGGCGAGGGGGTGGTGGGGGGTGTGGCGTGGAATTCGTGTGCTTCTTCTGCGGCGCTGTTGGGGTTGGTGGCGATTGGGGTTGTGGTTTTGTTGTAGGGGGGTGGTTGGTTGGGGTTGAAGGGGGGGAGGTCTTTCTTTGAAGGGGGTGTTTTGTTTTGAAAGGGAGTGATGTCTTGCTCCTAAAGCGTTGCGGATTTGTTGAGAGGTTGGATGGGTTGGATATCCGGCTGACAGCGGCGTTGAGAGGTGTTGGAGGTTTGAGGGGAGATAATGGAATTCCTTCTTTTAATGGCGTCTTTGGAATCTCTTCGTTGGAGTCGCGCCTTTTGAATCGCTTCTTCTGAGCCTTCAAAAGGCAGCACCTGTACCAGATATTCTCGTAATTATCCTCTCCTCCCCCTAGTCGTGCACATGGGAGCATACAAACCCAGAGTAATTAGCATCATATTGAATAGTATACATCTCGTTAGATTTCATACAAGGTATCCGTATCCCACACCTCCCTATCCACCACACCACCCTACCTCACCCCCGCCCCCACCCCCGGAAAACTCCTCGCCGTCAACAACACCCCCTTCACCGCCCTAATCTCCCTCTTCACCCTCCCAATCTCATCATCCTCATCCCTCTTCGCCCCAAACGCCGAGCCCGCCCCATACGAGAACGTCGGCGGACTATACATCAACGAATCGAGATACTTCTTGAGATCATCAATCCCATCCTGCAAGTTACTCGACTCACGCAGCTCCGACGCAATCGTCAAATCAACATCCGACAATATTGCCCCGATATTCGCTGCCTTCTTCGCCTGTGCCTCCGCTACTGAGATCTTCGGCTCCTGAGAGGGAGAGGAGGGGCGCGAGGGGGGGGGGGAGGTCTGCACCCCGATGTCGCGGTGGAACATCTCCGTCGGGTCGCCGTCGGAGTCCCCATCGTCCCTGTCTTCGTAGCGCTCTCCCTGTGCTAACACTGGTTGGGGAACTTCGGAGACAAGAGGCTTCAGCTTGCCAATCAGGGTGTCGAGATGCGCTTGTGCGGCTGCGGCGAGCTCGTGCCGGGAGTCGGAGAGCGCGGAGGACATGGGGGCGACGAGGTAGGTGGAGGTGCCGTAGAGGAGGGCGGAGAGGCCGCCGAAGAGGTAGAGGGTTTTGAGGAGGCGGGAGGCGGTGATGAGGGGTGGGGGGAGGGGGGGGTGGTGAGGAATTCGGGGTAGGTTATTATGGGGGGGCGTCGCGGTAGGGGATGGGGGTCTGGGGTTGGGGTGCTTGAGGTTGTGGGGGTGGTGGTGTGGAGGATGTGACGGGTTGGGGGGGTGCTTGGGTTTTGGGTGAGGCCTGTATTGAGTCAGTTCGTGGTTTCCGGCTTGGGGGGGGTTGGAAGTCTTACTTGGGATTCTGGGCTTGTAGCCTCCAGGTTGCGTGTGATGCCTAGTAGCTGATGTATTTCCTCACTGGTCAATCCCTTGCCTTCCAAAAAGGCAACCTTCTTGTCCGTACTCGCATCCTTAACGTCATCTTCCTCGAGGAACTTTCGCGCATCCTCCAAAACCGACGACCTGGGCTTTACCTCAGGCGACGACGACTCCGAGGCTGGCTTCTCTGAAGCTTCCGGCTTCATCTGCCATGACGGCACGCCTCCTTTTGGTTTTGGCTCGCTATCACTCATGGTGCTGTTTGCGTTGAACGTTGGCAAGATCGCAAGAGTGGCAATGTGGTGGTGTTGCGAGCCGGCGATACCCAAAAGCTCACATGCCTCGGTTGATGATCGCTCTAACTAAGCTAAGTTAAGTTAGTTACCTTAGCTTAACTAAGTTAACGTACTTCATAAGTAAGCTGCGCATACAAGTAAGCTGCGCACACCCCACCAAAATCACGAAATCTACCCTATTCAACCAGTCATGCCTCAACCAAATAGTGCCCAATTGGCCTCCAAAGAGGGCCGAATAGCTCTTGCGATTAATTCATATAAATCAGGCTATTTTACAAGCATTCGTGGTGCTGCAGACGCGTACGACGTACCTGAATCGACATTACGGACGCGCTTGAAGGGCACGCGTCCGCATAATGAAATACGGTCTACAAACCTCAAACTTACGGATACGGAAGAATTAACGCTTGTTAATTGGATCCTATCTATGGATGAGCGAGGCTTACCAGTTCGTACGGCTTCAATTCGAGATATGGCTAACTTATTACTTCAAAAACGGACCGGTACGGACGCGTCTCCTCCGCAACAAGTTGGCGTCCAATGGCCATATAACTTCGTACGACGCCATGACTCTTTACGGGCTTGTTATAATCGCAAATATGATTACAAGCGTGCCTTATGTGAAGACCCGACTATTATTCGAGACTGGTTCCGACTTGTACGAAATACAGTTGCAAAATATGGAATCCGGGACGTGGATATCTATAACTTTGATGAGACGGGCTTTCAAATGGGTGTGATTTCGACCGCAAAAGTCATTACGGCCTCTGATCGTACGTCACGGCCCGTAACAGTCCAACCTGGGAACCGCGAATGGACTACGGCTATTGAGTGTATTAATGCGGACGGTTGGTCGCTTCCTCCGATGATTATACTTAAAGGCAAACTCCATATCTCTACCTGGTATATAAACGCTTTACCGTCTAATTGGGAAATTGCGGTTAGTGATAACGGCTGGACTACGGACCAATTAGGCCTTATTTGGCTTACAGACGTCTTCGAAAAACATACAAAGGATCGTACGGAAGGAGTATATCGACTTCTTATTCTTGACGGACATGGAAGTCATATTACGGCTGAATTTGACTTGTTTTGCAAGGACCGTAATATCATTACTCTTTGTATGCCTCCGCATTCCTCACATTTACTTCAACCTCTTGATGTGAGCTGTTTTGCGGTCCTAAAACGGTCATACGGGCGACAAATTGAAGATCTTATGCGGGCTGGAGTTAATCATATTGATAAGTCTGATTTCCTTCAAGCTTATTTTACGGCCCGTACGGAAGCTTTAACCTCACGTACGATCCGTAGCGGGTTCGTAGCTGCTGGATTGGTCCCGTACGACCCAGAACGTGTTCTCTCAAAGCTTAATACTCAATTACGGACGCCTACCCCTCCTCCTCCTCCTACGACCGAACAAGCGCCTTGGGTCCCAGAGACGCCACACAATATACAAGAGCTAGAATCTCAAGCTAAGGCAATTGGAGACTTTGTACAACGCCGTACGGCCGGGTCTTCAAGTCCTACAGATCGTGCAGTTCGGCAGTTAGTTAAGGGCTGTCAAATGGCTATGCATTCTGCAGTCCTCCTTGCGGATGAAAACAAGAAGCTACGGGCCGCGAACGAACGCCAGAAGAAGAAGAGAGCTGTACGGAGGTCGTATATTGCTACGGGAGGTGTTTTGACAGTCCAGGAGGGCTTGGATCGATCCGTAGCTGCAAATATAGAGCGTACGGGTCAGTCTACAGGTGGGGCTCAAAAGCGACAAATCCGCGCACCACGGACGTGTAGTATTTGCAGATCACTTGAACACACGGCCCGTACGTGCCCAGATAGGGTTAATTCGAATTAGATTGGTTTAATAATAGTAATCTTAATTTGTTGTTGAATTATTAGTTCCTAAAGCCATGATTTTGGTGGGCTGTGCGCAGCTTACTTGTATGCGCAGCTTACTTATGAAGTACGTTAGTTACTTTAGTTGCTGATGTAATCCGGGGATGGGAGGACGATAAGTTAAACCCTGAGCGTTAAGGCAGTAACTAACTATCTCTTTTAAAAAAAAGATATATGTTTCCCTGAAAATTAAGGTTAACGCATTTCATAGGCGAAGCGATCACCAGGGCGAAGCGATCACTGAACTTCCCACCTAGAATTGAGAAATTAATTCATAATATATTCCAAAAATGTGTGTGTATCCTTATAGTAGATATTGAAATATAAAGACCTAGTCTAGATTTCAGTGCCTAAAGTTAATATCTTAAGAACTAGTTACTGAATAGACTGAATAGATTATTCCTAAATGATTAGGTTAGGTACAAATTGAAATACGTTAACTTATCCATAATTTTAATTTTCATGTGGTTAAAGGCAGAATTTATTTGCATGTGATTGAGGGCAGTTTCTAGTTCACGCACTAAACCCCAAAACAGTCTAGTCCCGTAGCTTACGGTTCATCTTCATAGACTTTGCCGGGGTTCTCCCTCTGATCTCCTCCACTCCATCCACCCCCGTCCACCCCCGTCCACCCCCGTCCACCCCCGTCCACCCCCGTCCAACCCCGTTCCACCCCCATCCAACCCCATCCAACCCCATCCAACCCCATCCAACCCCATCTACCTCCATCCACTCCATCCACTCCCTCCAGTCCATCCACCTCCATCCACCCTCCATCCACCCTCCATCCACCTCCCACTCATCCTCTGCCCCTACCCCATACCAATCCCATACCAACTACTCTATCCCCACACTCCACTATTCTAACCCTCCTACCCTCCACCCACCCTCCCCCTCCACCCTCCACCCTCCACCCTCCGCTCTTCTCCGCCTCCTTTCCCAAAACACCCCCCCCCTCCCGATTGATCCCACAAGTTCAGGTTCATTATCTTGGTGTAGCTAACCCTCGTTCATTTTGTCCTCCTCATCAATTTATCCCCCCTCGCTCATTTTGTCCTCCTCATCAATTTATCCCCCCTCATCAATTTATCCTCCTCCATCCCTACAAAACAAAACATCTCCCCCCGCCTCATATTGCCTGAAACAGACAACAGAGAACAGAGCATCATCATCTGTGGCAACTCGATTCGCGCTTGCTTCGAGTTCTACTTCAGGTTTCTGGCCTCGAGGGTCGTGCCTTGGTGACTGTAACGACGGCCACCATACATCTCCTCCGCCGCTTTGCGTCTTCTCACGACGAACGCAACCTGTGTCTTTGACACCCACCCCTCCAGGATCGTTACGGTTGGCGCCCATGCTCGCCGTCCAACGCCCCATGTCGAAGCTGCCGCACCACATGTTATTTGGCTGTAGGTTTCTCCCCCATTCGAGACTGCTGTTGTGTTGTGTTGGAAGAACCGTTGCAAGGGCTTTACTGACACGTTTGCCCAGACTCCGTCGATTCCTCAAACTCCTTATACCGCTTACCCTCACCCCCGCCTCTTGCGCCGGGTCCGTCGTTATTAGATGACACCGACACCCGCTTCCTTGACAGCTTCTTCGACGGAGTGAGCTCCGACCAGTATCTCCTCAACGATCCGAACGATGCGTGGAACTATGACTGGCAAGACCTCCCCCCCGACTTCCTCGGGACCACCTCCTCATTCGGCCCGCAAGTCGAACCCGTCACGAACGATATCCAGCACCTCACCTTCCCGGAATTTAGAAACAGCCTCGGATTCCTACCAGAACAATTAAGTCCATCAGAAGATGTCATGTCCGCAGCCTCTGCACTACGAAACGGCAATAATAACCACCAAAACAACAACCAAAACAACAACCAAAATACCCACATCAATGGCCACCACAGCAATGCCTTCATGGCCCTCGCCTCGCGCACCCAACACACGAGCCCACCCTTCAACAACCACGGCCTAATAAAACCCGAGCAGCCCGCCCCGCAACAGCGCAAAATGTCCAACCGCCCCGAAGACTACATCCGCCACGCCTCCATGAGCGAAGCAATGTACGCCCCCAACCCAACTTCCTACGCCCCCCACCCCTCCAACAAAAAGAAAGTCGAGATCAAATGGGGTTCCGACTCCGGCTTCAACACCGGGCGTCGCTTCGTGGCGCCGCCGAATACGATAACACTCGATGAGATCGATGAGAGCATTATTAGCACACTAGAGTGCCTGCAGCCAGGGAGTAATGTGAGTACCCGCGCGTCTAGCCCGCGGGGGGGGAAGATGCCGCAGGGGGGGGACAGGAGGTTGGAGATGATTTCGGAGGGCGCGAGGGATGATGATGAGGAGAGGCCGAAGAAGAGGAAGAAGAATAAAGGAAAAGAAGGCGTATACGAATCCGACGCCCTCGAGCAACCCCAAAGTACGCCCAACACCAAACTCCCCCGCAAGCGCCGCCCCAAATCCTTCGGCACCCCGGGGAGCGACACACCCAACCGCGCACCCCCCCCTGTCCACAAACGACTAAAACCCACGACAGGGATGTCCCTATCGACTCCCAAAATGGCGAGGGAAAACCTGACGGAGGACCAGAAGCGGGAGAATCACATTAAGAGCGAGCAGAAGCGGCGGACGCTTATCAAGGAGGGGTTTGAGGATCTGAATGAGCTTGTGCCGGAACTGAGGGGGGGAGGGTTTAGTAAGAGTGCTGTGTTGATTATGGCTGCCGATTGGCTTGAGGAGTTGGTGGGGAAGAATGAGGGGTTGAGGGGGATGGTTGCGGAGTTGGAGGCGAGGGGGGGGATGTGAGAGAAATGGGGATCAAAGCTGTGTGTGGGTATGATGAGAAACAGGGTGTGAGACTTTGTTTTGAGGGGGGATTTTTCGGGATTGGCGTTCGGGGAGGGAGATATCCAGGGGGGAAGGAAGGGAAACAAGTTTAGGCTTTTCAAGAAGTGTAATTAGTAAAGACTTGAATATGAGGAGGTGGGGAATTTGGAGCGGTTTATGTACTCTGAACTGTGGTACACTCAAAAAAATCAAAACATGGATTCTTGCTACGAGCACAACGTCTTCTATTTCCCCCCCCCCCAACCTGTTAACAGACTCCAACCACCAACCCACCCACCCACTACACCTCCTCAACCACCCTCCCAGCAAACAACCTCCCAGCGGGACTCTCCACCATCTCCGTCGGTACATAGATCTTATTCCCCTCCTTATTGCTGATCCAACGCACATAAGCGGAGTTAGGCCTTCCCGGCTCGCCGTCGGGACCGACCTCGCCGGTGAGACCGTTCAGGTCGCGGCGGCGGGCGTTAGTTTTGGGGGCTTGTTTTTTGAGGAGTTTGTTGATCGTTTCCATCTGTTGGGGGGGGTATTAGTAGAGGGAAGATGGGAGGGAGAGGAACGGGGGGGAGGGGATGTACTTTTTCTTCTTCATTCCGCTTCTCGCTGAGGTTCTTGCGGCGACGTGCCATTTCGGCGCGGCGCATGGCGTGTTCTTCTGCTGTGAGGTGTTTCTTGACTTGTACCTCTGTGACGGGGTTAGTATACTATGTATTATAAAGTGGAGTATAGGGTGGGCAAGACGAACCATCGGGTAGTGCCATGAGGTGTCCACTCCCACTCTCATCAAGCCTCGCTCGTTGTCTCTTCGTTAACTTGCTCAGGTCGGGCGTTGAACCTCTGCTCCCCCCACCAGCCTCCTCATCACTATCAAGCTCATCTTCTTCCTCTTCCTCCTCCACCTCGATCTCCTCATCTTCTCCCTCAGCATCCTCATCGTTGCCGACCTGCATTGTCTCCTCATCCTCCTCATCCTCGCTCTCCAGATCGCTCAATTCCTCATCATCGCTCGGCTCGGTCGTAGCCACGACCCTAACATCCTTCTTCCCCGCAGTCTTAACAGTAATCGAATGTTTCTCCTTCGTCGGCTTCGAGATCTTAAGGGTAGGAGGCGGCAAGCCAGCCATCTCCATATCATCATCCCCATCCGCATCTTCCTCCCCCTCAGCATCCTCATCAAGATCCATATCCTCATCCTCCTCCCCCTCCGCATCCTCCTCCTCCTCCTCATCCCCCAAATCCTCCATCTCCTCATCCTCCTCCTCAGTCTCGCTCTCAACCACATAACTCTTCTTCACCCCCCTCGCCCTCGTACTCTCCCTCGTCTCCCCCGCAAACCCTCTCCCACTCCCACTACTCGGCCTCCCACCACTAGTCCGCGACGACCCACCCGTCGCGGCGCGCAGCTTGCTGGCGGGCATCTTGACGGTGAGGCGGAGGGAGAGGTTGGGGGGCGATGAGGGCGGGTCGTTGCGGGATAGCGTGGCGCGGGAATGGGAACTGCTGTCTGGATCGCGGCGCGCGCGAGACATAATAATATCTGAGGTGCAGTCAGCGGCGATTGCTTCGCGGGCTTTGAGGGCTGCGGAGCGGCGGCTCCGTCCGGTCATTGTGGGATGAGTGGAGTAAAGTAAAATGTAGGATAGGATGAAATGTGTAGACGGGTAGGGTGAAATGAAGTCGTGTGCAGGATATGGGATTGGTTGATAGGCAGGAATTGCAGGGTTCGTGACGAATTCACCAGCTTCGACATGCGATTAAATGCTAATGCCGTCGTATAATCCATGTTCGTGTTGTGGTCTCGCACGCACACGAGAGGTCGTCAAAGAGACGTGGACTATCTTGCAAACGGCTTACTTCCAAGCGCATGCAAGGCCACACACACAACAGGCTGTAGTCGCACTTGGTCCCGGCCCCAAACATATTTGGCGCCACAACCAAACAAAGATGCAGGAATCGGGGATTGGTTGATTGTTGGGACACTGGGGGATGGGATCCTTGCTGGACAAGACAGCGAATGGAATGCGCGGACTCACGTGTTTCGTGCTTCGTGTTTAAATACGATGTTCCCTGTCCCGCTATGTATTTCGGGCAGGTTTATCTTGTTTGTTTACTTGATTCCAGTTTGATCAGGGCTTTGCTTTCTGGGCGGGTGATGGATGGCGGATGGCGGTTCTGATACGTTCTTTCTGGGCGAGAGACTCGATTTGGCCTCAGAACGCTTACTTGCAGGTGGATGATATGCGCGAGTATGTCGGCAGCCCGTAAGGAATGATGTACACTCCACAGAGAAACCAAATAACCGGTCGAGTTGCGAATTGAGATGCTGGTGATGTCAAAAACGTGAACTCCCAGACATTTCCCGTGACCTCCCTACCCAAAGCCCAGATGTTCCAGACGACGCGCCCCAGCACGTGACATATTTAGAACTTAAAGCAAAGTAAATTGTAGCCTTATATTTCAGGTATCTATAATATGTGATTCCACCTTGGTACTACAGTCAACTCCCGTTAAGTCGATACAATTGGTGACACGTGTAAATATCGTAAAAGTGAAAATATCGTTATATTGGAATGCCAAGTATTATGTAATCCACCTATCCAATGTCTCCTGAACCAATGAATTAAGCTGAATTGCCTCAATTTCACCCTCCAAATGCTCTAATGCCCTGAGGTGATTGGCTTGGAGAGCATCCTGACACTCCGTCATCATTTTGAGTAGGATCACTAAAATGCTCATCCAAAATCTCCTGTAGTATACCCTCCTCATCTGTTGTAACTTCTGTATTGTTGATTTGCTCGTCAATAGGATTTAAAAAGTTCGAAATAGTGTAATGGTGGGTGCACCAGATGTTAGAATCTAGCCACCCAAGGAAGGGTGATTTTACTAAGACAAAACACACTGTCTTAGAAAAAGAGCCAAAGGGTCGTAGCTTAGACTATTCCACAACGCAGCAATCAGGTGTATGATATAGTGGAGTGGTTTAGACAAGTTGTAACAAATGTTGAGTCTGAGAACTCAGGGATAAGTCGGAGGTTAGCACCTCATTGACTTTTCAGAAACAAGGAGTAACAAGATCAATGCTTGGAAGCTTGGAAAAGACGTGGAAGTATGTGATAGTCGATTTACTGTATTGTCTGCTTGCCCTTTTTTAAGGAAAGGGCAATCCTATTTATGCTAAAGGAGTGTAGTTCTCTCATTTTCCAAGACTTTCCATGACTTCACCAGGCTTGGTAACTGTAGTCAACATAAGAGAACCCCATAGAACCATCTCCTAGGTTCCTAGCCTATAGGAAGTGAAAGGAGGTCCAAGGTCAGAGTACCCCTATAGACAAATTATGTCATAACTTAACCAATCTTGTGGGTAACTAAGGAGCCATGACGTGTAATGAATCATAGACGGTTGTAGAAGCTTTTGGAGCTATCGTTCATGTTCCTAGGCCTCTAGTTGATAGAGATATGTCATGTGTAGTATTAGCCCAGTAACTAAGGAGTGATGTCATGTAATGAATCATAGAGGGTTGTAGAGATATGCTATGTGGTCATATCGGCCCAGTAAGTAAGGAGCAATGACGTGTAATGAATCATAGAGGGTTGTAGCAATCGTTGAGTAGTATTGCTCTTGTTGTTGGTGTGACAAGCCAAAATATGTATAGTGACTTGTAGGTTTGAGGAGGAGATTTCTAAGTTTGCTCTTGAGTTTGATAGCAAACTGAGTGCAACAAATGTCAGTATGACAAATAGCCATTGAATCATGTATATTGCCAGCTTGGATAACTTGTTCGTATAGTTGTGAAAGGTCTATCGGTGTAATTGAGGTTGGAAGAGTGATTAGAGTTGTAAGAAGTGTTGATTTTCGAAAGCAATTGTATATAGTTGATTGTAAAACTTGTTGATTCCAGCTTCGTAAGATCCAGCGAATAAGCTTGCTTGCTTAATCGGATCCAGATTCAAATTATAACATTCAAGCATAAAACAGAGCCATTGTCGACGGTAATAAGCTTTAAGAGATTGAATAATGCCTTGATCAAGAGGCTGGAATCGACTAGTACTATTAGCTGGAAGCCAACAGATCTGAATATTAGGAGGTGGGGGACAAAGCTCAACACCAGATATGTGTGCAGAAAAGTTGTCCATTGTAAGAAGGACTTGTCAAGTAAAGCCAATATGTTGATAAAATGCTTGAAGCCAGTCAATCATAATTGTTGAATTCATCCAAGCCTTTTTATTCCACCTCCACTCAGCTCCCATTGTAGATATATTAATATTGCGTAAAGATCGAGGTGTTTTTGCTTTGCCGATAATCCAGATTGGAAGCCGGTCAGATCCAGAAGCATTTGTACAAAGAGTAAGTGTAATTCGAGCTTTTTCCTTCTTGAATCCAGGTAATGATTGCGATGCTAGTCCTCAAGATGGCATCATCTTCCAGTAGAGCCCAGTTTTGTCCATATTATAGATATTCTTGTCATACTGACATTTGTTGCACTCAGTTTGCTATCAAACTCAAGAGCAAACTTAGAAATCTCCTCCTCAAACCTACAAGTCACCATACATATCTTGGCTTATCACACCAACAACAGAAGCAATACTACTCAACGATTGCTGCAAACTCTTTTACTACATCTGTTTATGCTACATACATCACGGCATATCATTTGGACACTCATTGAACAAGTTATTAAGAAAATCTCCTCCTTAAGGGGGTGGGCCAATACTACCACATGGCATATCTCTACCAACTAGAGGCCTAGGAACATGAACGATAGCTCTAGAAGCTTCTACAACCCTCTATGATTCATTACACGTCATCGCTCCTTAGTTACCCACAAGATTGGTTAAGTTATGACATAATTTGTCTATAGGTACTCTGACCTTGGACCTCCTTTTCACTTCCTATAGGCTAGGAACCCAAGAGATGGTTCTATGGGATTCTCTTACGTTCACTACATGATTAGCAAGCTAGTTGTGGGTCGCACTTGATTTCTAATACATTTACCAAGCCTGGTTAGTCATGGAAAGTCATGGAAAATGAGAGAACTACACTCCTTTGGCATAAATAGGATTGCCCTTTCCTTAAGAAAGGGCAAGCAGACAATACAGTAAATCGACTAGCACATACTTCTACGTCTTTTCCAAGCTTCCAAGCATTGATCTTGTTATTCTCTGTTTTTGAAAAGTCAGTGAGGTGCTAACCTCTGACTTACCCCTGAGTTCTCAGACTCAACATTTGTTGCAACTTGTCTAAACCACTTCACCACATCATACACCTGATTGCTGCGTTGTGGAATAGTCTAAGCTACAACCCTTTGGCTCTGCTTCCTAAGACAGTGTGTTGTCTTAGTAAATTCATCCCTTCCTTGGGTGGCTAGATTCTCATATCTGGTGCACCCACCATTACACATGAGGCCATTGGTGAACCTTACCAGAAAGGATCAGATATTCGAATGGACTCATGCATGCCAAACTGTATTCGAGCTGTTGAAACAAACAGTCACAGAAGCTCCTGTCTTGAGGCATTTCGATAGAAACAAGACAGCCTATGTCGAAGCAGATTCCTCAGACTTCATCTCATCAGGAGTCTTGTCACAAAAAGATGATCAAGGGGTTCTACATCCAGTTGCATACTTCTCAAAAAAGCTAGCACCTGCAGAATGCAATTACGAGATATATGACAAGGAATTGCTTGCAATCATCAGATGTTTCGAAGCATGGAGACCAGAACTTGAAGGGACAGATTTTCCAGTCCAAGTCTTGTCTGATCAAAAGCTTGGAATACTTCATGTCCACCAAGAAGCTGACAAGAAGACAAGCTCGATGGGCTGAATTCCTCTCTCGATACAACTTCCAGATCATCTATAGGCCTGGGAAGCAAAATGGAAAAGCAGATGCTTTGACTCGAAGGCCTGGTGACAGACCAGAAGGCAATGATGAGGATGATCGACAAAAGCAACAGCTTCAGGTGTTGCTACCACCTTCGAGGCTACATCCAGACATTCAGAAACTCAAAGAACAAGGCCAAACAGCTCAGCTAGCTCCAGTGGAAACTCATATCAGAGAAATGACAATTCTTGAGAAAATCCAAAAGTCTCAACTGGAAGACAAATTCTGCAAGGCTACACTACAGAAGCTTGAGAATGGTGATCGAACAAGCAAAGAGGTTGCATTGGCTTATTGCGAACTCAAAAACGGCATGCTAGAATATCAAAATCGAGTTTGGGTGCCAGAAACCATTCAGGTGGACTTGTTGAGAGAAGTTCATGAACAACCTTCTATGGGACATCCAGGAGCTGGAAAGATGCTGCGAGTCATGAAACAGCACTATTACTGGCCAAACATGGACAAAACAATAATTCGATATATCAAAAACTGCCATAGTTGTCGAAGATCGAAACCATCTCGAGATTCCTACAATGGACTTCTACAACCAATCCCTATTGACAGTCGACCATGGATGGATATATCAATGGATTTCGTGACAGGATTACCACTCTGTGAAGGGAACAATGCTATCTTGGTTGTTGCATGCAGGTTGACGAAAGAAAGACATTTCATTCCGTGTTTCGCTGGGCAAGAAGGGACTACTGCAGAAGCTACAGCACAGCTCTTACTTCGACATGTATGAAAGCACCATGGTCTACCAAACTCGATAATATCAGACAGAGGTCCTCAGTTCATTGCAGAAGTCTGGAGTTTGCTCTGCAAAATTTGGAAAATTTCAGCCAAACTTTCAACTGCCTTCCACCCAGAAACAGATGGACAGACTGAGCGATTCAATGCAGAGCTCGAACGCTACTTGCGAGCTCATGTGAACTATCTTCAAGACAATTGGGTTTCATACTTGTGCATGGCGGAGTTTGCTGCCAACAGTTTGCCATCAGATGCAACCAAGACAAGTGCGTTTTTTGCGAACAAGGGCTATGAACCAAGAATGAGCTTCGATACAGAGCAGCAAGCATATCACGAAGCCAAACAAGAGCACAAGAACATAGCTCAGACCATGGCAAAGGTTTGGGAGTTTCTGCAGGATGAAATCACGCTCTCGCAAGCAAAAATGGAACATTTCGCAAACAAGAAAAGGAAACCTGCACCACGCTATCAAGTGGGAGACAGAGTATGGCTTTCAACTCGAAATATAAAGACACAGAGGCCATCAAAGAAGCTAGACCACAAGCAAGTGGGACCTTTTGAAATTCTAGAGCGAATTGGGCAAGTTGCATATCGGCTCAAACTTCCAAACAGCATGAAGATTCATCCAGTATTTCATGCCAATCTATTAAGACTTGACTCGAATGATGCAATCGAAGGGCAGCAACAGGAGCCAGAGCCTCCAGTCATTGTCAATGGCGAAGAGGAGTGGGAAGTGGACGAAATCCTCGACTCAAAAGTTATTCGAAAGAAGCTTTTCTACAAGGCAGCTTGGAAGAACTATCCACCAGATGAGACATGGTATACTGCAGAGAGCTTTGAAAATTCTCCAGAAGTTACCCAAGCATATCACAGAAAATACCCTCAGAAACCAAAATGAGAGCTGGAGACGATTGTTTTTTTTTTAAAATGGGATTTCTTGATCAGGAGATCAACTCTGGAGTAGGGGGGGGGTAGTGTTACGATATCAAGTGCGCCTTGCAGCTCGAGTGGGGGTTCAGGGGTGTGGGGAGCTTTCCGGGGTTGGAGCGAAGTTTTCAGTTGTGGAGTGAATTCTCAGAACTGGTCTCGCTAAAGAGAATTCACTCCACAATAGCTGTATATAGATCGAGCCACTGCTCGAGTGCTCCTCTTCTCTTTCCTTTCTTCTCTAGATTGAGTTTAATTCATAATACCCAACTGGCGCCCTATGCCTTGGTGAACCGTGACACTTGGGTGGCTAGATTCTCATATCTGGTGCACCCAACATTACAATTCTCCTCCTCAAACTCGCTAGCAATTGTCCGAAGCCCTTTCATCTCTTCTTCAAATAATTCCGGGATAGATCCTGCTTCGCCGTGATGTGTATGTATCTTAATATTATGTCGTGATTTAAATTGTGTAAGCCAGCCAGAGCTAAAGTTGGGAACTGGCTGATCTGCATACTGTGGAAGCCTTCTCCAGATCTCCCTCGCCTTTTCTTGAAGTATATCACCAGATGTAAAGCCACCGCAGCTATCAATTTGTCGCTGAAAGTTGTAGAGAATTTGGTTGAGGCCATTGGCCAGTTTGTAATGGTGGGTGCACCAGATGTGAGAATCTAGCCACCCAAGGAAGGGATGAATTTACTAAGACAACACACTGTCTTAGAAAACAGAGCCAAAGGGTCGTAGCTTAGACTATTCCACAACGCAGCAATCAGGTGTGTGATGTAGTGAAGTGGTTCAGACAAGTTGCAACAAATGTTGAGTCTGGGAACTCAGGGGTAAGTCAGAGGTTAACACCTCACTGACTTTTCAGAAACAAGGAGTAACAAGATGAATGCTTGGAAGCGTGGAAAAGACGTGGAAGTATGTGATAGTCGATTTACTGTATTGTCTGCTTGCCCTTTCTTAAGGAAAGGGCAATCCTATTTATGCTAAAGGAGTGTAGTTCTCTCATTTTCCAAGACTTTCCATGATTACCAGGCTTGGTAACTGTAGTCGACGTAAGAGAATCCCATAGAACCATCTCTTAGGTTCGTAGCCTATAGGAAGTAAAAGGAGGTCCAAGGTCAGAGTACCCCTATAGACAAATTATGTCATAGACAAATTATGTCATAGACAAATTATGTCATAGACAAATTATGTCATAGACAAATTATGTCATAACTTAACCAATCTTGTGGGTAACTAAAGAGCGATGACATGTAATGAATCATAGAGGTTCGTAGGAGCTTTTAGAGCTATCGTTCATGCTCCTAGGCCTCTAGTTGGTAGAGATATGTCATGTGGTAGTATGAGTGATGTCATGTAATGAATCATAGAGGGTTGTAGAGATATGCTATGTGGTAATATCGGCCCAGTAACTAAGGAGCGATGACGTGTAATGAATCATAGATGGTTGTAGCAATCGTTGAGTAGTATTGCTCTTGTTGTTGGTGTGATAAGCCAAAATATGTATAGTGACTTGTAGGTTTGAGGAGGAGATTTCCAAGTTTGCTCTTGAGTTTGATAGCAAACTGAGTGCAACGAATGTCAGTATGACACAGTTCGATTTCGTTGTCGAGTTGTTGTCGAGTTGTTGTCGAGTTGTTGTCGAGTTGTCGATGTTATGATGGTCATAGAGGTCATGATGCCAGTCCAGGAAAAGTAATCTAGATTGAATCTAAAGAGAGAAGAAGAAGAAGAAGAAGGAAGGAAGGTGAGGCTATTTGTCATACTGACATTTGTTGCACTCAGTTTGCTATCAAACTCAAGAGCAAACTTAGAAATCTCCTCCTCAAACCTACAAGTCACTATACATATTTTGGCTTGTCACACCAACAACAAGAGCAATACTACTCAACGATTGCTACAACCCTCTATGATTCATTACTATTCTTTGTTTCTAAAAAGTCAATGAGGTGCTAACCTCTGACTTACCCCTGAGTTCTCAGACTCAACATTTGTTACAACTTGTCTAAACCACTTCACTACATCATATCTGGTTGTTACGGCTACAGTAACATGATGTCATGGTTACAGGGCCAGGGCCTAGTAACGTGACGTGTGAGTCACAGTGGGAAGCGGGGTAGGCTGCCATGTGACATGGCTAATGGATAGTTGCAGAAACCAGTGGATATTGGATAGTTGAGCTATCCACGAACTATCCTGAATATCTAGCTATCCGCCAACTATCCAGATTACCCATGAGGCACGACGCCACTATATAAGTAGATAGTATTTCCTTAGATAGGAGCTTCGTGCTCAACTCAATATAGTATTCTTTACAATACTGTAACGTGTTACTTGGAAAGCCTTTGTGTCTAATCCCCTGCCTCCTCTGTCAAGTCAACCTTACGCAAGAAACCTCTGTGTCTTCTATCGTTTAGAAGTCAGCGTTACACTGGTGCACCCACCATTACACTGACCCTAAACTGATCCTCCCAAAGGAGTTCCATGAATATCTCGATGTGTTCTCAAAGCAGGGTGCAGATGAACTCCCCCCTCACTGATATGCAGACCACCACATCGTCTTAGAACAAGATTCAAAATTAGGACATGCGCCCCTTTACAACATGTCAAAGGAGGAACTTGATCTTGTGAAGAAATATATTGACGACAACTTGTCGAAAGGATTTATTGAAGCTAGTAAAGCTCCCTTTGCCTCTCCTGTCCTTTTCGTCCGCAAACCAGGTGGCGGACTTCGATTCTGTGTTGATTATCGCAAGTTAAATGCCATTACAAGAAAAGACTCATACCCGCTACCCCTCATCGATGAAACATTGGCTCAGATCACAGATGCCAAATATCTTACAAAGATTAACATTCGTCATGCATTTAATCGGATCCGTATGCAAACAAAAGAAGATGAAGATCTCACTACCTTTAAGATGAGATTTGGATCATACAAGTACAAGGTCCTCCCTTTTGGCCTTACAAATGGCCCTGCAACATTCCAGCGATATATGAATGAAACCCTTAAGTACAAATTCTGTGTACTTTTTGAACCACTTGACAAGCAGGCTCCTCTTGGGCTTGCGTATGCTGCTGTGCAATAGGCTTTGTAGTGATAAAATGGAATTCTAGAATCTGGAATGCCAGATATACTTAGTGAGCCAGGTCTGTGACGGTAGAGGCAGTGGGCTCTGTAGGTGGCATACTGCCCCGTAAACCATATGCCTATTAGCTCCTAGCCCTAGGTAATACTGCTCTAAAATCCATTCCTTAAGGGCTTCTGTCTAAGCTGTAGAAAGCACCCTATTCTTACCCCCTCGTAACGGCTTCTGTAGGCGTAGGCGGCCGAGGCTTGACTCTATGGTCGACCTAGGGATGTGGAAAATCCGACTTGCAACACCTGCAGGTTTTCTAACGGCCATTTACAGGCATTTGATAAAGGAGTCTCTTCCATTATATGAGTTACACTTAATTACTATATAAAATACTATGTACAGGAATGCTGAGGGTTTTGGTGAGGAGTAGCGGTGAACATATGCAGGTTGAATTTGAGTTGCCGCATATTGCTTCCCCTCGCTTCGAGTAACCATAGCTAGGTCTACTGCACAAAACCCATCCTATACAAACAACACACAACCAGCTCCTACCAGCTCCTACCTACCTCGCCACGATCTGCGACAATACATCCCATAAAGAGCTCCAATGTCACTATAATTCACAATATTCACAATATTCACAATATTCACAATATTCACAATATTCACAATATTCACAATATTCACAATACGTGCAGATGCATCGCACTCACTTGGAATAGCGCAGCATCGCATACGGGAAGCGCAAGCCACTCACTTCACTACCCCGCCACCACCGCACCGCGAAGCTCCAACCCCTCACATCATGGGGCAACAACCAAGGAAACCCAGCCAGTCCGGTGACAAGCACCCCATCGACGATGCAGCCGCCACAGCTACCACGGCCCAGGGCGATGACCTCAATAGTATCCGCGGGGATGAGATCAATCCCTCACCACCACCGAATTCCGAGCTCGTCGGTCAACCAGCCGCTGGATTAAGCGCTGCGCAACAAATACTACCTGTCACTGCCGCTATTGTGTCTGAGAGCGTCGATGTTGTCGATGCTCCCAATGTGGCGTCGCCGACGACAGAGTCCAGGCCTCCAGAGAGCCACGAGACCTTCCTGCAAGGGGCCGATCCAACGGGCCGTAAGTCGCTCCAAACCCCCTTCCTTCCCTTCCCTCCAACAAACGCCACGAAGCAAGTAATCCGCGTAGACGGCACCGAGCATATAAGTACAACCAGCTAACCCACGCTCCCCGCCATCCAGTCGCCAACCCCGCATTAATCGTTCGAACCTCCGCAACCCCCCCCTTCTCCACGCCCTTCGCGGACGCCAATGCGCCGCCGCCGCTCTCCCCATCCAGTCCCCCCAGCCTCGCCTTCCCAACGCGCAGCAACACCGAGTTCATCGCCTCCTTCCCCCAGACCACCACCACCACCACCACGGGCACCACAAACAGCAGCATGCTCTTCATCCCCAACGACGCCGGCGCCGCGCACCGCCGCCGCTCCATGGCCAACACCCCCGCCCTGACCGAGTACGAAGCGGACCTAACCAGCAAAGACCGCCTCAAGCAAAAAGAAGCCGTGCGCGCCATCCTCGCCTCCAAAATCCGCACCGACTGGTCCTTCCCCGACAAAGTCTCCTCCACCGCGCTAGAACCCTCAGAAGACGCCCTCCCTGAAACTGACGACCCGGCAGAGCAGCTTACGACCTGGGTCGAGCGTGCGGACTGGCTGAGTGAGCTCTCCGAGAGCGAGGATAGCGACGCGGGACTGGCGCAGACGAGTACGAATTCTACGAGCGGATCGGCCAAGGCCCCTAAATCTAAGAAGAAGAAAATCAACCCCTTCCGCTTCGACTCCCCCGACGGCGTGGGCGAGGCGCTCCGCCGGTCAGCGGACAGGAGAAAACTCCATCGCCAGCGGAAACTACAGGAGGAACTGGCATACAACGAGGGACTGCGCTGCTTCACCGCTCGCCGGAACGCTTGGACGAACGCGCGGATCGTGCGGCGTCCACGATGCCCGCCCACATCCCCTATCTCACCCTCTGCCGAGAAACCCCCCGCCGCCGCCGACGACGATGGAGAAGCAATCCTCGACACCCTCGTCCCCATCGCCGCCCCCCTCCTCCCCCCCTCCACCCCGATGCGCCGCAACATCACCAGTCGCGCGCACAGCACCATCTACGACAAGGTCGTGATACAGAGCCAGACCCCCATGTGTCCGATTAATCTGCAGACTGTGGTGAGTAGCTGCGTGGACGGGTGGAAGAGGGATGGCGAGTGGCCGCCTAGGGGGACGGAGCCGGAAGCTGCGGTGGCGCGAAGGAGGGGGGATGCGGCGGGGCAAGCGCAGAATGGGGTGTGGAAGAGGAGTTTGCAGAAGGTTTTTGGGAGGGGGGCGTGACGGAGATTGTGTAGCGGGGTGGGGGGGCGGGGTTGGATGGCGTTTTTGGGGTGGGGAGGGATATTGTTTAGGCCATGCATGATTTTATGGGTTTTGGGTTTTGGGTTTTGAAGATGGGGGCGGGAGGGGGGTTGCGTGTCATATAGTGGGTGATATCGTATTGTCTAATACTTGTGCTGCCCAAAAGTCGGGAGGCGAACTGCTTGTGGCTGAGGAATGGTGGTAGTAATTTACGCTGATAGGATTTTCTAGCTCTATTCCTGGGTAAACTGTCTTATTCGTTGTAGCCCTAGGTGATTGTGAATGGACACTTTTACTATAGATAGATACTGTTGTTATGCAGTCTCCATTCACTTCACACTTTTGGACAGCGCGCGTGTACTCATACCTGATATCGTATTCTCCAACTCCACCTCTACCACTAAATATTCTAAATTCTAACAATCTTAAAAACTCCCGGTAAATGCCTCCCTCTTCCCATCTCTACATATCCACAACCCTCCCCAATATAATACACATATAATACACATATAATACGCCCCTTCCCCAATCACGTCAACCCCCGCATCAAAACGCAAAACCACTCAAACACCCACTCCCTTCCCCACCTCCCTCTGCCTAACCCTCGCACCCTCCTCATCCACCCCCTCCTTCTCCCTCCCAAATCCCATCGCAGTCTTCTTCTTCCGTCCCTTGCGATCTCCATACCTCTCATCAAACTTCCTAATCGCAGCAAGAGTCGCCATGTCCTCGCTAACACTCGCTGAAATCTCCTGGATCGCGATGTCGAAATGTCTCTTCCCGATCGTCCGCTTAGCGGGGTACGACAAGTTCTTCGACAGTGCAGAGACGTCTTCCCCTGTCGCGGCGGAGGAGGCGGCGCATGCTGTTGCAGTAGCGGTTTCCTCGCGCACGCACGCCAACGCCGCGGCGACGCTGAGGTTCTTGAGGTCCGAGCCAGAGTAAAACGGCGTATTTGCCGCCAGCGCCGCTAAATCCACCTCATCCTCCAAATCCTCTCCCTGGAGATGAATCTTCAGTATCGCCTCCCTATCTACCTCAACAGGTAGATCAATCAACAGCCGTCTCGGCAGCCGTCTCAGAATCGCCTCATCAAGATCAAACGGCCGATTCGTAGCGACCATAATGAAAGCGGAGAGATCGTTCATCCCGTCCCATTCGCGGAGGAATTCATTGATGATCTCGCGATGACTCGCGCGCTGGCTCCCTGCTCCTCGGTCGCCGAAGATCGCATCCGCCTCGTCGATGAAGACGATGCAGGGCGCCAGTTTCTTGGCGAGCGAGAAGACGGCTTTAACGTTCTTCTCGCCCTCGCCGACGTACTTGTCGTAGATCTCCGACCCGCTCACTTCGAGGACTGTGGTATCGCTTTCCTTGGCGAGGGCTTTGGCAAGCATCGTTTTGCCCGTACCGGGGGGACCGTAGAGGAGGACTCCGGGGATCTTGTCTTTAGCGAGGACGCCGTAGGAGAATGCCTCTGGCCGGACGAGGGAGAGGCTCGTGAGAGTCTTGAGGGCGTCGATGGTGTCTGCCGGGGCGCGGACGTCGGAGAATGTGACTTTGATGTTTTCGGGGTGCACGACTCCGCCGAGGAGTTTCTTCTCGCGCAGCGTGGCGTTTACCTTGATCTGTTTGCGTTTTTGGTCGGCGAGGGTGTCTTTGAATGATGATGCGGTGGTAGATGACGACTTTTTCCGATCGTCTTTCTTCATCCAGAGCGCTTTCTCTTCGTCGCTAGCAGCGATTATGTCGTAGGCGGCGATGAGGGAGGAGTTGCAGGCGTGGGTGTGGTCGATGGATGCGGATCCGATCATGACTGTTGCGAGGCGGTGGACGCGGGGGTATGGCCAGATGGACTCTTCCAGATCTTCTACCATTTTGGTGTGTAGGTCGCTCCATACTTGGGGTTCTGAGGGAGGGGCAACGTTGCGTGTTGATAGGAAAATTTCGAGGATGTTGTCTATCAATGCTGCAGCTTCTCCATTGGATAACTTGGAAACCATATCCTTCAGGTGACGAATATTCACACGGCGATTGCGGTGTTTTTCGTCAATTTTTAGGGCTTCCATGTCCTGGGTCTTTGCTGGGGTTACCATTATGGTCCGTTGGTCGCCGAAAACAACGTCGGATTGGAGCTGGACTATGGAGTCGAGAGTGGTCGCGGGGACTGGGTCTCCTGCTGTCGTGGTTCCGACAATGGCAATATGCCTTCCTTCCAGCCACCTCTTCTTAACGATGTCGCGCAGCATCTTGAGGATGTTAATGCCGGCATCGATTTTGCCCATCTCCTTGTACTGGTTGATTTGGATGATAGTAGGCTTTGGTGAAGGAGTTTCTGTGCTGCTGGGATCCGCCGTAGATGCTGCGGCTGCTGACTTAGCCGCATTGTTATATGAAGCATCAACAAGCGCTTCCAACGCAGCAGTGAGCTTAAAATTAGACCAACTCTCCGAAGATGAAGTAGACCGGGTTGGGCTTTGATTGGGTCCTTGGCCGAAGAGCTCGTCGAATGACATTGGCTTTGATAGCGACCTTTGGGTACCAGCACTGGGTATGATAGTGAGACCGCGAAGTTTTGAACTGCCAGCTTTCAAGGCTGAAGTCAATGCCGAAAGGCTAGGCAAGTCTGGTTTTTGGGGATCCTCCCCCTCGTCCATTTCCAAATCTTCTTCTTCTTCTGTCCTATTCATCTCCTCCTCGTATCGACCAACTTTGTCCAGCTCATATCCAAGTAGAGAGGTTGTGCATGGGGTCCACGCTAGGTTCTCTCCCATGTACTCTCCGACTATTTGTGCAATATCATCCGGGTCCAGCCTCACCACGTCAGCGTTCAACTTAAACGCAACGGTATCGACAACCTGGTTCATAAACCCGCTTGCATCACGCTGCGGACACTGGAGAAGAATATCAGGCCTAATTATCTCCTTGGGGTCGACTCCTTTGGGCGGCCGTATCGATAATATAGCTTCAATGTTTGACTGTAGTTCCTGAAAGACAATGTTCTTCATGCTATAACGAACTTTTTGGTTCGGGCCCAAAGCAGAATCCGCGGCATGTTCCTCCGGTTTGGGAGCTGGCTCATCGCCAGTCTTTATAGTCGCCGGTTCGACAGGCTCCTGCTCTTTTTCAGGGGCGGTTCTGTCCTCCAACAATAATATCCGCTCCACATTGTCGTTCGCCCCACTGGGTCTTAGGTTGTGGTCCAAAAACCAATCCGGCAGCACCATAGGGGGAACCTCCTTTACTCGTACATTTCTGTTCGCTCGTCGCGCCGCAGACCCATAATCGCCTCGTTTCGTCCGTTGTCCGCTCGTCGCCATATCCGTTTTCGCCACAGGCTCACTCGGCGCAGGCTCTCCAGGCGCTGCATTCGACTCCTCCTCCGCCGTATTATTAGGGCTTCCATTTTCCGCGCCCGTCTTCGGATCTGCAGGGTCATCAGGTATCCGGTAGGCAATGGCCGATCTGTGGAAATTTCTCGACGGCAGAGGTCGACGAACGCCAGCTATGACGCGGCAGGTGCGCCATAATTGGGGTCTTCGAGTCGTTCGAAGGGCTCCCCATGCGGCTGCATGCATTCGATAAGATGAACGCCTCGTAAGCGCCGGTTTCGTGCAATTGGGTTGTGGCGACCAATTCGGTGGTCGGTGGAATATTTGGGATGGAAAGGGTTGCGGCTCTGCGGAAAGGCCCCACTAGCGGCAGTAGTGGATCTTTCAGATCGCCAGGCTACTGGTACATACCGTGCTTTTGTATCAAATACCGTAGAGAACAGAGGCAATTGACAAGATGGTCGTGAACATTTGGAAATTCGTAGGTTTTTGGGAATTTCTTTTTATTCTGTGTCTTATGTATAACCCCGACCTATATTGATTTAATGAGTATTGATGATGGAAGTATAGGGGACTAATTTCGATATTAATTAATTTCAACTGAGAATTAAAATTCAAGTTGAGATCAAATAAAGATGAGATACGGTAATATTGACACAAAAATGACATTTATAATACTAATCTGTCTAACCTAATCGTGTCTATGGTTCTTCCAGGGTGATTCTCGTACGCCATGCCAATTGACCAAGTTGCTTCACACCTTACATAATCCATCCTCTATACCCGCCTGGCATTTCTCGAGTACGCCTCCTTTTTGGATATTTCCTGGTTTACCAGACCCAACATCATATTGATTTTATGCTGCACCTCTGGCGGAGCTGCCCAGTATAAAGTGGACAAGAGATCACGATGGTTCCGAAGCGAAGTAGTGTTTGTAGCTTTAGAAGGCCCCTCTTGATACTGGAGGTCATGGTTCGGAAGGAGGCGTGTAACGAGATTCCGTATCTCTTTTGCCTCGCCAGCCTCGCGCAACTGCTTAATAGCCGAGTGAACAATCTTCAGAAATATATGGAAGCATTGGTCTTCGGAATCAATGGCTGAGGAGAGTGCACCATCCAGGTCATTGATAAATTCTGGCGAGGTGGCCATCATTTCGCCCCCTATATGAGAGAATCCGTAAGAGGCGAAGAAGTCGAAAAATGTTCCCACAATCGAACCATAGCGACGCCAGCCCCATACCTGAATCAAGTGATGGCATCGGCTAAAGGTTGCTTGGTAGTACTTATTGAAATTTCGGGGTTGCTCTGTATCAGACGCATACAACTCGAACAATCTTTTCGCTATCTTTTGGGGCAATACCCAATTCTCTGCCGTTGCGCGATACCTCGAGCGTGTGACGAGGACCCCAAGCTCATTAAATTCCATGAGCGGGAGCAATGAAAATGCTGAGTACCATGTTTTCTCAAGTACCCGAGCATCGCCTTCTATGCTTATATTTTCTAGCAACTGCAAGTTGACAGCATCCCAAAAGGTAACGCGTGGGATTCGAGCCGCATGCATGATATGCATTAGTATTACCCACGCCTGGGTAGGGCTTTCGGAACTTTTGATGCCTGCTTCGCGCGATGCAAGATATTGGAGGTCGTCATATAGGCTTTGCACCGACGATAAGCCAACAATAAAGAGCAGCTTCACCGAAGTTGTAGCTGTTCTTTGCAGCAAAGTTTCCAGTTGGCCAGTGGTACGTTGGCTTACATTGCCACCATGTGTTGCCGACATCCGAAGCGTCAGGAAAATAAGAACAACCTCAAAAACAGACAAATCCATGATTCGGCGATTATTGAAGTCATCTCGAAAATCCAGGGTGCTGACGAGTACCTCGAGGCATTGCGTGAGTCGTTCCATGACTTCGGTCATGCTTTGCAGACACATGTCCTGCTCTTCGCGACTTTCAAAAGCCAGGGTGTTTTGGAAATAGTCTATCATGAATAGCATGCACCGGACCGTATCTTCTTCCACGTCGCTCTTCACTCCGTTCAGAGATGCCGTACCGAACGAATTCAGTCGACTAACAATCCAGTCGAAGTATATACCGATTTCCGACGACACATTGGCATCCCACACGTCCCACTTTACGTGCTGCGTGCCAAATTGAGCTGAAACATAGCCTCTGGGATGGCCATAACACCTAGAAGATTCCGTCCCAATGGCCTTGGCAAGCGTTCCTTGGCCGATAAACGTAGATTCGTGAAAATAAACCCCTGATCGTAGAGGGAAGATATCGAAATCGATGGGATAATCGGTATCAGCACCACCAAGTCCGTATAGCTTGCCACCATAATCATGTACGGCCTTAGACGAGGTCGGTATTTCGATTGGAGCAATAAGCATAGGTTTATCTGGTTGCCGAAACCTCGCTGCAGTGGCGTCGAGTTGTTTAGGAGTGCGTTTCCTTTGGCGGCGAGCTTGCGGAATGCCTTTGTCGACAATATTTATTATTCCCTCCCCGTCTCGATTTCCAGTTTCTGCCTCTGAAGTGCCATTCCTGTTGCCAACAAAACCTTCGTTGGCCAGAAACCTGGCGAGAGGTATGTGGTTTTCTGTAGCAGAGCCATTTTGATATCTTTCGTACGACTTGTCTAAATTTCGTTTCGTAGATCCAAATGCCGACCGGCGATCACGATTACTATAATCAGCTTCGGATATTTCAAGCTGCGCAGATCTTGGCTGGGGCGCCGAACGCGGGGCACGATTGGAAGTCGGCCTTGTGGAGTATTGTTTGCTGCGTTTGTTATGCCCCAATTTCACACGCGATTCTACCTGTGGGTTCGTAGACGCCCAAGATATCTTCGTTTGGTGATTTGTGACGCGAACCTTTGGGTAATTGCCAGGGCGTCTTGTTGTGCGGCTCACGGCTGGTACCTTGACGGTATTCGACGAGAGGCTCCTTTGATTTCCGGATTCTTCAGAGATAAGGGGTGACCTGGGGGTAAATGATGGTGTTCGGTATTTCGCATGTTTCCCTCTCCATTCTCGCAAGACAGTCTGGGCATCGATAGTATCTTCGCGATTATCGAGCCGTACAAACTTTCTGACTGGTCCCTGTCTTCCAAGCGCATGTCTGGACCCGGCACTACGAGCAGCAATCCGAATGAACCTTGGTTGATGCGTAACAGGTTCACTAAAATTAGGCATGACCTCTTGGATCTTGCGCGGCGAAGGTCTTGATCGGGAAGTAATCTTTGCCAAAACTTCTTGTGCCAATGATGGCCCATTAACCCTGCTAACTGAGCTCCGCTGTGTGGAAACAGGTGAGCGACATGGATCTGGAAGCAATTCCGAGATTCTGGGTTGGTAGGAGGGTGTACCATGCGTGGGCTTAAATAAAGAAGTGACGACCCTTCTTTTCTTTCGATTTCCAACGTTAGAAAAGAGGGTTCGTTGGCGCTTCCTTGGTACAATCATCGGGTCAATTGCATTGTCCTCAGTCGCAAATCCAAAGTCCGACTGAGTAAAAACCGACTGGGAATCTTGACCCGACTCTTTGACAATCCCATGGCTTCCAAAGTCTTCCTCATCGGACTCGTCGGAGAGGAAGCCCAGCCCCGTTCTTGGATTAGCAGGAGCTGAAGCCGTCATTTCATCAGCTACCCTCGGCAGGGCTATTCCCCGTCGGATTTCAGGCAGAAGTGGCGAATGATTGAAGCTGTCCCTGGCTGCTGTTCTAGGTGCATTTTGTTGAATCCCCCGAGTTTGTGGATTAACACGAATATGCGATGCAGGAAGCACTCCTCTGAGCAGCTTTCGCACCTTAGTGGGCTCTTTTGGTGGAGACGACTGAGGTGCCTCTCCTTCACTGCTTGATATAAAAGGGTCATCTCCAATTACACAAATTTCATCGGAGTGATCATTTGTGCGCTTAACAGAGCTCGTCGCTGGTGTCGGGAGATCAGTAACTCCTAGGCGATGTCGTACATTGCAACGGTTTGCTACAGATTCTACAGTCATATCGGATCCACGCCCTGAGACGGTTCCTTCTGTGGTGCCAGCCCAGGCAGTGAGTGACGGGATAGGAGGGCTCGTCATAGGTGGCGACTGGGGTACATCAAAAACGTCGATTATTGTTGGCAAGGGGTTTTTGGATGCGTTAGACGTAAGTTGGGAACCGTTTGGCCGCGAATGGGCAGCACCATGAGTTCGTTTGCGACTACTATTGCCGATCTTTTTGGTGCCAACAACGCCTCTACGCGCTTGATCTATAAGAGTGCTTATATCGGGGAGTTCGACGTCGTCTGAATCTAACCCGTCCGACCTGAAGCTTGACGGAAGTGACTGTAGCCCATCATCAACCTCCACAGCAGATCTATGAGCACGTCTAGGCGATGACATCAAATTTTGGCTTGAGCCAAAAATGTCGTAGCTATCTTCGATTCCGGTTTTCTGACTGTCTTCCTCTACTTCGAACTCGGTATCCTGAGAATCTCCATTCTGAGGTGCGCCTTGGGTCGTCTGTTGGGCCGGTGTGAACCGCATGGGTCGTAATCCTCGCGCCATAAAGTCTCTGCGGTGACGCTCACTGTCTAGAAGATAGGGGTGCAATTGTATCTCCGTTCGTGGTCGAAAGGAGCGTCGATAAGCCGGTTCGAAAGTATTCGCATCGTCGAAGATCAACGTCCCTTGGTGCCTGACCTCCTCAAAGGACAGGCCCAGTGCTGCATAGGACCCCTCGGACTGCTCTTCGTTACCTGGCGGCAGGATGCTAGATCTGTAAGGGCTTTGCGTTGGCGTTGAACCCAATGAAGAGAGGCTTGAAGTGGGCGATGACAACAGGCCAACATAGCTTCGAGATACCTCTTCCTGGGCTGTGTTTTCTACTAAGCCAGGAGTGCTTTGCCTCACCGCTGCCAGCACCGGGCTGGACTGCGGCTGAGGGCCCTGCCTGGGCCCCGAGCCGGCCAACGGGTTTGGAGAACTGCCATTTTGCAGCTGTGTTCCAGACCGTATTTCCGGTGGTAGTTCTCCAGTTACGAGCTCTTGGGAGATCACATTAGTCTGGGAACAGTTTGGATGCTCGCCGAAGATGTCATCTACAGATGTAGCTTCTGTCTCCGCTTCAACATGAAGTAGGGTCGGATTCACGTCAGGTATTGCATCAATATCGTCGTGTTGCTCGGGATTCAATGTAGTTTGCGAGTCCAAAGAGTCGTCCTCTTCATCCGAGTCGGGCACAACTCCTATTTCCTTCCAAGTAGTCGTCATTGCCGGGATTCATCGTGGCCCTATTTGAACACATGTGCCAAACATATTCATGGGACAACGTTAATTTTGTGAATCTTTAGATACTGGAGGACGCGTCCAGGTTCGGTTGACGCGACTAAAGTATACGCCGCTTTACGTTCCCGTTAGCTACCCCCCACAAATATAAAAGCGGCAATGTCCCGAAAGTTAAAATATTTCGGATAAATTTATCGCCGGGATCACGTGAATTGTTTTTATTGAAATCGCTCCAACGTCGAGGATAGTCAAATCACGAGCATCTCGCTGAAACGTATGTACAATGTCCAAAGGTCGCGCGTTCATTCCAGTTGTCTTTGCGGTTGGTTTTGGAGTTGCCAATGGTATGTTTGCTTAATTACATGATTTGTCACATGTGCTAAAAGATACAAGCTCTCTGGGCTTTCGGTCCAGCACTCGAGGAGCAAGCTCAAGAGCGGGCGGAGAAGGCTAGGTTTGTTGCTCTACTTATTACATTATATTGAACAATGCTGATATATTTTTAGGAGGCTAGAGGAAGGTGAAAAGCCGCTGGACAAGGAGGTTACCGCATCGATAAAAGCGGCAGCTGATGCTAGCCGTTCAGAGGCAACTGCTGAAGCTTTGCAAAGCAAATCAAACGTTTGGCAGACAGCAGCAAAGTTCTGGGATAAACCTTCAAATGTTTCATCCCCCACCAATGAAGTATCGCAGACAATTACGAAGGACCAAAGACCTGATGAGTCGTCCAAACAGTAGCTGAGCTGGGCTTAGAACGGAAGTTTGACGTGTCACATTCGGAAGAGCGTTGTATTATGTTAGACTGGGTCATTTTGCGATGGGAGGCTCTATGTCGAGTACATCCTGGTGCTTTACTGGGGAGAGTTCTAAGCATATAAGTGTATAATAGGTGGATGTTGAATGACGGTTTTTCTCCACTAGCTGGGAAAATCGACCACGAATTAATAGCCATTAAACGGTTAGAGACACTCCTGGACCCTGCCGCAGCCTGGAGTGTTTACGGCTGCTGCGAATAGAATGAAACTCAGATACCCAAAGCTATGGATAGCCTATGGGCTCTGCCGCAACTTTAAGTGTTTACAGTAATCAATAAAATACGTGCTCTTGATAACTGAAGGCTATGATTATTATATTGTAGTATTTTAATAAGCTAGTTACTTGTAATCTAACCTTAAGTAAAAAATTATATCAGTTTTAATCGCAAGGATCAATTATCACCTGTACAAGGGTCCCTTGGGACAACAAGTATGTGTCAGCCTCGTCATTGTTTACTGTAAAGGACTTCTTGGCGAGTAGGGCAGTGGGAAGTCACGGGAAGGAATATACGTAGAATCCTGGTCTATTGATACGAAGACTGAACGCTGACCCTCCTCCGAAGGTCCGCGTTCCTACTGTGTCCGGACCGACATGCCTCCGTCTTGGCACTGAAGGGCACGTGAGTATTGCCCGCACGTGATTCAGTTCGTGACATTTACAGCGTAATCGCGGGGAAATGCAGCCTTGCGTTGCAGCCTTCCAATCAAGTCCTGTGCATCACACTTTCAACCCAACCAGGATTTGAACGAACTGTAAGGTGACGTCGATGACGTTGGTTTGCTAGAGAACACACTGAACAACAGCATCAAGCTATTTCGTCTTCGCTTTCGCATTTCAAGGCCGCCCTGTGGCACATTGGGCATGTAATATAGCTCCGTTCTGTACTATAATGTAGCGTTGATAAGAGAATCAACATGTCTGCAAGAGCGGGAAACGAGGAGGAGGATGGCCATAGTGACCAAGGAAATGACCTGAAGACCCTCCTATCTGGGGAGCAGCGAGAGGGGTTTACCTTTCTCGTGGCAGATATTATGGAGCTCATGAAAAAGAGGACCTTGGATACATTTGATGCGTCTTTTACGTCTGAGAAGCCTCAGGACCCAAACCTCGAAGGCCGGAATCCGAATGCGGATCAGAATCAAGCTTCCAGTGAAGAGCAGGAAAAGGCTCAAGCTTTACGGGAGAAACGAGAAAAAGAGATATCGGGGCCAAAGATGCAAGAGCTGAAGAAATTAGCATTGCAACACTTTCAAAAATGGGAGATGTCTGTAGTGGGAAGAGTTGGGGATGTCCTCAATACCCCAGAGGCTGCGGGTAGCAAGCGCGAAGAAGCAAAGAGTTTCGTACCTGCAGCGTCAGGCCCTGCGGCGAGACCAGAATACAAGGTTGTTGGGATGTCTGATATATTCAAAAGTGCGTACCCATTTCTTCCTGCATTACCCCCGTTTCACCTCTCCATATATGTCAGTTCCATCCAGTGCTGACAGACTTTATTTCTGAAGAATCAAAAGACAATGTCAATACCGAAGAACCTGACGAAGAAGACAATGACAGGGCTGACGCAGCTCTTATCCACATTTATCCACCAGTATCAACTACATTGCTGTCACTGCCGAAGAAGAAGCGGGTTCTCATATTGAATTCAACCCTTTTGCTGCTACTATCACTGGAGCATTATGAAGCCCATTCTAGAATTCTACTCCTCTACATGGCTTCATCGCTCCATCTACCACTCGAGACCCTCACTGAAGACGAAGTCAAAATTGCCAAAACACTTCTTGAGGCGGCAGAACACATGTCCGCGGAAGAAGAAGCCAAGAAGAGAGGCGAAGAGAACCAAACGGCACGAAGATGGAAAGTAGGGCTTGCTGGAATTGCAGGAGCTGCTTTAATTGGAATTACAGGTGGCCTTGCTGCCCCTCTGGTAGCAGCTGGACTCGGGACAATAATGGGAGGTCTCGGCCTCGGCGCAACAGCTGCAGCAGGCCTCCTCGGTGCACTGGCCCAGAGCGGAGTTATAGTTGGAGCGTTATTCGGAGCCTATGGTGGGAGGATGACTGGACAGATGATGGACTTGTACGCCAAAGAGGTTGAGGACTTCGCGTTTCTTCCGCTGCGAGGCTCAACGAGAAAAGCAAAGAAAACTGCAGAAATCCCCGCCGAAGATAGACGACTGCGCGTGACGATCGGTATTAGTGGGTGGCTTACCCAGAGAGAGGATATCATCAGCCCGTGGAGAGCACTTGGTCATCAGAGCGAGATATTCGCCCTCCGATGGGAACTGAAAGCACTAATGAACCTTGGTACATCCATGGAGTCTGTTCTGAAATCTGCAGCGTGGATGGTGGCAAAGAAAGAGATCATTGCGCGGACAATTTTTGGAAGTTTGATGTTCGCTCTCTGGCCACTGAGCTTTTTGAAAGCCAGCAAGGTTTTGGACAATCCATTCAGTGTTGCGAAGAACCGAGCGGATAAGGCGGGCTTGGTGCTTGCAGATGCAATAATCAACAAGGCACAGGGGGAGCGGCCAGTAACTCTGATCGGCTACAGCTTAGGCGCAAGAGTAATATACTCTTGCCTGATGTCCTTGGCAGAAAGAAAAGCATTTGGACTTGTCGAATCCGCGGTGCTGATAGGCGCGCCTTGTCCTTCTGATGCTCCTTTCTGGCGCGCTATGAAAAGTGTTGTCAGTGGAAGGCTTGTGAATGTCTACTCTGAGAACGACTATATTCTTGGATTCCTATACCGCACCAGCAGCATTCAACTTGGCGTTGCTGGCCTACAACAGATTGGAGACGTCAGCGGGATTGAGAATGTAAACGTTAGTGGTATAGTTTCTGGCCATCTGAGATATCAATATCTTGTTGGCGTTATCCTTCAGAAGATTGGTTGGGAAGACATTGACCGTGGGGAGGTGGCAAGGGAAGCAGAAACGATTGCCTTGCTTGACAGGGAGGATGAGGAGAAGCTACGAGAGATAACTGGTCCTGATGAGGATCTTATTGATTTCGGCGAAGACAAGCCAGTTGCTGAGGCGAAGACTGAAAAGGACAGGGATGACTCTGAGCAGGATAAATCTCGGGTCAACATAGACGAAGACGTTAAGTCAGTTTCTAAGACAGACGAGAAGAGCAAGAATGAAAACCCAGAGCAGGATAAATCGCAGGCCAACATAGACAATTCGAGAGAAATCACAACCCTGGGGAAACACGTTCAGCAGGCCTGAGCGAACAGGAGCTGGGGAGGACGACGACAAGCTGCATGAGCCAATTGAGCAGATGCACTTCTGAGGTTGTTTATTTATGTTTTTGAGATTTTAGTACATGAGAGTTTAGCTAGGATACCAATGAATTTATGTCTCCCTTTGCTTGTGATGTTACAATTAGTCCTTCTTATTCTTAACGACGAAGTATTCCCCAGCCGTTCTGTTAGCTGTGGAGAGCGGTTTCCACTGGCGATCCATCTTTTGGGGTTCGCTCTCTAATCTCCTTGGCCTCTCGATCTCCTTATAATTTATCTCTTTGGGTTCGCCCCCTCTTCTCCTTGGCCTCTTCATCTTCCCTTTGAACTCTTCCTGTGCCAATGCATCCTCGAGCGTTTCCAGACCAATAGTACGTTCTGCCAACGCCTCCTTAGTCTCTTCGCGGATAGCCTGGAGAGGCTCTACACCCGTAGTATCAACCTTTTGTATCTCCCTGACAAAGTGAAGTTGTGATTCTAGCATTGCGATCATGCTTTCTTCCTCAGCAGCATCTTTTGGTTGTGGCAATGCTGACAATCGGAGGAGGTGAGAGAGTTGCGCAGGCGTGGTTGAGGGCGTGGTAGTCGCATCTGAGGCTGACGGAAGGAGAGATTGAACAGACCAGCTGGGTTTTGAGAGGAATTCCGCCGTGTCAGCTTCGTTTTCTAGTACTCGTTTGGCGGAGTATGTCCTTGTCAAGGATGTTCTAGTTTTTGGTGCAAATGCTGCGAAGCGCAGACTCGCCCTGGAGCGAAGGCATACTGCCCCTGGCATCATATACAATATATATGGCGGCTATAATAATATTAGCCACGCATCTCCAATTAGGATATGTTCATTCGTACCTTTCGATGTTGGTCATGGCACCTTGATGGGATTCTGATGTGAAAATGACGCTAAGGCGTGAAGTATCCATGCCACCGCGTCAGAGCCAAGCTTGGCTTGGTGCGACATGTGAACAACCACCCCTCCTTTTGATACACTAAAGTCCAACAAACACAGAGCACACATAAATAATCACATTTAGGGATTATCACATCCTCAAAGTAAAATGGCACAAGATCCACGTGCCCTTCTACAGAAGGTATGCTTCATCATTTGCGTCCTATATACCCCGCAGCGCTACAACCAGAAGCTCAGACTGACACCGACTCCAGGCGGACAAGGCAGCATCAGGAGCTGGCGGAGGCTTCAGTATTTTCGGCGGGCGGGGAGAAAAATGGGAAAATGCAGCAGATCTCTACACACAAGCGGCCAACGCATTTCGAATGCAGAAGATGAGTACGTCGCATACGAACACCTAGACATAACCAGGATCCCACTAACCCTACGCCATAGCTAAGGAAGCTGGCCAAGCGTTCGAGAGCGCGGCCTCTATCCAGTTGTCGAAGCTTTCCGAGCCGGACGATGCTGCGAACACATATGTCGAGGCGTTCAAGGTGTACCGCAAGTCGGATCCGCTGGATGCGGCGAGATGCCTGGATATCGCCATCAACCACTACACATCAAAGGGCAACTTCCGCCGGGCAGCAACACATAAGCAAAATCTCGCAGAGCTCTATGAGCAGGAAGTAGGCGACCAGAAGAAGGCAATCGAGAGCTACGAGCTAGCTGCTAGCTGGTTTGAGAGCGATAATGCTGAGGCGTACGTAACGACCCAGACTATCCCGATAATAGACTTCGCTAACATGTGCTTGTTCAGATTGGCAAATAAGCTGTACCTCAAGGTTGGGGACCTAGCTGCTCTCGATGGCGACTACTACAAGGCGGTCGAGCATTTCGAGAAGGTGGCTACCTCCGCCGTAAGCAACAACCTCATGAAGTGGTCTGTAAAGGATTACTTCTTGAAGGCAGGCCTCTGCCTGTTGGTTATTGGCGATATGGTTGCTGTTAACCGTGCCTTCGAAAAGTACCGGACTATGGATTCTACGTTTGCGAGCACCAAGGAGCACCAGCTATTGGTTGACCTGGCTGAGGCAGTTGACGCAGGCGACCAGGTGGCATTTGGAGACAAGCTGTTTCAGTACGATCAGATGAGCAAGTTGGATAACTGGAAGACAGCGATTCTGTTGAAGATTAAGAATGCGATTGAAGAGAAGGAAGAGGACTTCTCATAGAGAGATCGGGGGTGGTAACGACGTCGGTAGCTACGGCGTTGGTTTAATTATTTGTTGGTTGGTTATTTGGAGCAAACAGAACAATCGAGGTTCCCATGGTGCGCCTTGTTTTAATAAAGGAGTAGGCTTATTATTTAAACTAACTCGCAGTCATTCTTCCTGTTATGCCTTTGTCATGAAGGCAGCAATATCCCAAGTGATACCTTCCTACCCACCCCTGATAACGCCAAACAATGCTAAGCCGAGAAGCTGAAAATCTGCCAACGGATATTACAGTCAAACTCAGGCGCCTCCCTTCTTCGCAAAGCGACCCAGTGCAGGTCCCAGTTCCTGCTCCGCCTCCTTGATCTTCTTCTCACTCTGACTATTCCTCAGCTCCATAATCTTGAGCTTCTTCTCATCTATGATGTTCCTGCCACCCTTCTTCCTGAGGTATTTCCTCAGACTGCTATTCTTGCCTCTCCCTCTATTCTTGACATCAGCCAAAAGCTCCGCCGGTGCCTTATCCAGATCCTTGTCAGCCTTGCGCTGCTCATCGGTCTGGAGATTGAGGTTTCCGATGAATTCTGGGTTAAGAGAGATCATCTCTGGTTGCAGCTTGTTGAGCAGCGTCCTGACCTCGGTCTCCTGTCTCTGCTTGGTGTTCTCGTATGGGTTGATTTCCAGAGCATCGTAGTTGGCCTCTCCGGCTCCTGGTACGATGATCGAAGAGAACCCAGCGTCGTGAGATACACCGAGGACATCCTCAAACGGACACCAGCGCACGCGCTCAATATTCTTACCCTCGCCACCCCAAGCCATATATGGGCTTTGGACCTTCTCTTGGTCCAGAGCGTGCTTGGTGAACAGGCCGCGCCAAATCGAGGTCTGCGTCCCCCAGCCGATTGCCGTGAGGCCAGTATCTGAGATAGCTACGGAGGAAGCGGGTCGACGGGTAAAGTAGCTGTTAACCTCCTTGAACATGCGGATATCCCACACGGACATCTTCATGTCCTGGCCAGTGGAGACCATGTAACGTCCCTCGCGATCGATATCTATCGAGCGGACGGGTCCGCGATGAGCGAGAAGTTTAACAAGAGGAGTGGTAGAGTTGGGCGACCAGAGTGTGACGGTGCCGTTTTGGTGACCCATGTGGAGGATTGCATTGTGGGGGTTTTGTTTGAGCGAGGTGGGGGATCCAAGGCGGGTTGGGATTTCGATAACAACTTGCCCAGTTGACGTGTCTTGGTATTTGAGATACCCAGCATTACCCTGAGTTGTATTAGCAAATTGACTGTAAATATTGACTATTTAAACTTACCACCGTAGCTAATAGGTAGTGGTATGGGAGGAACTCCATGTTGGTGACCTCAATATGCTTCTTCAAGCAATGTATCTCAACGCCGTGGCTGTCGTATATGTAGACATACTTTTTCTGCGCAACCGCAAACATCTGGTTATTGTGAAGCCACTTCGCATCTCGAACTGTCTCTCCGAGTTGCAGCTCGCATCCGAGCTTCCCATCGCGCCAGTCCATTGTTGCGACATGACCTTTCCTGCCTGCAAGCAGCAAGCCCCTTCCGGTTCTCGTGTAGTCGAACACATACGGTCCTAGGCTATCCAGTTTCAATTCAAACCCCTTCTTTGCGGTTTCGAGCGCTACGCTGCCCTTGATGTCGTCCTGCTTAACTTTGTACGTCCTTTCGAGGTCATTTTCCGGTTCGAGGAACCCCCCCTCGTTCTCGAGCAGGATCTCGGCATCCTTCGCTTTCAATGTCGCATTTTTGTATTTGCTCTCAAGAAGCTTGAGATTTCCTCGTAATTTCTTGTCTTTAATTCCCTTCACGGGTATTCTGCGACCGCGGCCATAGTCTCGTTGCGCCTCTTGCCGCCTCCGCAGCTGAGATACTTGATCTTTTCCGAAAGCCGGAGTGCGTTGCGTCCTTATCGGGCTAGCATTATTCGAGCTGACCTCCGTGACCGTGTTGTCAATTGTATCTACAGCGTCCGACATAGCGGAATCTTAATCGGCGTGGTTTTGGGAAATGTTCGTGGCTCTCGTCGCAAGAAGAGGCTGGATTGTGAACTTTTTTGGTTGCCAAGATTTCGGGGATCTAATCGCTCTTATCGGGCAGCGACTCGCGCACAGATAATAATTTTTTGGACAGAGACTGGACTTCCCCACGTTGACGCCCCTCCAAAATCCGTAGCAGTACACGATTTCTGCACGTCAAGGTGGCCTCACTAAATTTACCGTACAGATTCAAAGCCGGAGGCAGCGGCAAGATGCCTGCAACTGTTGGTCACTCCCATAGGAGCACCACTAAGGTGGCGCACAAGTCTTTCAAGGCGCGCAAATCCACCAAAAGTGCCTTGAAGGAGATTATGAAGGGTATGATTTTGGTACAACATTAAATAATAAATACTGACATTTTATAGGTAAGGTCCAAGATGGATCCTCAGCTCGGAAAACTCCTCACCAGCAACTTATGTCGAAACTGGACCGACGAAACCAGGCCCGCCAGAAGCAACTCACCAAGCACAAGGAACACCTGAGGGACGGCAGCGTATTCAATGGCCGCGAGGGCGCACCGAGAATAATTGCGGTCGTACCGCTCTGCGAAGATGCAGACGCCGCCAAAGCTGTAGAGAAGCTGAACGGAAGCCTGGATGTCGAAGCTGAGGTTCCAGAGGAGGGTATCTGTCGCACCAATATCGATCGGTTCAAGCAGAAGATCCAATATATTGTTCTTAAGAGGGACTTGGCGGCTTGCATGGACGCCTGCAGAATCGCGGATTTTGTCATGGTTATCTTGTCGCCAGAGCAGGAGGTGGATGATCTAGGAGAGCTTATTCTACGAAGTATCGAAAGCCAAGGACTCTCGACACTGCTCACTGTTGTGCAAAACCTGGACACAATCGAACCACCAAAACGCCGCGGCCAGGTTCAAGGATCCTTGAAATCTTACATCACACATTTCCATCCCGAGCAAGAGAAGGTTCACAGCTTAGACTCAAGGCAAGAGTGCGCCAACTTGATGCGATCCCTGTGCACCACATCACCAAAGGGCGTAAGGTGGCGCGAAGACAGGAGTTGGATGCTGGTTGAGGACGCACAATGGCCGGAAGTCGATGGCGAGAATGTCGTACTCACAGGTATTGTCCGTGGCAAAGGACTCAAGGCCGACAGACTCGTTCAGGTTGGCGACTGGGGCTCTTTCCAGATCGACAAGATTGTCGCAGCCCCTCTTGCAACGAAGAAAAGCCATAATAAGACCGAAGATATGACTGTGGACACAGACGCATCAGAGGCGGAGAACGTTTTGGATAGACCAACAGAAGAGCAGGACGACCTTGACGAACTGGCCCCTGAGGAAGTTATGATGGACAATACTGACATTGATACCGGAGTATCTGTCGCGGGAACCGAAAAGCGAGGTGTGCTACTTGATGATCACCACTATTTCTCAGACGATGAGACACATTTGCCTGCTGCTCCAAAGCGCCTTCCAAAGGGTACATCGAATTACCAAGCTGCTTGGTACTTGGGCTACGATGGATCTGAGGACTCTGATTTCGAGGACGTTGAAGAAGAGGATACGGCTATGGAGACACAGGCTCTACCCCAGGATGGTGTTGAGGGGATGGCTCAACGTGAACCGACAGAGTACGCCGCGTCAGAATACCCCCAATCGGAGCTGTTCTTGGACAGGTCGGCAGAGCAGGAAGCGGAGCAAATCGCTGCCTTCAGAAAGAGGAAGGTCAACGAAGCAGACGAGGACGCTGAATTCCCAGATGAGATTGAGCTCCAACCTCAAGTTCTAGCTCGCGAACGTTTGGCCAGATATCGTGGCCTCAAGAGCTTACGGACAAGTCACTGGGAGGAAGATGAGGATAGGGTTCACGAGCCCGAAGATTGGAGGAGGCTTCTGCAAATACAAGATTACAACTCATCGAAGGCCCGTGTTACTCGCGAGGGCCTTGTTGGTGGTGTCCCGGCTGGTGCACGCGTCCATGTGTACCTACGCAACGTCCCTCTGAGCCTCCGCGAGTCGTTCAAGGCTTCTAAGCCAGCGACCATGTTCTCATTACTACGCCATGAACACAAGCGCGCAGTTTTGAACTTCAAGATCACGCTCAGCTCAGACTACCCAGAGCCCATCCGCTCAAAGCAAGAGATGATCATGCAAGTGGGCCCAAGGAGATTCGTTATTAACCCAGTCTTTTCCCAAGCTGGCAACCCCCAGAATAACGTCCATAAGTTCGATCGCTTCCTGCACCCAGGTCGCTCGGCTGTGGCGTCCTTTATTGGACCTCTTACCTGGGGCTCCGTTCCTGCATTATTCTTTACTCGCCCGTCGGCAGAGACTTTGGCTTCGGATCCAAAGGCAGCTGAGATGCCACTCATTCTCATTGGAACGGGCACATCTCTTCCCCCATCCTCCTCCCGCGTCGTCGCCAAGCGCATCATCCTCACTGGCCATCCATTCAAGATCCACAAGAAGCTTGTTACCATCCGTTACATGTTCTTCAACCGTGAAGACGTGGAGTGGTTCAAGGCCCTGCAATTATGGACCAAGCGTGGCCGCAGTGGATATATCAAAGAGCCGCTTGGTACGCACGGATACTTCAAGGCTACATTCGATGGCAAGATCAACCCACAGGATTCCGTGGGGGTCAGTCTGTACAAGAGAGTCTGGCCAAGGAACGCGAGGGTATGGAGGGGAGTTGATGGGGAGGTGCCTAGCCTAGTGGAGGATTTGGAAGGCATGGAATTGCAGGATGCGGATATGGACGGTGGTGTTGCGATCTAGAGATAAACGGCATTCGGAATGCTCATGCTTTTATGACGAACCTAGAACTATTTTCTCAAATTGACAAATTGCTCACAACTTTCCCCCCTAGACCCTTAGGGCTCTACTTCTAGTCAATTACGCATTATAACCCCCATCTCCATCCATTCCTACTCCTTTGGGGCATCCTTAGGTGGTGATGGAGGCCTCAACTCCCTAACGGCCGGATCTAGGCCCCTAAGACAGCACTTTTGCTCGCCCCTAGGAACCACAATCACCATCCAACCTCAATCGCACTTCTAAGAGACAGCAGAAGACACTTAGTACTAACAATGTGCCCCCTCTACACCTTAGCTTAGGTGAAAGCGCGCCTAACAGTCACGAAACAACATGTCATACTGACATTCGTTGCACTCAGTTTGCTATCAAACTCAAGAGCAAACTTAGAAATCTCCTCCTCAAACCTACAAGTCACTATACATATTTTGGCTTATCACACCAACAACAAGAGCAATACTACTCAACGATTGCTACAACCCTCTATGACATACTGACATTCGTTGCACTCAGTTTGCTATCAAACTCAAGAGCAAACTTAGAAATCTCCTCCTCAAACCTACAAGTCACCATACATATCTTGGCTTATCACACCAACAACAGAAGCAATACTACTCAACGATTGCTGCAAACTCTTCTACTACATCTGTTTATGCTACATACATCACGGCATATCATTTGGACACTCATTGAACAAGTTATTAAGAAAATCTCCTCCTTAAGGGGGTGGGCCAATACTACCACATGGCATATCTCTACCAACTAGAGGCCTAGGAACATGAACGATAGTTCTAGAAGCTTCTACAACCCTCTATGATTCATTACACGTCATCGCTCCTTAGTTACCCACAAGATTGGTTAAGTTACGACATAATTTGTCTATAGGTACTCTGACCTTGGACCTCCTTTTCACTTCCTATAGGCTAGGAACCCAAGAGATGGTTCTATGGGATTCTCTTACGTTCACTACATGATTAGCAAGCTAGTTGTGGGTCGCACTTGATTTCTAATACATTTACCAAGCCTGGTTAGTCATGGAAAGTCATGGAAAATGAGAGAACTACACTCCTTTGGCATAAATAGGATTGCCCTTTCCTTAAGAAAGGGCAAGCAGACAATACAGTAAATCGACTAGCACATACTTCTACGTCTTTTCCAAGCTTCCAAGCATTGATCTTGTTATTCTCTGTTTTTGAAAAGTCAGTGAGGTGCTAACCTCTGACTTACCCCTGAGTTCTCAGACTCAACATTTGTTGCAACTTGTCTAAACCACTTCACCACATCATACACCTGATTGCTGCGTTGTGGAATAGTCTAAGCTACAACCCTTTGGCTCTGTTTCCTAAGACAGTGTGTTGTCTTAGTAAATTCATCCCTTCCTTGGGTGGCTAGATTCTCATATCTGGTGCACCCACCATTACAGCATAGTAGACAAGTTTGTGTCCTCCTACAAGCTCCTAGAGCATCGCACTTTCGCCTACAACCTCTATAACAAGGTAGTTAGCTTTCTCACTGCCTCTCTATATGTAGAAACTTCTAACTACACCCCTATCTACCTTAGAAGCTTAGCCCTCACTAGCAGCTACCTCTATAGGACCAAAATCTATTAGCTAGGCGGATGTGGCTAAGACCCTAAAAAACTTAGAGGCTTCTCTTTAGGGAGCTAGGGCCCCTAGCTCATCTGTTTCTAGCAGCAGAGTGTAACGCTGACTTCTAAACGATAGAAGACACAGAGGCTTCTTGCGTAAGGTTGACTTGACAGAGGAGGCAGGGGATTAGACACAAAGGCTTTCCAAGTAACACGTTACAGTATTGTAAAGAATACTATATTGAGTTGAGCACGAAGCTCCTACAGTCGAGTCTCGATAAGTCGATTCTCGATTCGCGGTAAGTCAATATATTTCAGTGGTCCAAAATCCCCTGTTTGTAATGGTGGGTGCACCAGATGTGAGAATCTAGCCACCCAAGGAAGGGATGAATTTACTAAGACAACACACTGTCTTAGAAAACAGAGCCAAAGGGTCGTAGCTTAGACTATTCCACAACGCAGCAATCAGGTGTGTGATGTAGTGAAGTGGTTCAGACAAGCAGTGTTCCCATTAGTATAATACTTAAGTATTCGGGCCATTATGATACGGGCCGTATCAATACGGTACGGGTGAAG